TAGAGTAGCTTTCCTTTGATAAAGGGCAATTTGTCTAGCAGACAAGGGAAATAGAAAAATAATGTGTAGGCAACTTGGCATTGTCGAACTCCAATGTTTATAAAAATTTACTTTTGTCTCAGTTTGACCAACTAATTACTGACCTTCTGAATTAATATATTAATGTGCACATTCCAGAAAAACTTGTTAGAGGTGAGAATATGTTTTCTAACAACAGAATTTTAGAATGACATTATATAATGAAGCGGTTATCATGCTTGTGTGTTTTGGGATGGTACAAATGCTGTATTAGGAATAAACACAATGTTTAATATTCCTAATACAGGATATTTACCATCCAAAAACACAATTGCGTGATAACCTCCATTCATCACTGATGTTTCTAATTGTTCACATCAAACTTGTGACACAATGACACATTTGGAAGCTGCGTGTGATAATGGGATCTATCTCGGCATGAAATTCCTACAAGACTTAGCACATCATTAATGTTGTTTGCACAAGAAAGAAATTGGATTATATAACACTTATTAGGTATTTACTGAGCACTTTGTACTGCTCATATGTCAATAAATTGATGATATTATTAATCACAGATGGAGTCACTCTAGTCTTATATGTAATTAAAGAGAAGATAACTTAACTACAAACATGATCACAACAATCTGAAGGGTTCACTATCAATAGCATCTTCGCTGGAATTTTCCAAACAGGATCAAAACAGAACATAATAAACAATTGATAAATACAGTACTATGCCCTGCATATGTGAAAGACCAGGTTTTTATATTAAATTAGATACAATTCCATAATAATTCTAACTTTGTAATCAATCGTGAACTTCACTAAAGAAAATACTGCAAATAGTATATTTAGGTATTAAATTTCTTATTCAAAAAAGGGGGAAAAAAAGACAAATGAAAGATCTAATATTGAATCAGAGAGAAAACATCATATTCACTAAATTGGCTTGTTTGGTATCAGAAGCAATGTCTACACTATGGATACTCAGCATGCTCAATGTTATTTGTATTAAAATATATAGTGAGACAGGAATAAGTTTTGTTTGGCAATATGCCAAATAAGGGAGTTTTTCAAAACTTTGCATATGATTAAGGAAAAAAATATGGAAAAGACCTATTTCCTAAGGCTAAAGACAAAAGCGCAATTATTAAACATATTATTCAATTTGTATTACTTGGTTTGACACTATTCTACATACACATTGTCATGGTCAACACAACACATATCTCATCTTGGGGTGGTTGGATAGACTAGTGGTTAAAGTGTTTGCTCGTCAAGCCGAAGGCCCGGATTCAATTCCCCACATGGGTACAATGTGTTAAGCCCATTTCTGGTGTCCCCACTGTGACATTGCTGGAATATTGCTAAAAGCGGCGTAAACCCTAACTCACTCACTCATTTTGTATTCTCAAGAGTATGACGTATGGAAGTCCTACATTAAAAGTAAGAATTCAAAAACATTCCTGCGTGACTAGGGTTAGAATTAATTTTTGTTTTCACTGGCCTGCAAAAATAACCTGCTGCAGAGTTGCCATCTACCTGATGGCAAAAGTGGTAGAATAAGGAACTGTCACCAGTCCTTCCTGAATTCTTTTTACAAGTATTGGACAAGCAGATTTTTGTTTAATTTCATAACTCCCAAAACATAAGTGTAATTGTATTTCAAGCCTGAAACAATGAAAAGTCAGTTTGATTGATGACAAAATACTGTCATTACCAAAATGACACAGGATTGACCTATATATCAGTTTTCATGTAACTACTATCGAAACATCCTCATGCGATAACTGGGTCAGAAGCAATCAAAATATCAGGACTTATCCAACGACAAACCATATTCTTTGCAGCAGTAGCCTACACATATTTCAATGACAAACTTTGGTAAAAAATAATGCAAGTGCATGCAGCAAAGGTTACCTAAAATAAAATGCCAACATATCGTGGACATACAGAAACTTATAAATCTTAAAATACTTAAAATTTACTCCAGTATGATTCAGAAATTTAGTTAAAATGAACATTCCACCATTGCCACCAGTGTGCATATAAATGTAGAAATATGGACCCCCAAGTAACAAACTTCCTGTCAGACAGTTCTGTTTTTGATGATCCCCACTATTGAGTTACTTGTTCATATTCATTATACAAAAGTGTCCCATTAAATCAAATAGGTTAGATGTTATTTAACAACTGAAACTAAAATGAAAAACATTTTGAGGATTACCATCATGACCTCTACTCCAGCGACACAGTGGGCTACACTTTCACTTGTCAAAGCTTAAGACACATACATTTAATTCCCCTCCATTTATCTCTATCATCACTTTTTAAAAAATGGTTCTGAAATACACTGGCAGGTTAATTCTCCGAAAGCTCGATGAAACGTCAAAATTCAGACCCATGACCTGGATAAGAGGCCATTTTTCTTGACATGAAATATCCAATGTAAACAATCTTTGCAGGTAGAAAATGAGAACACAAAGTTTACAATGTAATAAACGATAACAATACCCTAGGGTAAACGGTTCTGTTAACAAGAAACCCCAATTAAGTTCAACGCCAGTGAATTCTAAAGGGGGTGACAAGCATTCGGCTTTCCTTCGCTTCGATATTTTGAGGTGGGGACGTGCTCAATTTACACTGGTTACCGACTTCACCATGCGGGGAATTTCGCCGGCATGGATCGACCGGAGATGCGTTTAAAAACAGAAGGCAATTTTGAAATAAAGGCGATTTAAGCTTATAGAATTTGTTGCAGTTTGAAAATATGAAGAAATTTGACAATTTGATAGGTATATAGAGGCGATTTTCCTCTCGTCCTCGCTGGCAAATCGAAAATCGGGTCTGCAAAACCCTTCGGAAACGATTAAAGTTCGGTGTATAAATCGTATCTTGGAGCACTGAATTGGTGTCAGGGTTGCAAATCAAGGTTTAATTGACTTTGCTTGTTTGTCGTTGGGATCATCTTTACCTGCAAAGGTGTCAAATCTGTCCTAGAAATGTCCCTCTATCACGAATGCCATGGAACAATAACAAGTGCCGCCATTTGCATTGGTATCAAAACGCATGCGCAATTGGCTGCGGAATTCTGGGAGAGAAACTAGCCGAAGATGGCGTGCAGAGCGGGAACGCTAGACAAGTTCAAGATCTGTAAACATTCTGAACAAATAAAAAGTTACCGTTAATCCACTAATTTTACACATAATTACTTCAGCCATATGTTTATTTATGATTAATGTTAACGCCAAGAAACAAATCGGAAAGCAAAAGAAGATTCCGTAATATTGTAGAAGCCTTGGGATTTGCAACATGAGTCTGCTAGATGGGTCAGCCGAGAGACAAGTGCGGCGGTGCCCAGCGAGCCAGCGGAACCTTCCAGCCAGCCGGGTCGGGCCCGTATCACTTCGCGCCTGAGATTCTGTCAGGCCCGTCACCAGCACAATACACGCGATCAACTATTAATGAAGAATATATATATATATATATATATATAGTTTATACAATCATGTGACCGTACGAAGACAATATGTGGCCAGTCTGCAAAAGACGATGTGTCAGACCATTTTTAATTTGATGCTTTATTTTACAAAGTAAATGCAATTTAGAAATTCTCAGCAGAAGAATTGTTCAGATTTAGTCGAGATCTATTCAAAACTAGAAATAAATTTATAACGGTAACCCATACCAAACTGCAGTACGTATGAACACTTCATGATTTGTCAATAGTTAAAACACAAAGCTCTAGAACAGTGGTGAGTGCGACCGCTCGGATATTTAGTAGTGCCGAATTTGGTTAACGTGCCATTAATTAATACAATATTTTCCAAGGGCCGATCCAAATTTTTTAAAAGGGAGGGGTCCAAAAAATCAAAATTCCCTCGTAGATGATTTTTCTGCCTACAGCATTTTATACATTTGGTCTCCCCCCCTCTGGATCCGCCCATGTTTTCAGTCGAAGCAAATTAGCACCCACATCCACTGCAGAGTCTGTGTATATTGATGGTGATCGATCGGCTCCGTGTATACCCAAAACACGACGCACCATCACAGAACTGTCTCAATGTGGTAACTCTGAGCAATTATCACATACAGCTATTGCAAATCAGCGAAGACATAAAGTATGAAATAAACCAGGTTATACATTTATTATAGATATAGATAGATGTATTTTTGCGTAAACTATGATAATCATTAGCCATTTCAAGTTTGTGCATATGCATAATGAGAATATAAAATAATTATAAAGGGATAACGAACAAGACATAACATTTTGAAAGGACAAGTACTGTTTTACTATATATAGGCCTACTTCACCACAGTGCACTCTTCCAGTCCTTATCGAGCTAATGGAAATCGTATTGGGTTATTTTCATACAGGTTTAAAACTATGCTATGTGGAAATATATATAGAGTGATATGCTATGGCCTTTAGTTAATTATTTCATTCTGAAAATTATTTTTAGTTCGCATGTCACTGAAGGGAATAGTCCATGCATGAAGTCGACACATGCCAGTAAGTAAGTATGCAATATGTAAAATAGACGCAATATTCGTCCTCAGAACAAGCAGTTTGTAGGACCACCCTTTCCCCCTAAATGACACCTGTATAGCAACGCACCAAGCGGGTCGATGTCTTCGAAAACTGTGCATACTCTCGAGGTTTTCCGTCACAAATATTCCATTAAAGCACAGATCTCACACATCCACCATATATGAAGAAACAGATTACGGTCTCTGGTAGGATACACAAAAAACAAAAGACATAATGAAAAAGTATGTATTTATATGCAAAATAACAAACATACGACTAATTCACCACTCTTCCAGCTGGCTGAAAACTACAATGAGAATATACTATGACTCAATTCGTTAAAAATATCAAATTCTGCCTTGTCAGCAGACACGGTATACTAGAGTTATCTCCCTTTGGAACAAGTGCGAGCACGTATATCCTTGTTTACTTGTGACGTCACAAATCGTGTCCCCGCATGCCCGGGTTGGCCAATATAAATGATAGGTGTGCGGCTTTACCGGGTAGTCAGTTATCATATCAGTCGGTCGGTCGCATCGTGCAAGACACTGAAAATGAGTGCTCGCAGGGAAACCCTTAAACGAAAAGCAGTTGCTGACACGAAAGCAAAGGCTAAAAAGGCGAAAGGGGAGACTGATTTGCCGAATAATATGAAATGGACCCAAGCAGGAAAAGAGCTAAAAGGGGTGTGTCCGTTGATCCTGCTCAGCTCGGATACTCTAGAAGGGAGGGAGAAGGTTGCTGGATTTGACATCGATTTCACCGTCATACGAACGGCAAGCGGGAGGAAATTTGCTACGGGTACGACATGTTACGGCTTATTATGTAGCGCTATTTCACCCTACGTGTGATTGTACGAGCCAGTTCACACACCCAGCGCTGGCTGTTAACGAGAACAAGCCGTCAATCAATATGCAAATGAGATTCATGACCTAAGCAGATGAGTGACCGGAGTTCTCCCGCCTTTATTATGATGTCATGTGACTGGTTAGCTTTGGATGGAAAACAATTCTTGCATGTGCGACTTCTTGATAATTGTAGATTATTATTTATTAAAATTCAAATGAATACTTACATAGTAATTTTGGTTTATGATATTTATTAATCTATTTATGATAGTTTATTAATTGATCACATGGAAAAAAAATAACAACAACGCATTATGCTGTTTTGGAATGACATACATGTATAACTTCATAACAAACTAGAAGACATAGCTTTATGTATGAACAATTAAGAACATATGCTTACAATGATTTTATTTATCAACATGTGATAAATGTGTGACTGTCTGTAAGGTTGAGCAACATGTTAAACATGGTGTGAACCAATGTTTCCATATGGTTCAAGATACTATGTAACAAATGTTATATTTGGGATAACACTTTCTTAGTACAGTACAAATTCTAGTACTGTTTTGGGTTGAGTCCCGTCCAGGATTCAAATCCACACCCACAGAATGCGGCATCTCAGCCACTGAGGCTTCCCCAAAAAATGAAAGTCAGACAACTAGTAGTCTAGATCACATACTTTGTGTACCCCTCTGACAAGTGACTCGATGGCACTTTTTGTGCTTGTGATTAGGTGCCTCACTCTGAGAGTGTGGGTTCGAATCCCGAATGAGACTCAACCAAAATGAGTACTAGAATTTGTACTTAACTAAGAAAGTGTTATCCCAAATATAACATTGTTACATTTGACCACTTTCTTAATGGCATTGCGTTTTCAAGATACTATGGTTGAATAAGGACTGGACTATTATGTTCCAGGAATATTATTTGCTGTGAAGTTAGAAATGTAATTCTTGCTTGAAGGTTGTAGCAGTTTCACAGCTTCACTAAATTTTATATTTGTCTCTATTAATTTAGCGAACTTGTATAATGGTCAAGATGTGAATAGGCCTAGTTGCTGACCACCAAAACATTTTCAAGGGTCAGTCAGAACAAGGAGCTGAGAAACATTACTTAACATTGTGTAACAGTTAAGATGTGTACAGATGTTGTCTTGAATTTATGGAGAGAGGCAATCCCCATTTGGTACATCGGATGCTGAACCCTTTTAAGTGGTGTTCCAGATGCCTAAGTGCATAAGTTGGATGCCATGTTCACCTGGTTCGTGGATGCCGACAGTTTAACCTTGGAGTGTTTTTTCCAAAACGTGCCAAGTCAAATTTATGATATATGACAGTTTTTAATAAAAGCTGAGGATGCTGGAACCTGTTGTCATGGGGCATTACATCATATGCCTGAGTACACTTTTCAGCTGCCAGGGATACTGACTCTATCTCCTACAGGTGCTAAGGACTGGGAGTTCTGGGACAACAGGGTGCAGGCAATGATGAAGGAACTAGATGAAGATGGGTTCCGAGTTGTCTTCTTCACAAACCAGGCTGGGATTGAGAAAATGAAGGTGAAGCCAGCTGAAATCAAGGATAAGATTGAAGCCATTATCACAGCCCTGGACATCCCTGTGTTGGTGAGTTATGGTTGTGCCTGTTCCTCAGGAAGATGCAGACAGTGTGGTTTGAGGTTCCTTTCTCTGTTCATGGATGATTCCAAATGTAGTGAGGAAACGTTAATTGATTCCAAATGTAGTGAGTAAACGTTAATTGATTCCAAATGTAGTGAGGAAACGTTGATTGATTCCAAATGTAGTGAGTAAACGTTAATTGATTCCAAATGTAGTGCGTAAACGTTAATTGATTCAAAATGTAGTGAGGAAATGTTAATTGATTCCAAATGTAGTGAGTAAACGTTAATTGATTCCAAATGTAGTGAGTAAACGTTAATTGATTCCAAATGTAGTGAGGAAACGTTAATTGATTCAAAATGTAGTGAGGAAACGTTAATTGATTCCAAATGTAGTGAGGAAACGTTAATTGATTCAAAATGTAGTGAGGAAACGTTAATTGATTCTAAATGTAGTGAGTAAACGTTAATTGATTGAAAATGTAGTGAGTAAACATTAATTGATTCCAAATGTAGTGAGTAAACGTTAATTGATTCCAAATGTAGTGAGGAAACGTTAATTGATTCCAAATGTAGTGAGTAAACGTTAATTGATTCCAAATGTAGTGAGGAAACGTTAATTGATTCAAAATGTAGTGAGGAAACGTTAATTGATTCTAAATGTAGTGAGTAAACGTTAATTGATTGAAAATGTAGTGAGTAAACATTAATTGATTCCAAATGTAGTGAGTAAACATTAATTGATTCCAAATGTAGTGAGTAAACGTTAATTGATTCCAAATGTAGTGAGTAAACGTTAATTGATTCCAAATGTAGTGAGTAAATGTTAATTGATTCAAAATGTAGTGAGGAAACGTTAATTGATTCCAAATGTAGTGAGTAAACGTTAATTGATTCAAAATGTAGTGAGTAAACGTTAATTGATTGAAAATGTAGTGAGTAAACGTTAATTGATTCCAAATGTAGTGAGTAAACGTTAATTGATTCAAAATGTAGTGAGTAAATGTTAATTGATTGAAAATGTAGTGAGTAAACATTAATTGATTGAAAATGTAGTGAGTAAACGTTAATTGATGCCAAATGTAGTGAGTAAACGTTAATTGATTCAAAATGTAGTGAGTAAACGTTAATTGATTCAAAATGTAGTGAGTAAACATTAATTCTAAACTGCAGTCAACAATATTCAAGTGATGTCGCAGTGGCCTGTAAATAATTGTTGAGTGTGGACCAGTCAAACAAGTGCTGGACAGCATGACCAGCAATAAATGCCGTCAGACCCACAATGACACATGTTCAGCCCGGTCCCACCTGGTCCTACCATCGCTACAATGTGTATTCATCAGCCACGTCCCACCATCACTACAATGTGTATTCATCAGCCACGTCCCACCATCACAACAATGTGTATTCATCAGCCATGTCCCACCATCACTACAATGTGTATTCATCAGCCACGTCCCACCATCACTACAATGTGTATTCATCAGCCACGTCCCACCATCACTACAATGTGTATTCATCAGGCAGGTCCCACCATCACTACAATGTGTATTCATCAGCCACGTCCCACCATCACAACAATGTGTATTCATCAGCCACGTCCCACCATCACGACAATGTGTATTCATCAGCCACGTCCCACCATCACAACAATGTGTATTCATCAGCCACGTCCCACCATCACGACAATGTGTATTCATCAGCCACGTCCCACCATCACTACAATGTGTATTCATCAGGCAGGTCCTACCATCACAACAATGTGTATTCATCAGCCACATCCCACCATCACTACAATGTGTATTCATCAGCCACGTCCCACCATCACAACAATGTGTATTCATCAGCCACATCCCACCATCACTACAATGTGTATTCATCAGCCACGTCCCACCATCACTACAATGTGTATTCATCAGCCACATCCCACCATCACGACAATGTGTATTCATCAGCCACGTCCCACCATCACTACAATGTGTATTCATCAGCCACGTCCCACCATCACTACAATGTGTATTCATCAGCCACGTCCCACCATCACTACAATGTGTATTCATCAGCCAAGTCCCACCATCACTACAATGTGTATTCATCAGCCACGTCCCACCATCACTACAATGTGTATTCATCAGGCAGGTCCTACCATCACTACAATGTGTATTCATCAGCCACGTCCCACCATCACTACAATGTGTATTCATCAGCCACATCCCACCATCACTACAATGTGTATTCATCAGCCACATCCCACCATCACTACAATGTGTATTCATCAGCCACGTCCCACCATCACGACAATGTGTATTCATCAGCCACGTCCCACCATCACGACAATGTGTATTCATCAGCCACGTCCCACCATCACTACAATGTGTATTCATCAGCCACGTCCCACCATCACGACAATGTGTATTCATCAGACATGTCCCACCATCACTACAAAGTGTATTCATCAGACATGTCCCACCATCACTACAAAGTGTATTTATCAGCCATGTCCCACCATCACTACAATGTGTATTCATCAGCCATGTCCCACCATCACTACAAAGTGTATTCATCAGACATGTCCCACCATCACTACAAAGTGTATTTATCAGCCACGTCCCACCATCACGACAATGTGTATTCATCAGCCACATCCCACCATCACTACAAAGTGTATTCATCAGACATGTCCCACCATCACTACAAAGTGTATTTATCAGCCATGTCCCACCATCACTACAATGTGTTTTCATCAGCCACGTCCCACCATCACTACAATGTGTATTCATCAGCCACGTCCCACCATCACTACAATGTGTATTCATCAGCCACGTCCCACCATCACTACAAAGTGTATTCATCAGCCACGTCCCACCATCACTACAATGTGTATTCATCAGCCACATCCCACCATCACTACAATGTGTATTCATCAGCCACGTCCCACCATCACTACAATGTGTATTCATCAGCCACGTCCCACCATCACTACAAAGTGTATTCATCAGCCACGTCCCACCATCACTACAATGTGTATTCATCAGCCACATCCCACCATCACTACAATGTGTATTCATCAGCCACGTCCCACCATCACGACAATGTGTATTCATCAGCCACATCCCACCATCACTACAATGTGTATTCATCAGCCACGTCCCACCATCACAACAATGTGTATTCATCAGCCACGTCCCACCATCACGACAATGTGTATTCATCAGGCAGGTCCCACCATCACTACAATGTGTATTCATCAGCCACGTCCCACCATCACTACAATGTGTATTCATCAGCCACGTCCCACCATCACGACAATGTGTATTCATCAGGCAGGTCCCACCATCACTACAATGTGTATTCATCAGCCACGTCCCACCATCACTACAATGTGTATTCATCAGCCACGTCCCACCATCACAACAATGTGTATTCATCAGCCACGTCCCACCATCACGACAATGTGTATTCATCAGGCAGGTCCCACCATCACTACAATGTGTATTCATCAGCCACGTCCCACCATCACGACAATGTGTATTCATCAGCCACGTCCAACCATCACTACAATGTGTATTCATCAGCCACATCCCACCATCACTACAATGTGTATTCATCAGCCATGTCCCACCATCACTACAATGTGTATTCATCAGCCACATCCCACCATCACTACAATGTGTATTCATCAGCCACGTCCCACCATCACGACAATGTGTATTCATCAGCCACATCCCACCATCACTACAATGTGTATTCATCAGCCACGTCCCACCATCACAACAATGTGTATTCATCAGCCACGTCCCACCATCACGACAATGTGTATTCATCAGGCAGGTCCCACCATCACTACAATGTGTATTCATCAGCCACATCCCACCATCACTACAATGTGTATTCATCAGCCACATCCCACCATCACTACAATGTGTATTCATCAGCCACGTCCCACCATCACGACAATGTGTATTCATCAGCCACATCCCACCATCACTACAATGTGTATTCATCAGCCACGTCCCACCATCACAACAATGTGTATTCATCAGCCACGTCCCACCATCACGACAATGTGTATTCATCAGGCAGGTCCCACCATCACTACAATGTGTATTCATCAGCCACGTCCCACCATCACGACAATGTGTATTCATCAGCCACGTCCAACCATCACTACAATGTGTATTCATCAGCCACATCCCACCATCACTACAATGTGTATTCATCAGCCACGTCCCACCATCACAACAATGTGTATTCATCAGCCACGTCCCACCATCACGACAATGTGTATTCATCAGGCAGGTCCCACCATCACTACAATGTGTATTCATCAGCCACGTCCCACCATCACGACAATGTGTATTCATCAGCCACGTCCAACCATCACTACAATGTGTATTCATCAGCCACATCCCACCATCACTACAATGTGTATTCATCAGGCAGGTCCCACCATCACTACAATGTGTATTCATCAGCCACGTCCCACCATCACAACAATGTGTATTCATCAGCCACGTCCCACCATCACTACAATGTGTATTCATCAGCCACATCCCACCATCACGACAATGTGTATTCATCAGCCACATCCCACCATCACTACAATGTGTATTCATCAGCCACGTCCCACCATCACTACAAAGTGTATTCATCAGCCACGTCCCACCATCACTACAATGTGTATTCATCAGCCACATCCCACCATCACTACAAAGTGTATTCATCAGACATGTCCCACCATCACTACAAAGTGTATTCATCAGCCACATCCCACCATCACTACAAAGTGTATTCATCAGACATGTCCCACCATCACTACAAAGTGTATTTATCAGCCACGTCCCACCATCACTACAATGTGTATTCATCAGACAGGTCCCACCATCACTACAATGTGTATTCATCAGCCACATCCCACCATCACTACAATGTGTATTCATCAGCCACGTCCCACCATCACTACAATGTGTATTCATCAGCCACATCCCACCATCACTACAATGTGTATTCATCAGCCACATCCCACCATCACCACAATGTGTATTCATCAGCCACATCCCACCATCACTACAATGTGTACTCATCAGCCACGTCCCACCATCACTACAATGTGTATTCATCAGCCACGTCCCACCAAGTCCCACAAATTCTGGACCCAGAATTCCCAGACATTTTGAATGATTAACTTGGAGGAAATTATTGTTGAATAAATAATCAGGTGATAACCACACTTCACATTTCATGTTGACACTGCTGTATATATACTGTCTAAGTATCAATTAATATAGTGTTTCAAGTGTTTATAGACATGCACAATTCATAAGCATTATATATGAATATGATATATATATTATATGAACATTCATTGAAAGTTGAATGTTGACTTGATAGAGAATCTGGTTCCAGTCAACTGTAATGAGGGTAATCTGTATGTTTCAGGCGTTTGTCTGCACGGGAAACAACCACTTCCGGAAACCCAGTACCGAGATGTGGGACTTCTTTGTGAAGAACTGCAATGGCGGGGTGGAGGTTGGTGGATTTTACTAGCTAAGGGACTGTCTAACTAGTTCACTGCTAGTTCAAGTCTAGAATTAATCAATCTTGAATTCTACCCTCTCACCCAGTGTTTGAAATATCCCCAGGCAGATGTCTTGGAGTGTGTATGTACAGGTGTTGTGTTGTGTCTCCAGGTGGACCTGGAGGAGAGTGTGTATGTACAGGTGTTGTGTTGTGTTGTGTTGTGTCTTCAGGTGGACCTGGAGGAGAGTGTGTATGTACAGGTGTTGTGTTGTGTTGTGTCTTCAGCTGGACCTGGAGGAGAGTGTGTATGTACAGGTGTTGTGTTGTGTTGTGTCTTCAGGTGGACCTGGAGGAGAGTGTGTATGTACAGGTGTTGTGTTGTGTTGTGTCTTCAGGTGGACCTGGAGGAGAGTGTGTATGTACAGGTGTTGTGTTGTGTCTTCAGGTGGACCTGGAGGAGAGTGTGTATGTACAGGTGTTGTGTTGTGTCTTCAGGTGGACCTGGAGGAGAGTGTGTATGTACAGGTGTTGTGTTGTGTCTTCAGGTGGACCTGGAGGAGAGTGTGTATGTACAGGTGTTGTGTTGTGTTGTGTCTTCAGGTGGACCTGGAGGAGAGTGTGTATGTACAGGTGTTGTGTTGTGTTGTGTTGTGTCTTCAGGTGGACCTGGAGGAGAGTGTGTATGTACAGGTGTTGTGTTGTGTTGTGTCTTCAGGTGGACCTGGAGGAGAGTGTGTATGTACAGGTGTTGTGTTGTGTTGTGTCTTCAGGTGGACCTGGAGGAGAGTGTGTATGTACAGGTGTTGTGTTGTGTTGTGTCTCCAGGTGGACCTGGAGGAGAGTGTGTATGTACAGGTGTTGTGTTGTGTCTCCAGGTGGACCTGGAGGAGAGTGTGTATGTACAGGTGTTGTGTTGTGTTGTGTCTTCAGGTGGACCTGGAGGAGAGTGTGTATGTACAGGTGTTGTGTTGTGTTGTGTCTTCAGGTGGACCTGAAGGAGAGTGTGTATGTACAGGTGTTGTGTTGTGTTGTGTCTTCAGGTGAACCTGGAGGAGAGTGTGTATGTACAGGTGTTGTGTTGTGTTGTGTCTTCAGGTGGACCTGGAGGAGAGTGTGTATGTACAGGTGTTGTGTTGTGTTGTGTCTCCAGGTGGACCTGGAGGAGAGTGTGTATGTACAGGTGTTGTGTTGTGTTGTGTCTTCAGGTGGACCTGGAGGAGAGTGTGTATGTACAGGTGTTGTGTTGTGTTGTGTCTCCAGGTGGACCTGGAGGAGAGTGTGTATGTACAGGTGTTGTGTTGTGTTGTGTTGTGTTGTGTCTTCAGCTGGACCTGGAGGAGAGTGTGTATGTACAGGTGTTGTGTTGTGTTGTGTCTTCAGCTGGACCTGGAGGAGAGTGTGTATGTACAGGTATTGTGTTGTATTGTGTTGTGTCTTCAGCTGGACCTGGAGGAGAGTGTGTATGTACAGGTGTTGTGTTGTGTTGTGTCTTCAGGTGGACCTGGAGGAGAGTGTGTATGTACAGGTGTTGTGTTGTGTCTTCAGGTGGACCTGGAGGAGAGTGTGTATGTACAGGTGTTGTGTTGTGTTGTGTCTTCAGGTGGACCTGAAGGAGAGTGTGTATGTACAGGTGTTGTGTTGTGTTGTGTCTTCAGCTGGACCTGGAGGAGAGTGTGTATGTACAGGTGTTGTGTTGTGTTGTGTCTTCAGGTGGACCTGGAGGAGAGTGTGTATGTACAGGTGTTGTGTTGTGTTGTGTCTTCAGGTGGACCTGGAGGAGAGTGTGTATGTACAGGTGTTGTGTTGTGTTGTGTCTCCAGGTGGACCTGGAGGAGAGTGTGTATGTACAGGTGTTGTGTTGTGTTGTGTCTCCAGGTGGACCTGGAGGAGAGTGTGTATGTACAGGTGTTGTGTTGTGTTGTGTCTTCAGCTGGACCTGGAGGAGAGTGTGTATGTACAGGTGTTGTGTTGTGTCTTCAGGTGGACCTGGAGGAGAGTGTGTATGTACCGATGTTGTGTTGTGTTGTGTCTTCAGGTGGACCTGGAGGAGAGTGTGTATGTACAGGTGTTGTGTTGTGTTGTGTCTTCAGCTGGACCTGGAGGAGAGTGTGTATGTACAGGTGTTGTGTTGTGTTGTGTCTTCAGCTGGACCTGGAGGAGAGAGTGTATGTACAGGTGTTGTGTTGTGTTGTGTTGTGTCTTCAGGTGGACCTGGAGGAGAGTGTGTATGTACAGGTGTTGTGTTGTGTTGTGTTTTCAGGTGGACCTGGAGGAGAGTGTGTATGTACAGGTGTTGTGTTGTGTTGTGTCTTCAGGTGGACCTGGAGGAGAGTGTGTATGTACAGGTGTTGTGTTGTGTTGTGTTGTGTCTTCAGGTGGACCTGGAGGAGAGTGTGTATGTACCGATGTTGTGTTGTGTCTTCAGGTGGACCTGGAGGAGAGTGTGTATGTACAGGTGTTGTGTTGTGTTGTGTTGGGTTGTGTCTTCAGGTGGACCTGGAGGAGAGTGTGTATGTACCGATGTTGTGTTGTGTCTTCAGGTGGACCTGGAGGAGAGTGTGTATGTACAGGTGTTGTGTTGTGTTGTGTCTTCAGCTGGACCTGGAGGAGAGTGTGTATGTACAGGTGTTGTGTTGTGTCTCCAGGTGGACCTGGAGGAGAGTGTGTATGTACAGGTATTGTGTTGTGTTGTGTCTTCAGCTGGACCTGGAGGAGAGTGTGTATGTACAGGTGTTGTGTTGTGTGTTCAGGTGAACCTGGAGGAGAGTGTGTATGTACAGGTATTGTGTTGTGTTGTGTTGTGTCTTCAGGTGGACCTGGAGGAGAGTGTGTATGTACAGGTATTGTGTTGTGTTGTGTCTTCAGGTGGACCTGGAGGAGAGTGTGTATGTACAGGTGTTGTGTTGTGTTGTGTCTTCAGCTGGACCTGGAGGAGAGTGTGTATGTACAGGTGTTGTGTTGTGTCTCCAGGTGGACCTGGAGGAGAGTGTGTATGTACAGGTGTTGTGTTGTGTCTTCAGCTGGACCTGGAGGAGAGTGTGTATGTACAGGTGTTGTGTTGTGTTGTGTCTTCAGCTGGACCTGGAGGAGAGTGTGTATGTACAGGTGTTGTGTTGTGTCTCCAGGTGGACCTGGAGGAGAGTGTGTATGTACAGGTGTTGTGTTGTGTTGTGTCTTCAGGTGGACCTGGAGGAGAGTGTGTATGTACAGGTGTTGTGTTGTGTTGTGTCTTCAGGTGGACCTGGAGGAGAGTGTGTATGTACAGGTGTTGTGTTGTGTTGTGTCTCCAGGTGGACCTGGAGGAGAGTGTGTATGTACAGGTGTTGTGTTGTGTTGTGTCTTCAGCTGGACCTGGAGGAGAGTGTGTATGTACAGGTGTTGTGTTGTGTTGTGTCTCCAGGTGGACCTGGAGGAGAGTGTGTATGTACAGGTGTTGTGTTGTGTTGTGTCTTCAGCTGGACCTGGAGGAGAGTGTGTATGTACAGGTGTTGTGTTGTGTTGTGTCTTCAGGTGGACCTGGAGGAGAGTGTGTATGTACAGGTGTTGTGTTGTGTTGTGTCTTCAGCTGGACCTGGAGGAGAGTGTGTATGTACAGGTGTTGTGTTGTGTTGTGTCTTCAGCTGGACCTGGAGGAGAGTGTGTATGTACAGGTGTTGTGTTGTGTCTTCAGGTGGACCTGGAGGAGAGTGTGTATGTACAGGTGTTGTGTTGTGTTGTGTCTTCAGCTGGACCTGGAGGAGAGTGTGTATGTACAGGTGTTGTGTTGTGTCTTCAGGTGGACCTGGAGGAGAGTGTGTATATACAGGTGTTGTGTTGTGTTGTGTCTTCAGGTGGACCTGGAGGAGAGTGTCTACGTTGGAGACGCTGCTGGCAGGGCCAAGAACTGGGCACCAGGTAAACCCAGGGACTTCTCCTGTAGTGACCGCATGTTTGCAGCCAATATTGGGATAGGTAAGTGACACTGGATAGGATGACAGCTGATTCTGGCTGATGCCTCTCACTGCTATAATCAACACTCTTTGATTCTTTTATAACTAAAAAAAGTTTCATTCGCTGGAAATATGTTCTGTAGAAACTTTCTCAAAGACATCTCTATCTGAACAATCTTTTGACCTGAAGGTCATGAAAGCATTTTTATGCATGGCACTACACTACCAATAAAGATTGTGAGTAACTAATGTGTTTCCATTCTTGTTGTTTAGATGAGAAAGACAGTACTTTGGTATTTCAGACTTCAAAACCCCGGAGGAGTTCTTCTTGAAGGAGAAGCCTGCCAAGTTTGAATGGGGGTCCCTCAACCCTGTTGAGTATCTGGAAAGCGCCCCAACAGCTGGGAAGAAGAACTATCACAGTGATGTGAGTAACTTCAGCTACACCCCATCGCTTCAAACCTTGTTATCTCCCTTTCACTGACTGTTGGATGTAATTTCAGTTAAGACAGATCAACTAGTCATGCTGCATTTTTCATGACAAATCACAACTAAAACAAGAGTTTGCCACTAACGTGGCTATATCCTCCGCCCCTGTTGCAGAATTTATGACATTGTTAAATCTAAACAAACCCTAACCTTTTTTAACGGAGGTGGAACTTGTCAAGGAACTTGTAAAAAAAAGAAGAGTTTGGAACCTAAGTCCATCTTGTTGCCATGGAAATGTAAAAAATAAAAATTTCTAAAATTTCTAAATAGCAAAAGGCATCAGTTCAGCATGTACCTGACAAACCTGCAAAGTTTTATGAAAAAATATTGAATGGTGTCTGAGTTATGCTCTGGAAACGAAAGGTGACTAACGGACGTACGTACGTATGGACGGACGGACGAAACCCGTTTCTATATCCCCCGCTAACTTAGTTGGGCGGGGGAAAACAAGTTTACTGAGATGTATCAGGAAGTGTTCCTCATCATACAAACTTGCCCTACATTCAAGGATGATGTTTTGTGTTCAGTCACAGGAGGTGGTGATAATGGTGGGTCCCCCGGCTTGTGGAAAGAGTAGCTTCAGGAAACGCTACCTGGAGAAACATGGCTACACTGCAGTCAACAGGGACACCATGGGCACTGTGGAGAAGTGTATCAAGGTGAGAAGGCAGCACTTGTTGTCAATGCTGAAGTGTAGTGCCTGGTACGTCCAGTGTCCACTCCACCTGGGGGAAGTTGACCAGTCAGAACGTGGGGTTCATTTTCAAAAGTGAGATCCTTGCAAAAGGTGCTGACCTGTTGGATTAAGTGATGAACTCCAAAGCATATTAACTCATGTTTCTGCACCAAATGTTTTCAACGACCAGTAATTGGTTTTTAAGTGCGACTCATTTTAGAACATCAACTCCTGGACACACCAAGTGTCCACCTTGTGTGTCCCCCTCATGTATAACACTGACACATACAGCTGGATCATTGGCCTGTGCTTGGTAATGTTGTAGGTGGAATAGTTATCCAACAACACTCTTCTAAGTTGCTCTCAAGTTCTTATAGAGCCCTGACTTGCTAGGATTGTGTTGTGTGTGTTTTAACGGTCCATGTCCTACAGGCTGCTAGCATTGTGTTGTGTGTGTTTTAACGGTCCATGTCCTACAGGCTGCTAGCATTGTGTTGTGTGTGTTTTAATGGTCCATGTCCTACAGGCTGCTAGCATTGTGTTGTGTGTGTTTTAACGGTCCATGTCCTACAGGCTGCTAGCATTGTGTTGTGTGTGTTTTAACGGCCCATGTCCTACAGGCTGCTAGCAGTAGGTTTTGTGTTTGTTTTAATGGTCCATGTCCTACAGGCTGCTAGCATTGTGTTGTGTGTTTTAACGGTCAATGTCCCTACAGGCTGCTAGCATTGTGTTGTGTGTGTTTTAATGGTCCTTGTCCCTACAGGCTGCGAAGGAGGCTCTGAGTTCTGGGAAAAGCGTCGTCGTGGACAACACAAACCCTACAGTAGATGCCAGATCCAGGTTTATTGCCCTGGCAGAAGATGAAGGTGAATATGGAGATTTATTGATCCTATTACTTAAGTATTGATTGCTGTGATAAGTTGAGAGTTCTGTGACTGATTACACCATCAACTCTAATGGATTTGAGTAACTAACACCACTGCACCATCAAGTGTTATAGTCAGGGCTTCTGTGGTTGTTCTGTGGCGAAGGGGGATGTTACAATACAGGATATATACTTCACACTATATGACGTTACAGATGTTCACAGTATTGTGTACATTTCTGATTATCTAGTCATCACTTATATAATTATGCCAAAATCACTAAACAAAGATCAAATAATGAAGAAGCTGTAAAAAGTTGAAGCTGTTTTCAGGAAATCAGTGCAGTTTGCAATCAGTCCTTTGTATTCAATCAAAATGTCTCCCAATGGAAGTGTACGGAGAAGGGCTTCTCAACAAAGTTACGAAGCAAACTGTACCAAAGTCTCCCAAACCAGTGCACTGGCATTGTACCAGTAGATCCAATTCGATCTCGCTATCGGTGCACTAACATTGTCAAGTCTTTGCAGGAATCCCATGTCGGTGCTATTGGATGCAGACGTCTCCTGAGTTGTACAATCACCTGAACTTCGTGAGACAGAATCAGACCAATGGGGAAGTGAGAAGGATTCCGGGTGTAGGATATGCAGTTTTCAAGAAAAACTTCCAGGCACCAACAAAAGATGAAGGATTTTCAGAAATTCTTAAAATTGACTTTGTTCCCCAGTTTGACAATGAGCGTGACAAGGCCTTATTCAAACAGTGGACGACTGGGGGTCACTAGACAAGCCACACCCACACAGGGCAGCTACCTTTATGTGTTCACAGACCATATTCCGGTCAAGATATTGTTTGGGTAGAGTAGAGGAATCGTATTTGTTTGTCTTTTAATGCTCAGGAAAAATATTTCATCAATTTAGCGTAATTTGAAACATATCATTTGTACCACATACCATATCGGGCTGAGAGAGCGCAAGAATAGGTACTTGAAATTTCAAGATAGCTTTTACTTTAGAGTGATCTCCCTTGATAGGCTGCATTGTGGTTAGTTCAGCTGAAGGGGTTGTTGTCAACACAGGTACAACAGATATGTACCCCTGGTATGTTTTTGGTACCCTAGGGTGAGTCCATTCCACCGCAGGCCGTATTGCGCAATGCCCTGAACCAGCTCCTTGAAAGCTTTAGAAGTTTACAACACGTCCTGGATGCCCAACTGCAGTAAAATTCAACATGGCAGTACACGCTGTATATTTTTATTTTTCTCTTGGCATTTCCTTTCCATAAATGGATCAGAACTGTCATGTTGTATGAGATGCATTCCAGTGTGCTATATAAAAAGTGAGCAATCACAGTGATGTACATACATTACTCTAATATTTAACAATGCACAGCATTGTCCTGCATGCACTCGTCGTCTGGCTAGCCAGAACTACAACTGAACCTGTTTCAGTCTCGGGGTACCATTATTCTGATTTTGGCTTGCATATATTTCTGTATTCTGATTTTGACTGGGTATACATGTCTGTATACAGAAACGTACTTGGGGTGCTTGCCCGTAGTGATAATAACAGTATGCCTTTAGCTTAAGGTTCGAGATGCTATCAGAATGATAAGGTGTTCTGTACACATGAATACAGCAATATGTGAATACAATTTTGAATACACTGATCCATTTTACCCCCAAGTTCTTGGAATAATAAAAAATCTACCACATTTGAGACAAGCAAAATGCCATTATTAGACCATAGAATCTTCCCACCCCAGAAGGTTAAGTTTTCTTAGTTAAATCAGATATATAATCAAGTGCAAGTTGATGAGGTTCCACAGAGAAAAGGTGTGTTATCCAGCACTTTAGGAATACGTCCTGCAGACGGACCTTCAAACTCAGGTTCCCAATTGATTGTGGGTTTTAATCCCTGTTTGCCCCGATTATGTTTCTAGGTTTGTCAGCACCATACCTGTGCTTGAGGGCTTCACCGAAGTGGTAAATGTCTGAGACCTGCATCACTTTGGGCTTTCCTCCCACATGAAGATGACATGCCGCGATATAACTGGAATACTGTTAAAAGGGGTGTTAAACCCAACTCTCTAACTCATATCTAGGAATATGCAATAGCTACATGGACCATCTGATAGTACTGTTTAATGTACTTCTTAATGTAGTTTTTTTTGTAGCTTGGGCCGGTTCCTACCCACTGTCATCATACATGTAGCTGTCACTCTGAAAAACATAGCGCTCATTTGCAATTTCATGATTTCATTGTACGAGTAGTTTCTATGAAAAAAAAATGGCAAATGTACTGAACTACTTCAACATATCATTCCAGATCACATATAAAGTAGTTGTGTCCATTTAAAACATTATCATTATTTTTAAGCTCGATGTTTTAAACACTTTTTTTTTATGTACACAACACTGTAATTTAGAAGTGCCTAGTTCATCAATATTTAAGATGTTAAAATGAGCAAAATGAAATCCTTTATATCATGAAAGTAATTAGATTGAAAGTGTACAGTTTCCTATACTGCCTTTAACTATGATCTCACAGTTCCACATACTCCCACTGGGTCAGACAACATTAGGTAGGACAGATGGATACAGGAACTTATTGGAGTCATTGGTCGCCAGAAATTGGTCAGTTCAGAAAAGTTCACGACACATTTCTGATGTGAAGTTTTTGGGGTGTTCAGAAGGTGGGGAGAGGGTTGTTTCTGTTTTTGCATGTAATGCACACACCTTTCCTGCCCTGCTATATCATGGTGGTCAGTAAATAAACTAGTCTGAGCCAGACAAGCCAGTGATTGAAGCCATGAAGAACATTCCTTGCCATCAGGTTTGGTTGTCGGCCATTCAGAGTGGCCACCAGATCTGTTTGAGTGGCCTCTTACGATCAGCATAGGTTACTGCAGACCATTTAAACCATGGGTTACCTGTGTGATGGCTTGAGAAGAGCTTTGATGCAGTGACATCATAAACCCAGTGTTTGTTTGTTGTGTTACGGCACACTCAGGAATTTTCTATCATTATGACTGGTCTGTAAATAGTTGCAAAGTTGGACATGACAATTAAGTCGACATCATGAGCATCGATCCTCACAATTACGATATGATGATGTGCAGTCAACCAAGTCGACGAACCTGATCACCTGATCCATTTAGCCACCTCTTACAACAAACATAGACTGGGGACCAATCTGAACCCAGAATCTCCAATGGTTGTAGGGCTTAAGAATGAAATCCTCCACTGGGTTGTTGTAGAAGGAATTGGATAGGTAGATCCAGAACCCAGAATCTCCACTGGGCTTAGGGCTTCAGAATGAAATCCTCCACTGGGTTGTTGTAGAAGGAATTGGATAGGTAGATCCAGAACCCAGAATCTCCACTGGGCTTAGGGCTTCAGAATGAAATCCTCCACTGGGTTGTTGTAGAAGGAATTGGATAGGTAGATCCAGAACCCAGAATCTCCACTGGGCTTAGGGCTTCAGAATGAAATCCTCCACTGGGTTGTTGTAGAAGGAATTGGATAGGTAGATCCAGAACCCAGAATCTCCACTGGGCTTAGGGCTTCAGAATGAAATTCTCCACTGGGTTGTTGTAGAAGGAATTGGGTAGGTAGATCCAGAACTCAGAATCTCCACTGGGCTTAGGGCTTCAGAATGAAATCCTCCACTGGGTTGTTGTGAAAGGTATTGGATAGGTACATCCAAACTTTTTCCTGATATTGGTTTGGACTCATGGTTACTGTAGCAGCCATACTGAACATTGTGCTTGCCTGTGACTTCTCACTGCATTAAGGAAGCTTGGAGTGTGTGATAACAATATGTGTGTTGGCATACATTTCAACTTAGAATGTTTACCATTAGTTATAATTTTATTGACTTCTCCTAGGTGACCCAAATAATGTTTTCCAGAATTCGTGAAAGTTCATGTGATTAAATGTTGATTCAGGAGAGTTACCGACCACTCTGACTATTGGATCTTACAAAGGAAACATTCTACATAAAAATAATGTAATGTGTTTTTCCTTGTAACAATTAAAACCACAACATCTAAAGAAATAAAGTTTTATTCATAATGATCTCAAGTTTTATTGAGAAGACTTTCAGAAGACTCTTTTAGCAGCATTTAATGCACTTGATGAAGTTAGATCTAATAATGTCATGCTGGAGAATATGGACAACACACCTCTGAATTGTTTCCCAAAGTTAGAAAATACTTGACAAATGTATAAGCAGCTAGTAAAAAGGTTTTACATTCTATCTGACAGATGATAATTTCTCCTCAGTGGATGAGGATGTCAGTGATTGTATAGGATTATAAAATTATCAAATTTGGATTAATTTCATTTTGATTGCACAGATGGCTCCGTGGTCTAAGTCACTGGAGTTCATTGTTGTGTCCCTTTATTGTGTCATGGATCTGCTGATTGTTGTTTGGAATATTAGCTTCCTCTGACTATGGTTGTTATTCTGTCAGCACCAGCACTGTCAGCTGTCCAGGCTGGATTTCTGGAGTTCTATTTTGGCTGGACTAACTTGTCTATGCATAGTCCAATCAAAGTCATTTGGTTCATAAACAACATTGCGGCTACCATATAGATTTCTGTTGATTGCAGGGTTTGCAAGGCATGTGTGCCATCAACTGGGCATCAACAGATATTTTCCAAAACTGTCCACGTATTAATCAAGGTGCTCAAGTGAGTAGAGGCAATTCGCGAGGTAAGACCCATTTCATGACGATAAAGATCTTTATTATCGATCAGATCGTCTTGACTGGGTGCTGCTATTTTGTTTGAAGCAAATGCAAGTGATATCTGTGGAATCTGATTGGTCAGTATGAGGGACATGGAAAGGACATCACCAATTGTAGTGCTATGATCGAGCCACGATATTCCAGCCTAGTTCAGCAAAGGTGGAAACGGGTCTTTTACGGTCAGTTAACTCCCTTGCCTCAGGAAGATGATTTCTTATAAAGGGCGTGAACGTTTGTCACGACCTATGATCATACCTATGGGTATGGTGCTGACAGAATAACAACCATAGTCAGAGGAAGCTAATGTTCCAACCTACCATCAGCAGATCCTGACAAAGCGACATATGACTTGTACTGCAGATACCCTGTCTACCACAAACATCACCTATCTGAATCAGTCTTGTCAATCGTCCTCTCTCGCATCTAGTGAGCTGATCTCTCATGATCTTTCTAGGTCTGGGACGGGTAACTCGGGTACTCGGGTCGGGTGGGTACTGAGTAGGACCCGGGTACCCACAGAGCCGTGGTTAGTCATGTGACATATTGTTTAATGGCAAAAGTTATCTGGAACTCTATGGTTATACGACAAGTCACTAATGCTCACAATTCTTTCTGATATTTCATATGGTTGAATAAAGATATAACTTAATTCAACTTCAGTGTATGAATGACCAGATTGTTTAATACATGTATCTAAATACGTTTTGCCTGGTCTATCCTAAAAATGTTCCCAATCGGACATTTTGAGACATCTCCAGAGACCTACAGTGGGTACCCGGGTAGTAAATTTGGACTCATCCCAGCCCTAGATCTTTCATACCTCTCACATCCATTTAGGCCTAAACAATAATGTGTTTTTTTCAGACACTGGTGCATCAGCAACAAGGTGCGAAGCATTTAATTTTTATTTCAAGTGTAACAGAATTCCTGAATATGTAATAGGATATTTATTCCCCCTGGAGATTCTTTCCAGGAGAAAGTAATATCTTAGGTAAAAATGTCCAGTGTAAAATTGGATATTATTTCCACAGCCAGTATCTTACTAACACTGGAATATTTTCCCACCCCTAATCTATATCATAAACATGTCACCAAATTTGTAAAAAATGAATACAAAATAAATTATGTAACCTGAGCAAATGTGATATATTATTATATATTTACACCAACACTTCATATTAACATAGAAAAAAAGATATTTTCCCATATGAATAATCTTTCCTCCAGAAACTCTTTGAAGTTGGGAACATTAATCGTTTACATATAGACCACTTATGATACTCGGAGGAAATAGGCATCAAACACATAGTAATATATCAACAGTGACTGTCACATCTGTATTAGGGTAGTCTGTCTTACAGACCCTGATACATTTATATCAACTACAGCCCATGCAAGTCTATAATGTTTGGCAAGTCTAGATTACTGCAGTATCAGGAAATGAAAAGAGAATCACTGGGCTCCCTTTTTATTAGATTTTTATTAAGATAACTGAACAACTGTTTTTTTCTGTACGATATGTTCATTTCAGAGACTATATGTTAGTCTAGTATTAGGGGTGAAACAATACTTTCGTTCACTCACTCCATAGTACCATAGTAAACCTTTTAAAAATATAATCACATTGTTCATAGACTTATAATTAAAAATAACAATCATAAACAAAAAAAGATAACACATACTGATGATATTGACTGCATTAACCAGACTAGGCAAACATGCATTTTACATACTGTTGCTGTATAATTCAAATAAATATTCCAATATGTAAGTAACACAGACACAAATGAAAAGACTCGCGACTGGAGAAATTGCTAGAGATATATCCATGGTTAAAGATACCCTGACATACATTTCCTGCAGTCTAAAAATATTCTGATCAGACAAAAATCATGAGTGAAGTAAGGCTCTCCCAAGGTCATCAGAATCAGAGACCGTATATCGGTATATGGTCTCTGTCAGAATGTTGACAGGTTGGAATGCTAAAACATGGAGAGATGGTTGTCTGGAGTCAGGACTTGGGAAAGGAGTACACGACCACAGCCCCAGACAGTCTGTCCCCCATACTGCTGTGCAGGGCCGTCACTACCAGATTCACCTGAAGTCATAATGATGAAAGTAAACAAAAGGCAGGCATCATTTCGTCTGCAAAGAAGGTGTAAAACTGGGTGAGTCTTTCTGTGGCCATGTCAGCAATATTCCAGCTATATACTGCTTGCCTGTACATATCATACACCTCTAGTGGTGTAATTGTTTACATATAGTAGGATAACCTCTCAACAGGGACCTTCTCCAGAATATCCCTCTGTTGTGGGTATGTTCTGTGGAGTGAGTGAGTGAGTTGGGTTTAATGCCACCTTTATTATTATTCCACTTATATCATGGCGTGTCAGCTTGATGTGGGGGTACGTTTACCACTTTGGTGAAACCCACAACCACGGGTATGGTGCTGACAAACCTAGAAACATTACCGGGGCGAATCAGGATTTGAACCCACAATCAAAGATATCTGGCATGCCCAAGGAGTGCAACTCAGCACAGAGAATTGTGGCACCTAAGACGTCTAGGCCATCCGTGCCCCCCTATATTCTGTGGAAAGTAGCTCCGGCCCAGGGATATTCTATTGAAAGTTCTTTGGCATCTGGTTCCCATGACACACAACCATCCAGGTTCCACACTGGAACAATCTCATTAAACAACAGCATCAGCTAGTGGGGACAATTTCTACCCCGAAATCCCCACAAAAATGTCAATCCTCACTGTAATATCAATATTATACATGATTAAGCAAACATACTGTATGTTTAGACCTGACAACAGCGATATTCGTCCCAAACTGAGCTCCGTCTTCCCCAAGGTTCAGCTCGTAAGATGCCTGAAATTACAACTGGAAATACTACCAAAGGAACACAATAACATTTTCTGTAATCCTTATTTCATGTTTGTTCACTAAAATCTACTTCACATTTGTTCACCTCATAGATTCTTTTGACATCAATATTTTGATGTCCCCCATGTTTTATGCTGCTATCTAGACATACTGTGTTTATATTTCAGACTCTTTCGTGTCATCTTCCCGAGTAAAGGGAGTTAACTGACTGTAAAAGTCCAGTTTCCACCCTTGCCGAACTAGGCTGCAGTTAAGGAGTTACATTTTGGCTGGACTAACGAGTCTATGCATAGTCCAATCAAAATCGCATAACGAACTAGACATCTGGTTTGTAAACAACATGGATTTCTTTCATGTTTTTAATCAAGGTGCTCACGTGATTTGATGCACTTTTTGGGGTAAGACCCATTTTATTACAATACAGATCTTGACTATTGAACAGATCATCTTGACTGGGCGCAAGTGATATGAGAGATGGAATCTGGTTGGTCAATAGGAGGAACATAGAAGGGACATAACTTGTAATAGCCACTGGTGGCGCTACGATCGAACCTGGAAATTCCAGCCAAGTTCGGCAAGGGTGGAAACTGAACTTTTATCGTCAATAAATGCCCTTGCCTTGGGAAGATGGTTTCGTGTCAACACTGCTTGTTACCATTAATATTCCGTTAGCCACGAAATAACTTTTTTAGACTTCTAAATATCCAAGCAACAAGCATGTTTTGACAGAATGATGCCTGTTTGAAGCTTAATTCCAAGGCACACTGTGAGAGTTGCTCATACAGGCTGACCTAAATCAGAGCTTCAGAAACATGCAGTCGACTCCCTTGACAAATCCAGGAACAGAGCAAATAGTATCTACTTATCTGGCCACATATCTGACAAGGGTGTTTCCAACTTGTTTTTGTTACTTTCTACACCTTGCGATGTGACATTACCACACAAAGAATAACCATCAACTCAACAAACTGACTCTCAATGGTCGGAGTGAGTTGGCTAGTCTGTCATACAGACCCTGAAACAAATATAGCCCATGTAGCCCATGCAAGTCTATAATAGTTGGCATGTCTAGATTACCTCAGCTTCTTCTGGGTTCCTATTTTGTTAAGATAATTTAACAACTGTTTTTTTGTAAAAACTATTTTCATTTCAGAGACAAGATGTCAGTCTACACCATCTGTGCCTGCCTTCTGGCACACTACTTGTAAGTGACATGGTGATAAAAGCTATGAAGATATCTCTCCCACTCACGATTGTGACAATATTTACACACAAGCAGATCCCTGATGTGGAGAATTTCTAATATCTATATTTGAGTTACCCACCTTTTGTCCTGGACAAGGCTCTATGAAGGAGAGAGTCTGGCAGTCATACAAGGCCCTGTCTCCCACAGGGAAGCCCTTGCCACCACTGTATATGAACACCCGACCCGCCTCAGCTGTAATACAACATGAAGTCTGGTAGGGCTGGGACGAATAACTCGGGTACTCCGGTTGGGTGGGTACTGAGTAGGACCTGGGTACCCACAGGATATACTGTTTCATGACAAAAGTTCATTATAACTCCATGGTTACACTACAAGTCACTAATGATCACATTTTTTCTGACTATGCACACATTTCTTCTGACTTTTATATGTTCCAGTAAAGATTATAAACATTCGGTCAACTTCTGTGTGTGCATGACAAGATCGTATTAAATGTGTATCAAAATACTTTTTGCCAGGGCTGCTGTTAAACAATTCCCAATCGGACATTTTGTACCGAAGTTCCTGGACTTGTCCCAGCCCTAGTGTTTAGTCCGTGAATGCGGGTAACACTGTAAGCTAATCAACCAATGAGGCAGCTTCTGTGAGCTCCAACATCTGTTTTTTTCTGCTGGTACAGCTGTGAGTTTTGTAGCTCTCACAAATATCTTCATAGTTGTAACATTATCAATCAAATTCTAGGGCAATTTCATCTTGTCGGTACTGAAATGTGAACATGCAGCCCATCTGGACATCCTTACCCACCTCCATATAACTCTTCTGTCACATCATCTGTACGGAGTGGGGCGGTGACAATAAGGTCGTCGTAGCCGTCCGTGTTCAGATCAGCAAACTAACAGAGGTGAAAATAAGGGTAGGGAGTATTTTCTACAGTTTTTACTGCTTCAGGGCAAGATGTGCATCACTTTAGGTTATTATTATTATTATTATTGTTTTATTGCTTGAATAAGCAAATGTTAATATATTATAATTTCCAAACATCTGTATCAGATATGAAGACATGTTTCCTTGAAGTGACTGGCACAGATTATTACTTAATTGCGTGGCCGTTTATTGGTTTCTAAGACCAACTCACCTTGACCTTTGCCCCGAACCTACTATACCGTCTGTCCCCTGCATACAGCGCCACCTGTTGAGACAGTGAGGTGATGTTGGTGATGTTGAGGAGATGTACCACCCCAGCCTGTGTGAACTTGGCATCCAGTAGCATCACCTTGCCCTCCACATCTGTGGGGTAACAGTAGTAGCAGGTCAGTCATACAGTCCAGGCAGTGGTCTCATTAATATCAGAGTCATTGTAATTAGTGAAAATATTTTAAAACTGCATCCGCATCATTTCAGGGCCAACATAATGGCATATGTGCTTGCACTTTAACCTGGAACTGTCATACCAAAGGGTGATGCAGAGAGCACTGATCCGGCTGCCCAGGTACCACAACGACATGGCAAGACACTGGTTGTAGGTCTTCCAAGGTTTGTTGTCAACAATGCAGCAAGACACTGGTTGTAGGTCCTCCAAGATTTGCTGTCAACAATGCAGCAAGACACTGGTTGTAGGTCTTCCAAGGTTTGTTGTCAACAATGCAGCAAGACACTGGTTGTAGGTCCTCCAAGATTTGCTGTCAACAATGCAGCAAGACACTGGTTGTAGGTCCTCCAAGATTTGCTGTCAACAATGCAGCAAGACACTGGTTGTAGGTCTTCCAAGGTTTGTTGTCAACAATGCAGCAAGACACTGGTTGTAGGTCTTCCAAGGTTTGTTGTCAACAATGCAGCAAGACACTGGTTGTAGGTTCTCCAAGATTTGCTGTCAACAATGCAGCAAGACACTGGTTGTAGGTCTTCCAAGGTTTGTTGTCAACAATGCAGCAAGACACTGGTTGTAGGTCCTCCAAGATTTGCTGTCAACAATGCAGCAAGACACTGGTTGTAGGTCTTCCAAGGTTTGTTGTCAACAATGCAGCAAGATACTGGTTGTAGGTTCTCCAAGATTTGCTGTCAACAATGCAGCAAGACACTGGTTGTAGGTCTTCCAAGGTTTGTTGTCAACAATGCAGCAAGACACTGGTTGTAGGTCTTCCAAGGTTTGTTGTCAACAATGCAGCAAGACACTGGTTGTAGGTCTTCCAAGGTTTGTTGTCAACAATGCAGCAAGACACTGGTTGTAGGTCTTCCAAGGTTTGTTGTCAACAATGCAGCACACACTGGTTGTAGGTTCTCCAAGATTTGTTGTCAACAATGCAACAAGACACTGGTTGTAGGTTCTCCAAGGTTTGTTGTCAACAATGCAGCAAGACACTGGTTGTATGTCCTCCAAGGTGTGTTGTCAACAATGCAGCAAGACACTGGTTGTAGGTCCTCCACGATTTGCTGTCAACAATGCAGCAAGACACTGGTTGTAGGTCCTCCAAGGTTTGTTGTCAACAATGCAGCAAGACACTGGTTGTAGGTCCTCCAAGGTTTGTTGTCAACAATGCAGCAAGACACTGGTTGTAGGTCTTCCAAGGTTTGTTGTCAACAATGCAGCAAGACACTGGTTGTAGGTTCTCCAAGATTTGTTGTCAACAATGCAGCAAGACACTGGTTGTAGGTTCTCCAAGGTTTGTTGTCAACAATGCAGCAAGACACTGGTTGTAGGTTCTCCAAGATTTGTTGTCAACAATGCAGCAAGACACTGGTTGTAGGTTCTCCAAGATTTGTTGTCAACAATGCAGCAAGACACTGGTTGTAGGTCTTCCAAGGTTTGCTGTCAACAATGCAGCAAGACACTGGTTGTAGGTCCTCCAAGGTGTGTTGTCAACAATGCAGCAAGACACTGGTTGTATGTCCTCCAAGATTTGTTGTCAACAATGCAGCAAGACACTGGTATTATGTCCTCGAAGGTTTGTTGTCAACGACAAACAGCAGTAAAAAATCATGTCTGGACCAGACATTATGAGAAACATGGACCACCTGATCCTCACTTTAAAATATATGACAAGGGAATGTTTAAAATAAAACAATTTACTGGCCAATAGTGTAGCTAGTATAAAATGATTTGTCCCTCTAAAAGATTCACTAGCTATCTGGGCAAATTAACACTGTCCTAACTACATACAGGAAAGGACTGAGTTTTTTCCCACCTTGCACATCGCAAACAGCTGTAAGCAGTTTCGTGCTATTATGGGTAAGACTAGTCGTGTATAGTTGACAGTGCCGAAAGACCTCTGTTGAAAATCTGAAGAGGTTAGTTCAAGTGTGATTTCACCCAAAATACAGGATTATGGCAATGATGTACAAGAGGTAGAGTATAAGAATTATTAACTATTGCCATGACAACGCTGTGATAACCACACTCACAGACAATGTAGCTCACCTTCCCCCACTGCTGACACGGCCAGTATTGTGTCTCCCCCTGGTAGGGGCTGGCCTATATCGAAGCTGGAGCCAAACTGCTGGAACTGCCTACTGCCTGATTTTGTTGTTGATAAAGTGACCCCTGTCACTGGGGCGTAGAACATGTGGAACTGTCCCACACTCTGGGTGTCGTTGTCATCATAGGAACAATTGTATCTGTAAGACAGAGTCAGTTGTATAGTACTCCCATCAAATCTTCAGATTAGGACAACATGGAAGGACATAATTATGTTGATACAGTTTCATATATGAATACCATGGTATGATGAGGAAGATATGGGATGCTTGTCTAAAGCTTGCCTTGTCACTTCTAAGGAGGAACACATTTTGATAATTCTGACATGATATGATATATAATGGCATAAATGTGTGTGGTGTGGTTTTCCCCAATATTTGCTTCAAGACTTACATGTGTCTCCACACCAGATACTTCAAGACCTGTGTCTCCCTAGTGTCCTGAAGACTAACATGTGACTCCCCAGTAGGTAGTTCCTGCAGACTAACATGTGACTCCCCAATACATGGTTCCTGCAGACTAACATGTGACTCTCCAATACATGGTTCCTGCAGACTAACATGTGACCCCCTAGTAGGTGGTCCCTGCAGACTAACATGTGACTCCCCAATTGGTGGTTCCTGCAGACTAACATGTGACTCCCCAAAACATGGTTCCTGAAGACTAACATGTGACCCCCTAGTTGGTGGTTCCTGCAGACTAACATGTGACTCCCCAGTTGATGGTTCCTGCAGTCTAACATGTGACTACCCAATACATGGTTCCTTAAGACTAACATGTGACCCCCTAGTAGATGGTTCCTGCAGTCTAACATTTGTTTCCCCATTAGGTGGTTTCTGCAGAATAACATGTGACTCCCCAGTTGGTGGTTTCTGCAGACTAACATGTGACTCCCCAGGTGGTGGTTTCTGCAGACTAACATGTGACTCCCCAGGTGGTGGTTTCTGCAGACTAACATGTGACCCCCCAGTTGGTGGTTCTGCAGTCTAACATGTGACTCCCCAATACATGGTTTCTGCAGACTAACATGTGACCCCCTAGTAGGTGGTTCCTGCAGTCTAACATTTGTTTCCCCATTAGGTGGTTTCTGCAGAATAACATGTGACTCCCCAGTTGGTGGTTTCTGCAGACTAACATGTGACTCCCCAGTTGGTGGTTTCTGCAGACTAACATGTGACTCCCCAGGTGGTGGTTTCTGCAGACTAACATGTGACTCCCCAGTTGGTGGTTCTGCAGTCTAACATGTGACTCCCCAATACATGGTTCCTGCAGACTAACATGTGACCCCCTAGTTGGTGGTTCCTGCAGACTAACATGTGACTCCCCAATACATGGTTTCTGCAGACTAACATGTGACTCCCCAGTTGGTGGTTCCTGAAGACTAACATTTGTCTCCCCATTAGGTGGTTTCTGCAGACTAACATGTGACCCCCCAATACATGGTTTCTGCAGACTAACATGTGACTACCCTAGTAGGTGGTTCCTGCAGTCTAACATTTGTCTCCCCATTAGGTGGTTCCTGCAGACTAACATGTGACTCCCCAATACATGGTTCCTGAAGACTAACATGTGACCCCCTAGTTGGTGGTTCCTGCAGTCTAACATTTGTCTCCCCATTAGGTGGTTTCTGCAGACTAACATGTGACCCCCTAGTAGGTGGTTCCTGCAGTCTAACATTTGTTTCACCATTAGGTGGTTTCTGCAGACTAACATGTGACTCCCCAGTTGGTGGTTTCTGCAGACTAACATGTGACTCCCCAGTTGGTGGTTTCTGCAGACTAACATGTGACTCCCCAGTTGGTGGTTCTGCAGTCTAACATGTGACTCCCCAATACATGGTTCCTGCAGACTAACATGTGACCCCCTAGTTGGTGGTTCCTGCAGACTAACATGTGACTCTCCAGTTGATGGTTTCTGCAGACTAACATGTGACTACCCTAGTAGGTGGTTCCTGCAGTCTAACATTTGTCTCCCCATTAGGTGGTTCCTACAGACTAACATGTGACTCCCCAATACATGGTTCCTGAAGACTAACATGTGACCCCCTAGTTGGTGGTTCCTGCAGTCTAACATTTGTCTCCCCATTAGGTGGTTTCTGCAGACTAACATGTGACTCCCCAATACATGGTTTCTGCAGACTAACATGTGACTACCCTAGTAGGTGGTTCCTGCAGACTAACATGTGACTCCCCAGTTGGTGGTTCTGCAGTCTAACATGTGACTCCCCAATACATGGTTCCTGCAGACTAACATGTGACCCCCTAGTTGGTGGTTCCTGCAGACGAACATGTGACTCTCCAGTTGGTGGTTTCTGCAGACTAACATGTGACTACCCTAGTAGGTGGTTCCTGCAGTCTAACATTTGTCTCCCCATTAGGTGGTTCCTGCAGACTAACATGTGACTCCCCAATACATGGTTTCTGCAGACTAACATGTGACTACCCTAGTAGGTGGTTCCTGCAGTCTAACATTTGTCCCCCTATTAGTTGGTTCCTGCAGACTAACATGTGACTCCCCAGTTGGTGGTTTCTGCAGACTAACATGTGACTTCCCAGTTGGTGGTTTCTGCAGACTAACATGTGACTGCCTAGTAGGTGGTTCCTGCAGACTAACATGTGACTCCCCAGTTGGTGGTTCCTGCAGGCTAACATGTGACTCCCCAAATAGGTGGTTTCTGCAGACTAACATGTGACCCCCCAGTTGGTGGTTTCTGCAGACTAACATGTGACTCCCCAGTTGGTGGTTCTGCAGTCTAACATGTGACTCCCCAATACATGGTTCCTGCAGACTAACATGTGACCCCCTAGTTGGTGGTTCCTGCAGACTAACATGTGACTCCCCAATACATGGTTTCTGCAGACTAACATGTGACTCCCCAGTTGGTGGTTCCTGAAGACTAACATTTGTCTCCCCATTAGGTGGTTTCTGCAGACTAACATGTGACCCCCCAATACATGGTTTCTGCAGACTAACATGTGACTACCCTAGTAGGTGGTTCCTGCAGTCTAACATTTGTCCCCCTATTAGGTGGTTCCTGCAGACTAACATGTGACTGCCTAGTAGGTGGTTCCTGCAGACTAACATGTGACTCCCCAGTTGGTGGTTCCTGCAGGCTAACATGTGACTCCCCAAATAGGTAGTTCCTGCAGACTAACATGTGACTCCCCAATACATGGTTCCCGCAGAGAAACATGTGACTGCCTAGTAAGTGGTTCTTGCAGACAAACATGCAACTCCCCAGTAGATGGTCCTTGCAGACTAACATGTGCATATTACAGGTGACGGGATGGAGAGTCAGCAAGACGTCAGTACTCACAGCCTACAGTTCCTGAAGGTGGGCTGACTGACCATCAGCAGCTGCTGACCGCTGGGGTGTTGCCTGAGTGCTAGGTCTTGTCCCAGCCAGCCATAGTCCTGCAATGACATGTGACATGTGACCTGAATCACCACAGGGTGAGAGAACACAAAGAATGGACAGCACATGAAGGCCTACCATGAGAATACAAACATGTAGAGTGAACAATGCTTTCAGCCTACCTACTGCTGTAACAGATACAACAGACAGAGATGTCTGCAGCATGCCCCTCACCTGCTGTCCACTGTTCGTCCAGTCCAGGGTGTCTACGGTCAGGGCGGTCACATCTACAGATGGATGAGGATGCATGCAGATGACCAGGATATCACAGAACACAGTTCATCATTCAACATAGCAGCAACTCAGTGTGGATGCTCCTCACCAGTTAGATTGTCAACAGACAGCTTTTTTAAGTTTTTAGGATGTTTGCAGTGGCCGCAGAAAAACAACAGTTACTGGGTGTTAAGACTTTTGTGGAGGTATTTTTCAAATCCATCACATAGATATTAACTATGTATGATTTATTTTCTGATTAAGGCTTTTTGTACAGTCGATTGAGTAAAACCTAAACAAATCAAAATATCGCCTAATGCCCATGCTGAGGAATCAGTATCCGCTTCTATTAGATAAAAAAAACTGAAACAGAAATACTTGAAATGTTCAAAGATATTCAGTGTTACCCTCTGTGTACTTTTTGCTGGCATACACAGTTCCTATAAAGCCTCGCTGTTGGCCACCGGCTGGAGCAAACGGGGAGCCAAGAATGAGATCAGGATGTCCGTCTCCACTGAGGTCGCCAGCAGACAGGGACCATCCATTGTTGCAGAATGTATCCTGTAGAATATAGAAACTGTGCCTTCCAGTATCACAACTCTTTCACCATGTGGAATTTTCCATTTTCAGTAGAATCTCATCATCTCCAGTCACTGGGAATATCATACAAGAGGGGTTCAATTCACAGTTGTGACACTGTGATCAAATTAATTACAGCACTCCATTTGTCACAAACTTATAACTTTAACTCAACATAATGTTTCACTCTGTGTAATACTTGTTACAATACTGACCTGCCTGCCCCCAGTTGCCTCTGTGCCAAATATTCTATATTTAAGTACTGTTCAGAAAAAGACTATTCAGCTCAAATTCCTTTTTCTGCAAGTAATTGATCACTACACGTTACTCAAGTTAGTCCATTTTCCAAAGGTCACAGACTCCTGTTTATTTTACTGCCGTGTCACAGCAAGACAATCTGCTCAGCGACTCAAGTGCTTGTGGATATACCTCTATGGCAAGTTATGTCACAGCAAGACAATCTGCTCAGTGACTCGAGTGCTTGTGGATATACCTCTATGGCAAGTTATGTCACAGCAAGACAATCTGCTCAGCGACTCAAGTGCTTGTGGATATACCTCTATGGCAAGTTATGTCACAGCAAGACAATCTGCTCAGTGACTCGAGTGCTTGTGGATATCCTCTATGGCAAGTTATGTCACAGCAAGACAATCTGCTCAGCGACTCGAGTGCTTGAGGGTATACCTCTATGGCAAGTTATGTCCACAACAGAGAATTCACTATTATGCCATTCCATCTATGTGAGGCTCAGAACTTGTCAATCAACACTGATACATATTTCTGTTTGGCTACAAATCATATAATATTTTTAAAAAATATGCACATATCACTATCTTGATTATATGATTATATGATTTTTTCTGAAAATGTTGGGTATTGTCACCAATGTGATTACCTTGCAGCTGATAGTCATGTTGACTTGTGAGAATCTGAACATGTCGTACCTGCTTCCATAGTACACATACACCATACCCTGAAACAGACACAAGTTCACTTACACCACAGCCTGAAACAGACATAAGTACACGTACACAACAGCCTGAAACAGACCTTAGTACACGTACACCACAGCCTGAAACAGACCTTAGTACACGTACACCACAGCCTGAAACAGACATAAGTACACGTACACCACAGCCTGAAACAGACATAAGTACACGTACACCACAGCCTGAAACAGACATTAGTACACGTACACCACAGCCTGAAACAGACATAAGTACACGTACACCACAGCCTGAAACAGACATTAGTACACGTACACCACAGCCTGAAACAGACATAAGTACACGTACACCACAGCCTGAAACAGACATTAGTACACTTACACCACAGCCTGAAATAGACATTAGTACACGTACACCACAGCCTGAAACAGACATTAGTACACGTACACCACAGCCTGAAAACAGACATTAGTACACTTACACCACAGCCTGAAACAGACATAAGTACACGTACACCACAGCCTGAAACAGACCTTAGTACACGTACACCACAGCCTGAAACAGACCTTAGTACACGTACACAACAGCCTGAAACAGACATAAGTACACTTACACCACAGCCTGAAACAGACATAAGTACACGTACACCACAGCCTGAAACAGACATTAGTACATGTACACCACAGCCTGAAACAGACATAAGTACACTTACACCACAGCCTGAAACAGACATTAGTACACGTACACCACAGCCTGAAACAGACATAAGTACACGTACACCACAGCCTGAAACAGACATTAGTACACTTACACCACAGCCTGAAACAGACATTAGTACACGTACACCACAGCCTGAAACAGACATTAGTACACGTACACCACAGCCTGAAACAGACATTAGTACACTTACACCAAAGCCTGAAACAGACATAAGTACACATACACCACAGCCTGAAACAGACATAAGTACACGTACACCACAGCCTGAAACAGACATTAGTACACTTACACCACAGCCTGAAACAGACATAAGTACACATACACCATACCCTGAAACAGACATTAGTACACTTACACCACAGCCTGAAACAGACATAAGTACACATACACCACAGCCTGAAACAGACATAAGTACACGTACACCACAGCCTGAAATAGACATTAGTACACTTACACCACAGCCTGAAACAGACATAAGTACACATACACCACAGCCTAAAACAGACCTTAGTCCACATACACCACAGCCTGAAACAGACATTAGTACACGTACACCACAGCCTGAAATAGACATTAGTACACTTACACCACAGCCTGAAACAGACATAAGTACACGTACACCACAGCCTGAAACAGACATTAGTACACTTACACCACAGCCTGAAACAGACATTAGTACACGTACACCACAGCCTGAAATGGACATTAGTACACTTACACCACAGCCTGAAACAGACATAAGTACACATACACCACAGCCTAAAACAGACCTTAGTACACGTACACCACAGCCTGAAACAGGCATAAGTACACGTACACCACAGCCTGAAACAGACATTAGTACACTTACACCACAGCCTGAAACAGACATAAGTACACGTACACAACAGCCTGAAACAGACATAAGTACACGTACACCACAGCCTGAAACAGACATTAGTACACGTACACCACAGCCTGAAACAGACATAAGTACACGTACACCACAGCCTGAAACAGACATAAGTACACTTACACCACAGCCTGAAACAGACATAAGTACACGTACACCATACCCTGAAACAGACATTAGTACACGTACACCATACCCTGAAACAGACATAAGTACACATACACCATACCCTGAAACAGACATTAGTACACGTACACCATACCCTGAAACAGACATAAGTACACATACACCATACCCTGAAACAGACATAAGTACACGTACACCACAGCATGAAACAGACATAAGTACACGTACACAACAGTCTGCATCAGATAATGGACACTTCCACTCAGGCAGCTGATACTGTGAATCATGAAATTAACCCCGACTTCTTTTTCCCTAAATTTGATAAAAAACCATGCAGTAGTTTTCTTGTTATAGGTCGCACAAAAAGGTAAAAAAATTGAAAAATAGTGTGTTTTTTTATCAGAATTCTTTTGAGGTATAAAAAGTTTTCAGTAAGTTTGAAAAGAATAAAAGTGGTAGGCCGTACAAAAGATTGTCCTTGGAAGGATGGATGGATGGAAGGAGGGATGGAAAGAAGGACGTACAGAATTCCTTGGTATAACTATATACCCCCTCCCTTTTAGGTCAGAGTTATAATTAATGTGAAAACTGTGTCTCCTGCTCATAATAATATTGTGACACATTAACATCTGAACACATTGGAGCTCATTGCCACTGTCAATGCTGGTGTAACAACACTTGCAACCTATCATTCCTTCTCATCGGAGAATGACTAATAGAAAACTGCCAACAAGGAAAGTAGAAGTGAGAGATGTAAGGTGAGAAACGAAAAACTCGACATCATTATCAGTATTCTGTGATAAGGGCAGTGAAATGAGGTGACATCGAAGGAGTTAACTTGTGAACAATCACACAACAGGCAGTGAAAGGATGTGACATGGAAGGAGTTAACTTGTGAACAATCACACAACAGGCAGTGAAATGATGTGACATCGAAGGAGTCAACTTGTGAACAATCACACAACATGCAGTGAAAGGATGTGACATCGAAGGAGTTAACTTGTGAACAATCACACAACAGGCAGTGAAATGATGTGACATGGAAGGAGTCAACTTGTGAACAATCACACAACATGCAGTGAAATGATGTGACATCGAGTCAACTTGTGAACAATCACACAACAGGCAGTGAAAGGATGCGACATGGAAGGAGTTAACTTCTGAGCAATCACACAACAGGCAGTGAAATGATGTGGCATCGAAGGAGTTAACTTGTGAACAATCACACAACAGGCATGAACCAGTCAAAAAGGGTGAAGCTGAATCATATTTTTTCTGATATCCCACGTGCGATAGTTTCTCATTATCAGGCATACCCTACAATGCCGTGTCATATCCTACCTACAGACACTAGTCCTGGAACGGCTTATGTTACCTGGTACTTGAGGGGGGTGGACTCTGATGCCATGTTGGGGGCGCCGACAGCTAGGTCATTGATGCCATCCATGTTGATATCAACGATCGCAAGAGACGAGCCGAACCTGGCCTGGGCCTGGGAGATATGCATGACACCACAATATAAGTACATGGAGCCGGATATTATTGCAAAGCATGTTGTTTCATTTGTTTTGAAATCATGTTGAGTCAAACATATGTTTCTGCTGTTTACCTCATTATGGTTAATTTCAAGAAGCAAACAATTCAACAGGCTCCACAAGACTTCACTGATGGAAACAGAGGTAAGTATCCGGTTTTGATACTTACCTTAAATGGGCCGTTCAGAACTTGGTTTGCTTGAACATTCAGATTTTCCATTGTTTTAAGCGGCAGACCATGGTCTGTTCCTGTAGAACATAACATAAGATATAACATATCCTAGACGGTCTCAAGGGGTGTGCTATAGTCAGTGTTACTGAGTCAATCTAGCAGAAATCTTACTTAGTCAGTAAATGCTCATTCTCCATTCTGCCTTTGTGTATTTTTTCCAAGGAATTTTGACTTTTACCAAACTGCTAGGCTCAACTACCATGTCAAGGCTTAATAACAATGAGCTACCAGTTTCCCCACCTACCATAGATGATGAAGACTTTGCCGTCTTGTGGGGAGAACTCACTGCCGTGCCCTGGGGCACCAACAGCCAGGTCATCTTGACCATCGTCATTCAGGTCGCCAACAGCCAGTGACCTGCACAAAACACTGTGAGATTATAAACACTGTGAGGGTATAAACACTGTGAGGGTATAAACACTGTGAGGGTATAAACACTGTGAGGGTATAAACACTGTGAGATTATAAACACTGAGGGTATAAACACTGTGAGGGTATAAACACTGTGAGGGTATAAACACTGTGAGATTATAAACACTGTGAGGGTATAAACACTGTGAGATTATAAACACTGTGAGGGTATAAACACTGTGAGGGTATAAACATTGTGAGATTATAAACACTGAGGGTATAAACACTGTGAGGGTATAAACACTGTGAGGCTATTAGCACTGTGAGGGTATAAACACTGTGAGGGTATAACACTGTGAGATTATAAACACTGTGAGGGTATAAACACTGTGAGATTATAAACACTGTGAGATTATAAACACTGTGAGATTATAAACACTGTGGGGGTATAAACACTGTGAGATTATAAACACTGTGAGGCTATTAACACTGTGAGGGTATAAACACTATGGGGTATAAACACTGTGAGATTATAAACACTGTGAGGGTATAAACACTGTGAGATTATAAACACTGTGAGGGTATAAACACTGTGAGGGTATAAACACTGTGAGGCTATTAGCACTGTGAGGGTATAAACACTGTGAGGGTATAAACACTGTGAGATTATAAACACTGTGAGATTATAAACACTGTGAGGGTATAAACACTGTGAGGGTATAAACACTATGGGGTATAAACACTGTGAGATTATAAACACTGTGAGGGTATAAACACTGTGAGATTATAAACACTGTGAGGGTATAAACACTGTGAGGGTATAAACACTGTGAGGCTATTAGCACTGTGAGGGTATAAACACTGTGAGGGTATAAACACTGTGAGATTATAAACACTGTGAGATTATAAACACTGTGAGGTTATAAACACTGTGAGGGTATAAACACTGTGAGATTATAAACACTGTGAGAATATAAACACTGTGAGGTTATAAACACTGTGAGATTATAAACACTGTGAGGGTATAAACACTGGGAGGTTATAAACACTGTGAGGTTATATACACTGTGAGGGTATAAACACTGTGAGGTTGTATACACGGTGAGGGTATAAACATTGTGAGATTATAAACACTGTGAGGGTATAAACACTGTGAGGGTATAAACACTGTGAGGCTATTAGCACTGTGAGGGTATAAACACTGTGAGGGTATAACACTGTGAGATTATAAACACTGTGAGATTATAAACACTGTGAGGGTATAAACACTGTGAGATTATAAACACTGTGAGATTATAAACACTGTGAGATTATAAACACTGTGGGGGTATAAACACTGTGAGATTATAAACACTGTGAGGCTATTAACACTGTGAGGGTATAAACACTATGGGGTATAAACACTGTGAGATTATAAACACTGTGAGGGTATAAACACTGTGAGATTATAAACACTGTGAGGGTATAAACACTGTGAGGGTATAAACACTGTGAGGCTATTAGCACTGTGAGGGTATAAACACTGTGAGGGTATAAACACTGTGAGATTATAAACACTGTGAGATTATAAACACTGTGAGGGTATAAACACTGTGAGGGTATAAACACTATGGGGTATAAACACTGTGAGATTATAAACACTGTGAGGGTATAAACACTGTGAGATTATAAACACTGTGAGGGTATAAACACTGTGAGGGTATAAACACTGTGAGGCTATTAGCACTGTGAGGGTATAAACACTGTGAGGGTATAAACACTGTGAGATTATAAACACTGTGAGATTATAAACACTGTGAGGTTATAAACACTGTGAGGGTATAAACACTGTGAGATTATAAACACTGTGAGAATATAAACACTGTGAGGTTATAAACACTGTGAGATTATAAACACTGTGAGGGTATAAACACTGGGAGGTTATAAACACTGTGAGGTTATATACACTGTGAGGGTATAAACACTGTGAGGTTATATACACTGTGAGGGTATAAACATTGTGAGGTTATAAACACTGTGAGGTTATATACACTGTGAGGGTATAAACACTGTGAGGGTATAAACACTGTGAGATTATAAACACTGTGAGATTATAAACACTGTGAGGGTATAAACACTGTGAGGGTATAAACACTATGGGGTATAAACACTGTGAGATTATATACACTGTGAGGGTATAAACACTGTGAGGTTATAAACACTGTGAGGTTATATACACTGTGAGGGTATAAACACTGTGAGGTTATATACACTGGGAGGGTATAAACACTGGGAGGTTATAAACACTGTGAGGTTATATACACTGTGAGGGTATAAACACTGGGAGGTTATAAACACTGTGAGGTTATATACACTGTGATGGTATAAACACTGTGAGGGTATAAACACTGTGAGTTTATATACACTGTGAGGGTATAAACAATGAGGGTATAAACACTGAGGGTATAAACACTGTGAGGGTATAAACACTGAGGGTATAAACACTGAGGGTATAAACACTGTGAGGTTATAAACACTGTGAGGTTATAAACACTGTGAGGGTATAAACACTGTGAGGTTATAAACACTGAGGGTATAAACACTGAGGGTATAAACACTGTGAGGGTATAAACACTGAGGGTATAAACACTGAGGGTATAAACACTGTGAGGTTATAAACACTGTGAGGGTATAAACACTGTGAGATTATAAACACTGTGAGGGTATAAACACTGTGAGATTATAAACACTGTGAGGGTATAAACACTGTGAGGGTATAAACATTGTGAGATTATAAACACTGTGAGGGTATAAACACTGTGAGGGTATAAACACTGTGAGGCTATTAGCACTGTGAGGGTATAAACACTGTGAGGGTATAACACTGTGAGATTATAAACACTGTGAGATTATAAACACTGTGAGGTTATAAACACTGTGAGATTATAAACACTGTGAGATTATAAACACTGTGAGGTTATAACCACTTCGAGGGTATAAACACTGTGAGGTTATAAACACTGAGGTTATAAACACTATGAGGTTATAACCACTTCGAGGGTATAAACACTGTGAGGTTATAAACACTGAGGTTATAAACACTATGAGGTTATAAACACTGAAGGTATAAACACTGTGAGGGTATAAACACTGTGAGGTTATAAACACTGAGGGTATAAACACTGTGAGGTTATATACACTGTGATAGTATAAACACTGTGAGGGTATAAACACTGAGGGTATATACACTGTGAAGGTATAAACACTGAGGTTATAAACACTGTAAGGGTATAAACACTGAGGGTATAAACACTGTGAGGGTATAAACACTGTGAGGGTATAATCACTGAGGGTATAAACACTGTGAGGTTATATACACTGTGAGGGTATAAACACTGTGAGGGTATAAACACTGTGAGGGTATAAACACTGAGGGTATAAACAATGTGAGGGTATAAACACTGTGAGGGTATAAACACTGAGGGTATAAACACTGTGAGGTTATATACACTGTGAGGGTATAAACACTGAGGGTATAAACACTGTCAGGGTATAAACACTGTGAGATTATATACACTGTGAGGGTATAAACATTGTGAGGGGATAAACACTGAGGGTATAAACACTGAGGTTATAAACACTGTGAGGTTATTAACACTGTGAGGGTATAAACACTGTGAGGTTATATACACTGTGAGGGTATAAACACTGTGAGGGTATAAACACTGTGAGGGTATAAACACTGTGAGGGTATAAACACTGAGGGTATAAGCACTGTGAGGGTATAAACACTGTGAGGGTATAAACACTGTGAGGTTATAACCACTTCGAGGGTATAAACACTGAGGTTATAAACACTGAGGTTATAAACACTATGAGGTTATAAACACTGAAGGTATAAACACTGTGAGGTTATAAACACTGTGAGGTTATAAACACTGAGGCTATAAACACTGTGAGGTTATAAACACTGTGAGGTTATAAACTCTGTGATGCTATAAACACTGTGAGGGTATAAACACTGTGAGGTTATAAACACTGTGAGGTTATAAACACTGTGAGGTTATAAACACTGTGATGCTATAAACACTGTGAGGTTATAAACACTGAGGGTATAAACACTGTGAGGTTGTAAACACTGTGAGGTTATAAACACTTTGAGGTTATAAACATGGTGAGGTTATAAACACTGTGAGGTTAGTGTCAAGGATATTGGATCCTGATCAGCATGAACCTAATCACATACCTCTCATAGCTAAAACTGACAGAGGCCATGTATGAAATCTGCTGCTGTATTCTTAAAGTCTGACAAACCATTCCAGTCACTGATTCACTGTATACCCACCAGCCCAACTTGGCATATTTTTCTGGAACTGTATAAACGGCATCAGGCTGTTTATCATTCAGACTCTCCCTCTGGTGCAACTTGGCAATGCTTTGCTTCTTAAGTCTTTTCTGCCGTATGAATTCCTACCAATAGATTGAAAATAGGAGGCAGTTATTACACTGAAACAAGTAGTATCAAATCTATCAGAAACATTGTTAACTGACTACTGATGCACAAGACACATATGCAAATAAAGGAGAAAAAGGTTTCTTTGTGTTTGCTTCTTGTAATTGCCAACATCGTTATCCAAAAACAACAACAGTCTCTAAATGACTGACCTTGAGTTTGTCAGTTGCTCTGAATCGTATCCCTCGATATGCTTTCTCCACAATGATGTCTTCCTGGGACAGACCATGGTCTGTGAGTCTCAGGGGTATCCCAGACTCCCTTGCTGACTTCCTGTTGTTCACCTGTGGGTTCTGTGGGGGCTGGCCACATGTGATGTACAGCGGGTTGTGGGTGACATTACAGTCACTGAAACCAACATGGATATCTTCCTTGTCATTCAAACACAGCAAGTAAACAAGGGGATATTGTACAATTTCATTTCAAATAAGCCTTCCTCAGATTTTGCCTAAGCCATGCATATACATCACATTCCCAGATTACCTACCTCTGACCGTGTTCCAGCATATACACCACATGTGTCCAGATTACCTACCTCTGACCGTGTTCCAGCATATACACCACATGTTTCCAGATTACCTACCTCTGACCGTGTTCCAGCATATACACCACATGTTTCCAGATGACCTACCTCTGACCGTGTTCCAGCATATACACCACATGTATCCAGTTGACCTACCTCTGACCGTGTTCCAGCATATACACCACAAGTTTCCAGATGACCTACCTCTGACCATGTTCCAGCATATACACCACATGTATCCAGTTGACCTACCTCTGACCGTGTTCCAGCATATACACCACAAGTTTCCAGATGACCTACCTCTGACCGTGTTCCAGCATATACACCACATGTTTCCAGATGACCTACCTCTGACCGTGTTCCAGCATATACACCACATGTGTCCAGATGACCTACCTCTGACCGTGTTCCAGCATATACACATGTGTCCAGATGACCTACCTCTGACCATGTTCCAGCATATACACCACATGTTTCCAGATGACCTACCTCTGACCGTGTTCCAGCATATACACCACATGTGTCCAGATGACCTACCTCTGACCGTGTTCCAGCATATACACCACAAGTTTCCAGATGATCTGTGTCCAGGCTGACATGTCATCTATGCCACCCACAAAGTAGTCAGAAAACTGGTCTACAAGAAATGGGCTCTTCTTTGCAAAGGTGGTGTAAAGCTGATAACACAGAAAAAGGCACAGATTATCCATATATCTCAAATGGAGTGAGTGAGTGTGTAGGGTCCAAACCTCTGTCAGCAATATTCCAGCCACATGAAGGAGACACCAGAAATGTACCCATGTAAGGAATCATCCAACCAGGCTATTCTGGACCCATCACACACTGATGAAATGCATGAATCTTGAGAAATAACAGTCTCTTAATTGCCATTATTCACACATGAATAATAAATAATGATAAACTTGTACAAGTGACTTGATTGATTGATTGATTGATTGATTGATTGATTGATTGATTGATTGATTTAAGCAGGTTGTAGGGTTATCCCAGCGATATCATGACGAGGGGGACAGACAGCTTCACACCTTTCCACCTATGTTGGGATCCACTTAGATCAAGTTGAACACATTGAATGACAAAGAGCTGTGAAAACCTACCTTCCCTATTGCAAGTTGTTCTCCAAGTCTGCAATTTCAGAGAAGTTGGGCATATGTTATCAACCACAACTGAATCAGACTACAAAGAGTTGGCTGTTTCTCAGATTTGGGGATGAAATCTTTACAGTAACTGACCAGACAAACATAAACTGATATTTCCCATACAGCCATACATCAGTATTCCCTGATCAAACAGAAACCTGAATAAACCATGCCCTGAGGTGGTGTGGGACATGGATCAGATGCTCAGTGCACAAACTTTATGTTCCCTTTGGTCTTAACCTCTTTATGTTTAAACATGTCAGGCTTTATTTCTAATAATAATGTGGGTATTTCTATCAGGAACAAGGCAAAAATTGAGCAGGGCTCACTAATACCCCCGACCTTGACAACAACGTACAACAAAAAAAGCAATAATTTCTCAGAAAATCCACTAATCGAAATCAAACTTTGCACTGTACCTTTCCTATTGCTATAGAAACTGTTCCTCCAGATTGAACAGAATCCATGAAATAGTTTACAATTAATAGGTCGCCCAAATGTTGAAGTAAACAAAATTTCAAAACATGTAAAAAGTACAAATATTGAAATAAAATGGACACGGCACGGCTCCTACTGGTATAGAAAGTCTTCACTAAGTTTGCAGTATTTTTCAAAGTATAGGTCGCACAAAAAATGTCCCTAGAAGTACAGACTGATGGAACTCCTTGGCATAACTACATGTATATACCCCCGCCTTTTTTTGGTCAGGGATATAGTACTTGTACAAATTATTGATTCATTCATGATGATCGACATTCATCCCATGTTCAATGAAGCCTCAAATGTTTGAAATCACCCACCCTCTTTAGAGCGCCTTATGCTTAAATTAATCCAGCAGGCAGGGGTATGAAGTGTGAAAACAATTCAGCAGGCTTAAGGTTAAGGCTGCACACCAGAGTAAAAGTTTTGATTTTGCACATGGCTTAGTTCACCTTTATAACAAGACAACAGTGGCAAGAGATTATATACAGTGTATTTGAGACATTATTATATAAAAAGGTATTTGTTACTTTTACTTGGTACGATTATGGTTGTTGTATATTAAATATTTATAAATACATTAAGATGGAAGGGGCAGTCAAATATGTCTAAATTTCAACTACAGACATGGTCAAATTCATGGACTGAAAACTATTAAACTGTGGCCTGGCATATAAAAGACAGTCCCTACCTTTCCAGGAACAATGTGGCTGTACAAGCCTCCATGATGTCCTTGGGCATCCTGTCCCGACCATACAAGTCCCGGTAGATGTAGTACAGGTCATCAATCGGGACATACCTACATTGATGGATAGGTGTATGGTAATATGCATTCAGGGACATACCTACACATTGATGGATAGGTGTATGGTAATACGCATTCAGGGACATACCTACATTGATGGATAGGTGTATGGTAATACGCATTCAGGGACATACCTACACATTGATGGATAGGTGTATGGTAATATGCATTCAGGGACATACCTACACATTGATGGATAGGTGTATGGTAATATGCATTCAGGGACATACCTACACATTGATGGATAGGTGTATGGTAATATGCATTCAGGGACATACCTACACATTGATGGATAGGTGTATGGTAATATGCATTCAGGGACATACCTACACATTGATGGATAGGTGTATGGTAATACGCATTCAGGGACATACCTACATTGATGGATAGGTGTATGGTAATATGCATTCAGGGACATACCTACACATTGATGGATAGGTGTATGGTAATACACATTCAGGGACATACCTACACATTGATGGATAGGTGTATGGTAATACGCATTCAGGGACATACCTACACATTGATGGATAGGTGTATGGTAATACGCATTCAGGGACATACCTACACATTGATGGATAGGTGTATGGTAATATGCATTCAGGGACATACCTACACATTGATGGATAGGTGTATGGTAATACGCATTCAGGGACATACCTACATTGATGGATAGGTGTATGGTAATACGCATTCAGGGACATACCTACACATTGATGGATAGTTGTATGGTAATATGCATTCAGGGACATACCTACACATTGATGGATAGGTGTATGGTAATACGCATTCAGGGACATACCTACACATTGATGGATAGTTGTATGGTAATATGCATTCAGGGACATACCTACACATTGATGGATAGTATGGTAATATGCATTCAGGGACATACCTACACATTGATGGATAGTTGTATGGTAATATGCATTCAGGGACATACCTACACATTGATGGATAGTATGGTAATATGCATTCAGGGACATACCTACACATTGATGGATAGGTGTATGGTAATATGCATTCAGGGACATACCTACATTGATGGATAGGTGTATGGTAATATGCATTCAGGGACATACCTACACATTGATGGATAGGTGTATGGTAATATGCATTCAGGGACATACCTACACATTGATGGATAGGTGTATGGTAATACAAATTCAGGGACATACCTACACATTGATGGATAGGTGTATGGTAATATGCATTCAGGGACATACCTACACATTGATGGATAGGTGTATGGTAATATGCATTCAGGGACATACCTACACATTGATGGATAGGCGTATGGTAATATGCATTCAGGGACATACCTACACATTGATGGATAGGCGTATGGTAATATGCATTCAGGGACATACCTACACATTGATGGATAGGTGTATGGTAATATGCATTCAGGGACATACCTACACATTGATGGATAGGTGTATGGTAATATCCTTTCAGGGACATACCTACACATTGATGGATAGGCGTATGGTAATATGCATTCAGGGACATACCTACACATTGATGGATAGTTGTATGGTAATATGCATTCAGGGACATACCTATATTGATGGATAGGTGTATGGTAATATGCATTCAGGGACATACCTACATTGATGGATAGGTGTATGGTAATATGCATTCAGGGACATACCTACATTGATGGATAGGTGTATGGTAATATGCATTCAGGGACATACCTACATTGATGGATAGGTGTATGGTAATATGCATTCAGGGACATACCTACACATTGATGGATAGGTGTATGGTAATATGCATTCAGGGACATACCTACATTGATGGATAGGTGTATGGTAATATGCATTCAGGGACATACCTATATTGATGGATAGGTGTATGGTAATATGCATTCAGGGACATACCTACACATTGATGGATAGGCGTTTGGTAATATGCATTTAGGGACATACCTACACATTGATGGATAGGCGTATGGTAATATGCATTCAGGGACATACCTACACATTGATGGATAGGTGTATGGTAATATGCATTCAGGGACATACCTACACATTGATGGATAGGTGTATGGTAATATGCATTCAGGGACATACCTACACATTGATGGGTAGGTGTATGGTAATATGCATTCAGGGACATACCTACACATTGATGGATAGGTGTTTGGTAATATGCATTCAGGGACATACCTACACATTGATGGATAGGCGTATGGTAATATGCATTCAGGGACATACCTACATTGATGGATAGGTGTATGGTAATATGCATTCAGGGACATACCTATATTGATGGATAGGTGTATGGTAATATGCATTCAGGGACATACCTATATTGATGGATAGGTGTATGGTAATATGCATTCAGGGACATACCTACATTGATGGATAGGTGTATGGTAATATGCATTCAGGGACATACCTATATTGATGGATAGGTGTATGGTAATATGCATTCAGGGACATACCTACACATTGATGGATAGGTGTATGGTAATATGCATTCAGGGACATACCTACACATTGATGGATAGGTGTATGGTAATATGCATTCAGGGACATACCTATATTGATGGATAGGTGTATGGTAATATGCATTCAGGGACATACTTACACATTGATGGATAGGTGTATGGTAATATGCATTCAGGGACATACCTACACATTGATGGATAGGTGTATGGTAATATGCATTCAGGGACATACCTACACATTGATGGATAGGTGTATGGTAATATGCATTCAGGGACATACCTACACATTGATGGATAGGTGTATGGTAATATGCATTCAGGGACATACCTACACATTGATGGATAGGTGTATGGTAATATGCATTCAGGGACATACCTACATTGATGGATAGGTGTATGGTAATATGCATTCAGGGACATACCTACACATTGATGGATAGGTGTATGGTAATATGCATTCAGGGACATACCTACACATTGATGGATAGGTGTATGGTAATATGCATTCAGGGACATACCTACACATTGATGGATAGGTGTATGGTAATATGCATTTAGGGACATACCTACACATTGATGGATAGTTGTATGGTAATATGCATTCAGGGACATACCTGCACATTGATGGATAGGTGTATGGTAATATGCATTCAGGGACATACCTACATTGATGGATAGGTGTATGGTAATATGCATTCAGGGACATACCTACATTGATGGATAGGTGTATGGTAATATGCATTCAGGGACATATCTACATTGATGGATAGGCGTATGGTAATACGCATTCAGGGACATACCTACACATTGATGGATAGGTGTATGGTAATATGCATTCAGGGACATATCTACATTGATGGATAGGCGTATGGTAATACGCATTCAGGGACATACCTACACATTGATGGATAGGCGTATGGTAATATGCATTCAGGGACATACCTACACATTGATGGATAGGTGTATGGTAATACGTATTCAGGGACATACCTACACATTGATGGATAGGTGTATGGTAATATGCAGTCAGGGACATATCTACACATTGATGGATAGGTGTATGGTAATACGTATTCAGGGACATACCTACACATTGATGGATAGGTGTATGGTAATATGCATTCAGGGACATACCCACACATTGATGGATAGGTGTATGGTAATATGCATTCAGGGACATACCTACATTGATGGATAGGTGTATGGTAATACGCATTCAGGGACATACCTACACATTGATGGATAGGCGTTTGGTAATATGCATTCAGGGACATACCTACACATTGATGGATAGGTGTATGGTAATACACATTCAGGGACATACCTACACATTGATGGATAGGTGTATGGTAATATGCATTTAGGGACATACCTACACATTGATGGATAGGTGTATGGTAATATGCATTTAGGGACATACCTACACATTGATGGATAGGTGTATGGTAATACGCATTCAGGGACATACCTGCACATTGATGGATAGGCGTATGGTAATATGCATTCAGGGACATACCTACACATTGATGGATAGGTGTATGGTAATATGCATTCAGGGACATACCTACACATTGATGGATAGGCGTATGGTAATATGCATTCAGGGACATACCTACACATTGATGGATAGGTGTATGGTAATATGCATTTAGGGACATACCTACACATTGATGGATAGGCGTATGGTAATACGCATTCAGGGAAATACCTACACATTGATGGATAGGCGTATGGTAATATGCATTCAGGGACATACCTACATTGATGGGTAGGCGTATGGTAATATGCATTCAGGGACATACCTACACATTGATGGATAGGCGTATGGTAATATGCATTCAGGGACATACCTACACATTGATGGATAGGTGTATGGTAATATGCATTCAGGGACATACCTACACATTAATGGATAGGCGTATGGTAATATGCATTCAGGGACATACTTGCACATTGATGGATAGGTGTATGGTAATATGCATTCAGGGACATACCTACACATTGATGGATAGGTGTATGGTAATATGCATTCAGGGACATACCTACACATTGATGGATAGGTGTATGGTAATATGCTTTCAGGGACATACCTACACATTGATGGATAGGTGTATGGTAATATGCATTTAGGGACATACCTACACATTGATGGATAGGTGTATGGTAATACGCATTCAAAGACATACCTGCACATTGATGGATAGGCGTATGGTAATATGCATTCAGGGACATACCTACACATTGATGGATAGGTGTATGGTAATATGCATTTAGGGACATACCTACACATTGATGGATAGGTGTATGGTAATATGCATTCAGGGACATACCTACACATTGATGGATAGGTGTATGGTAATATGCATTCAGGGACATACCTACACATTGATGGATAGGTGTATGGTAATATGCATTCAGGGACATACCTACACATTGATGGATAGGTGTATGGTAATATGCAGTCAGGGGCATACCTACACATTGATGGATAGGTGTATGGTAATATGCATTCAGGGACATACCTACACATTGATGGATAGGTGTATGGTAATATGCAGTCAGGGACATACCTACACATTGATGGATAGGTGTATGGTAATATGCATTCAGGGACATACCTACACATTGATGGATAGGTGTATGGTAATATGCATTCAGGGACATACCTACACATTGATGGATAGGTGTATGGTAATATGCATTCAGGGACATACCTACACATTGATGGATAGGTGTATGGTAATATGCATTCAGGGGCATAACTACACATTGATGGATAGGTGTATGGTAATATGCATTCAGGGACATACCTACACATTGATGGATAGGCGTATGGTAATACGCATTCAGGGACATACCTACATTGATGGATAGGTGTATAGAAATACGCATTCAGGGACATATCTACATTGATGGATAGGTGTATGGTAATACGTATTCAGGGACATATCTACATTGATGGATAGGTGTATAGAAATACGCATTCAGGGACATATCTACATTGATGGATAGGTGTATGGTAATATGCATTCAGGGACATACCTACATTGATGGATAGGCGTATGGTAATATGCATTCAGGGACATACCTATATTGATGGATAGGTGTATGGTAATATGCATTCAGGGACATACCTACACATTGATGGATAGGCGTATGGTAATATGCATTCAGGGACATACCTATATTGATGGATAGGTGTATGGTAATATGCATTCAGGGACATACCTACATTGATGGATAGGTGTATGGTAATACGTATTCAGGGACATACCTACACATTGATGGATAGGTGTATGGTAATATGCATTCAGGGACATACCTACACATTGATGGATAGGCGTTTGGTAATACGCATTCAGGGACATACCTACACATTGATGGATAGGTGTATGGTAATACGTATTCAGGGACATACCTACACATTGATGGATAGGTGTATGGTAATATGCATTCAGGGACATACCTACACATTGATGGATAGGCGTATGGTCATACGTATTCAGGGACATACCTACACATTGATGGATAGGTGTATGGTAATACGTATTCAGGGACATACCTACACATTGATGGATAGGTGTATGGTAATATGCATTCAGGGACATACCTACACATTGATGGATAGGTGTATGGTAATATGCATTCAGGGACATACCTACACATTGATGGATAGGTGTATGGTAATATGCATTCAGGGACATACCTACACATTGATGGATAGGTGTATGGTAATATGCATTCAGGGACATACCTACACATTGATGGATAGGTGTATGGTAATATGCTTTCAGGGACATACCTACACATTGATGGATAGGTGTATGGTAATATGCTTTCAGGGACATACCTACACATTGATGGATAGGCGTATGGTAATATGCATTCAGGGACATACCTACACATTGATGGATAGGCGTATGGTCATACGTCTTCAGGGACATACCTACACATTGATGGATAGGTGTATGGTAATATGCATTCAGGGACATACCTACACATTGATGGATAGGTGTATGGTAATATGCTTTCAGGGACATACCTACACATTGATGGATAGGCGTATGGTAATATGCATTCAGGGACATACCTACACATTGATGGATAGGCGTATGGTAATATGCATTCAGGGACATACCTACACATTGATGGATAGGCGTATGGTAATATGCATTCAGGGACATACCTACACATTGATGGATAGGCGTATGGTAATATGCATTCAACATTATACAAATGATTACTCTTGGCTTTAGACGAGGTCAATACGCGAAAGGTCCTTGTTTTCACATAATTACCTTGTCAAGAGTAATCATTCGTTTGGTTATACCGAAATTCACTTTAAAGTTTATGAAGTCTTTAACCATTCTCTATTTCATTACATTAAGTTTCAGGCGAACCATGAAATATTCGTACCAGATGCCATCTTGTTTTCTAGCAGACGAGTCAATATTTGACGGGGTCAGTGTACGTCAGGGTCTTCATTGAAATGTATTGTTTCTTAATCAAGGTAAACAATTCTACATAATGTTCTCTTGTTTTGAGTCAGCAAAGTCTTATAATGTAAATGACATGGTACCTGTGTTTAAGTCTCAAAATATGGAGTTATCATAACAAAAACATTGAAATACTGAGATATGGAAGCATTAACTTTCAAATCAGCTAATCAGAGGTTTCAAATCATAATAACCACCTCTGACTCAAACAGATAATTTGATGGCTGAAGTTTGATGCGGAAGGAAAGTGACATAATGATATGGACAATATTAGGTGACAAAATGGCGCTTCAAACAATATCGTCAATAATAAAGAATTTGCCTTTTATTTTGTCAAGGTAGAATGGAGATAAACATCCTGTGTTTTCAATGTAGAGATAGGTTACCTGTAGGTTCAACCTCATAAAAAATAACATTTGAATAAATTTCACACAAAAATCATCATGATGTATTTCTGAACAAAAACATAATCGTGAACAAGTGTCCAGGAAACATTGCAGTCCACGTGGGATCTCAATCACTCATTCAGAAGGCAATGGTACACTGGTAAAGTTTGGCTCAACACTTCACCTGACAGAGGATATATGCAGAGTAAGCTGAAAGACACTTACCAGTCAGAGAGATTGTCTATGTAATCTAGATTCATCTCAAACACTGCCAGTACATCTCCCCCTGAAGAGAAAGCCATCAAGGTTATTACCTCCGGTCCTACTTTCAAATAGCTGCTTTGAACGTTTGAATCCACAATCCATATATAGTAAACTACGGTCGTAACAAACTCAAAAGGACATCTAATTTTAGTTCGTTATAATCGTAGTTCGTAACAGGCATGTATACGGTTGAGCAAAAATACAGCAAATGGCCGGGGCCAAAAGACAAGAACACTATATCTGTCAGTTTGTTATAAGTGTGTTCGCTATTAACAGAGTTTACTATAGTATTGATTAATATATCATCTTTGAGGCAAGGAGCAAATATTACATGTACTGCTCTCGTCTCACCTTCAAACTGACGCACACGCAAGACATCACAATGTCATTGTTTAGAAGTACCTACCAATATCTCCTGTATCATGGGCTAGCCCAAATACGCCATGGAAATTTATCTAAAAATGAAAAAAATACACATCAACTAATTTTATTTTCATGTTATTGTCAAATACAGTTGCCCCTACACACTGTCAGATACCTACATTGGCCATGTCAGATACCTACATGGTGCCCCTACACACAGTCAGATACCAACATAGTTCCCCTACACACAGTCAGACACCTACATGGTGCCCCTTCACACAGTCATATACCTACATGGTGCCCCTACACACAGTCAGACACCTACATGGTGCCCCTACACACAGTCAGATACCAACATAGTTCCCCTACACACAGTCAGACACCTACATGGTGCCCCTTCACACAGTCAGATACCTACATGGTGCCCCTACACACAGTCAGACACCTACATGGTGCCCCTACACACAGTCAGACACCTACATGGTGCCCCTACACACAGTCAGATACCTACATGGTGCCCCTACACACAGTCAGATACCTACATGGTGCTCCTACACACAGTCAGATACCAACATAGTTCCCCTACACACAGTCAGACACCTACATGGTGCCCCTACACACAGTCAGACACCTACATGGTTCCCCTACACACAGTCAGATACCAACATAGTTCCCATACACACAGTCAGACACCTACATGGTGCCCCTTCACACAGTCAGACACCTACATGGTGCTCCTTCACACAGTCAGATATTTACACGGTGCCCCTACACACTGTAGACACCTACATAGGCCATGGTGCCCCTACACACTGTCAGATACCAACATGGTGCCCCTTCATGCAGTCAGACACCTACATGGTGCCCCTACACACAGTCAGATTCCTACGTGGTGCCCCTACACACAGTCAGACACCTACATGGTGCCCCTACACACAGTCAGATACCTACATGGTGCCCCTACACACAGTCAAATACCTACATGGTGCCCCTACTCACAGTCAGACACCTACATGGTGCCCCTACACACAGTCAGATACCTACATGGTGCCCCTACACACTGTCAGATACCTACATGGTGCCCCTACACACAGTCAGACACCTACATGGTGCCCCTACACACAGTCAGACACCTACATGGTGCCCCTACACACAGTCAGACACCTACATGGTTCCCCTACACACAGTCAGACACCTACATGGTGCCCCTTCACACAGTCAGACACCTACATAGTGCCCCTACACACAGTCAGACACCTACATGGTGCCCCTTCACACAGTCAGACACCTATATGGTGCCCCTACACGCAGTCAGACACCTACATGGTGCCCCTACACACAGTCAGACACCTACATGGTGCTCCTACACACAGTCAGACACCTACATGGTGCCCCTTCACACAGTCAGACACCTATATGGTGCCCCTACACACAGTCAGATACCTACATGGGGCCCCTACACACTGTCAGATACCTACATGGTGCCCCTACACACTGTCAGATACCTACATGGTGCCCCTACACACAGTCAGATACCTACATGGTGCCCCTACACACTGTCAGATACCTACATTGGCCATTGTGCCCCTACACACAGTAAGACACCTACATGTGCCCCTACACACAGTCAGACACCTACATGGTGCCCCTTCACACAGTCAGACACCTACATGGTGCCCCTACACACAGTCAGATACCTACATGGTGCCCCTACACACAGTCAGACACCTACATGGTGCTCCTACACACAGTCAGATACCTACATGGTTCCCCTACACAGAGTCAGATACCTACATGGTGCCCCTACACACAGTCAGATACCTACATGGTGCCCCTACACACAGTCAGACACCTACATGGTGCCCCTACACACAGTCAGACACCTACATGGTGCCCCTACACAGTCAGACACCTACATGGTGCCCCTACACACTGTCAGATACCTACATGGTGCCCCTACACACCGTCAGACACCTACATGGTGCCCCTACACACAGTCAGATACCTACATGGTGCCCCTACACACTGTCAGATACCTACATGGTGCCCCTACACACCGTCAGACACCTACATGGTGCCCCTACACACAGTCAGATACCTACATTGGCCATGGTCTGGAGGAAGCCCTGTGAGATCCCCAAGTTGTGCCATAACACATCTGCCACCTGATGGGACATGAAGCCGAACATGAAGACCACCAACTTCTCTGTGGCCTGCCAGACAGAAACAGCGTCATCACTTGTGGCATGGTGGTTTCAAAGAAAACAATTAATGGAAACATAACTTTCTCAGATTCCTCGGACTAAGAAGGTACCTTAGCAATGACCATGCAGGGCTTTGTTCATCTAACATAGATTTATGATAGTCACAGCATTTGATTCTTTGTTGAATTGATGATCTATTATTGGATGTGAAGATTTAGCTGAAAAGTGCCTGTGGACCGGGGCTGTGATGTGTTGTGTCCGGGACTGTACTCACCTGGTCCCAGGGTGGGGGGTACTTCCTCCGGATGTAGTTCAGGGTGGCGTTAAGGAATCCCGACCAATGGCTGTCTTCAGATATGTTGTGGTATTTACCTATTATGCAGTTAATGTGCTTTAGTATCAGTTGCATGATCGTGTTACCACAAACCACATGATTCTAAAATGAATTGGTTTGTAGACAACTTAAAATGTGCATTTAGGGTAAACTTGTAATCTCATGTTGTGATTAGTGTGCATGAAGACAAAAAAACACAGTGGTTGATCCAAATAATAATTTGAACTAAATGAACGACGTACTTAGGACATTTTTATCTGCTGCAAAACCAAATATTAACACTATGAGCCAGAATATTTTTTTCTATATAAACACAATGTAATTTTTGTGGCAGATAAAAAAAAAAATTCCCAACAATATGAAGCATAATTATTTTTTAAACCATTTTCGCAGACAATGTACTTTTTCAATAAAATCCAATTTTGGTAACACAAAAGAAACATTGTTGCAGGTCCATTATTGGACAAACATATCTATATGAAATGTGATGTGTTGACTATTGAGAATCCTCCTCATGCAAGGAAGGCTTCCTGAGAGACTCACCGTCAGCACAGATATTGGAGTAGTAGGCGTCAGGGTAGGGGCTCCCAGCCTGGAAGGCATCTTGGTGCTTCCGGAACAGCTGGAAGAATACAGCTTATTGTCAAATACATCATGTATCATGTGCATATTGAGCAATCTGAAGTTGACTGTATTGTGATTTTGTTATGTCTGATGTTGACTGTACTGTGATTTTGTTATGTCTGATGTTGACTGTATCATGTGTATTGTGATTTTGTTATGTCTGATGTTGACTGTACTGTGATTTTGTTATGTCTGATGTTGACTGTACTGTGATTTTGTTATGTCTGATGTTGACTGTACTGTGATTTTGTTATGTCTGAAGTTGACTGTATCATGTGTATTGTGATTTTGTTATGTCTGATGTTGACTGTACTGTGATTTTGTTATGTCTGATGTTGACTGTACTGTGATTTTGTTATGTCTGATGTTGACTGTACTGTGATTTTGTTATGTCTGATGTTGACTGTACTGTGATTTTGTTATGTCTGAAGTTGACTGTATCATGTGTATTGTGATTTTGTTATGTCTGATGTTGACTGTACTGTGATTTTGTTATGTCTGATGTTGACTGTACTGTGATTTTGTTATGTCTGATGTTGACTGTACTGTGATTTTGTTATGTCTGATGTTGACTGTACTGTGATTTTGTTATGTCTGAAGTTGACTGTATCATGTGTATTGTGATTTTGTTATGTCTGATGTTGACTGTACTGTGATTTTGTTATGTCTGATGTTGACTGTACTGTGATTTTGTTATGTCTGATGTTGACTGTACTGTGATTTTGTTATGTCTGATGTTGACTGTATTGTGATTTTGTTATGTCTGATGTTGACTGTATCATGTGTATTGTGATTTTGTTATGTCTGATGTTGACTGTACTGTGATTTTGTTATGTCTGATGTTGACTGTACTGTGATTTTGTTATGTCTGATGTTGACTGTACTGTGATTTTGTTATGTCTGAAGTTGACTGTATCATGTGTATTGTGATTTTGTTATGTCTGATGTTGACTGTACTGTGATTTTGTTATGTCTGATGTTGACTGTACTGTGATTTTGTTATGTCTGATGTTGACTGTACTGTGATTTTGTTATGTCTGAAGTTGACTGTATCATGTGTATTGTGATTTTGTTATGTCTTAAGTTGACTGTACTGTGATTTTGTTATGTCTGATGTTGACTGTACTGTGATTTTGTTATGTCTGATGTTGACTGTACTGTGATTTTGTTATGTCTGAAGTTGACTGTATTGACAGAAGAAAAGGATAAAGCCACTCATAAAAAACACTGAAGATTGCCATAAATATTTTGGTTCTCAGGCAATGACTTTTAAAAATTTGATGCTGTTAGGAAGCAGTCCAAAAGTCCTATGTCAGATAATGATAAATTCATATGTAACACCCACCTCTTGGTAGGTAAACTGTCCTTTCTCATCAGCAAAATGTTCAATGGCTCTGTGACCTATAAAAGGAATATATCACTACATAAATCATACCTAGAAGTATTGAATGAATTTAATACCATGCAATTCAGAGTATCAAAGTTGAAGCCAAATCTAAGTCATAATTCACAGCTAACTATGTCAAACATGCTTAATGCCATAAAGGTATGGAGACAATTCAGCTTAATTCAATCACATTAAATTCAGACACCTCCCTGTATGGAGATCTGAGGACACCTCAATAACAGGTCACATCAGGTGATGTTGCTATTGAGGCTTCTAAATTCTCGATTAGTGTGAGCAAGCCATTAAAACCAGCACATCTGATTTCTGAATCTTTCTGAATCATTTTATGAATTGACAACATAGCAAACCTTATTCACAACTGAAGAACGACAAGGGAGATAACAACCCAAAACTTATTTTAATATACCGTTAAAATATCACTTCAAACCAGCATATCTGATTTCTGAATCTAAAAAAACCCCTAACACGGCAAGATCCAAAAGTAGAAAGTACACATTATGTCGTTTCTGGGCACCATAGCATCTACACCAAAATCATGAAAAAGCAGTACCATTGCAGGAATATTTGTGTTCTGTGTTGGTTTTTAGAAATCAAAATTTCCAAATTGATGTGGGACAAATATGAAGTTAAATCATTTTAGAAAACACAAGAATCCACTAAGTCTTCCCTAAGATTGGGCAGTCAAAAGTCACTCAGGGGTCACCTGACACAATAGCTTGCATATTGCTCAGGGCGACATTAAACAAACAAACCTGCTATAGAGGTGTTCACAGATCTTCAAGCATGCAGAGGGGTATTTTAGGGGAGTGAAAGATCTGATTATAATGAGACTTGGTTTGCTTTAAAAGCAACATACTAAAGTCTTGTTTAAGCTAAAGCAACACCTTCTTAATATAACACTTTATTATAGGAGAAAGTCAGAGTATCTGTTCATTCTGGAAAATTAAAACACATCTGTAACCTTTGAACACTCCATTATTTTTCAGGAATGGAGAGCTGTTTTTCAACTATACATTATCTTGAACCAGTATTTGAATTAATTACCACTTGGAATAGACGGAATTATTTCTTACATTTATTGACAAGTGAATAATTTCATTTTTTCCCCGAAAACGTGTCGCCATTGGGGTTTGAACCCGCATCGTTTGATTTGAGAATGTGTAATTGTCAACCTCAGCTACGGCGGCACATGAAGGTATGGTGTAAAATTAACTATTAAATATTTTCATAATTTTGCATAATGCTTAAAAGCTCAAAATAATATGTATATAATTTGTGTTAGAGCACGTTACCTACAACAATGTTCATATTTATAGCAATTTGATAAACCTTTGACGAGAAAAAACAAATCAGATAAGATATATATCCTTGTTCGGGGCTGTATATTTCCTATTATTCCCATCAGCATGTATTGACAATGTGCAAGCGATTGATAAATACTGGTTTAGGACCCAACGAAATTATGTGTACCATGCATTGTAACTGTCAGCTCGCGACAGAGCTTGGTGCATGTGCAACAGCGGCAGACAAGGTATTTCGCGCGCATCATGCAAGGGACATTCACCCAGTATAAATACAGTCCACAAAGAGTTCTGATTTATTTTGAAAATATTTTCCACAATAGAATATTTTGTCAAAGTGTAAAAGAGATGATGAGTTTTAAGTAGGGGAATATCCTCGTAGCTCTCCATTCCTCTGTGGGTCCTCTGCTCCAGTATTTTCAAGGAATGGAGAGTTACTCGGATATTCCCCTCCATGTAATGTAGACTTGCACCAAAGACACTTGAACTTTGTCCAACCTTAAACACATCCCTACTTGTCAGCAGTGGGACGATACACCGATGCATTAGTGGATCTCCTACTTCTCAATACAAGTTACCGGGTAATAAAGAATATTACATCAAACACTAATTAGTAGTAAAAACATAAATAGAGAATACTACACTCATTCTCGTTAGATACCATTTTTACGAAATGAGTGGACTTTCTATAGTATCTGAACAAGCGAAAGCAAGATCAGTTTCATAAAAATAGGCATCAAACGAGAGTGAGTGCTGTATCTTATTTTTATTACCCATGTCAAAATATGTATTTAAGTGTAAATACATAAAAACTTTCTTTCATTGACAGATGAAACTGAAACCGGTTGCAAATCTGGTTGTGCATGAATATTGATATATGCCCAAATATGGGAATTGTCGACATTTCTATGCATACGCATTAACAACATGTTCCTGCTGTTGTGTGTGCAAACATGACAGCATCAACCCTCAAGATCTTTTTAAAGAATATATTCAACTTATGGAAATTCAAGCGCATTGTTGTTAGTTCCTGGCTGTGCAATCAAAATTTTGCGGTTTGCTTGATCTATCTGCTGAATTTATATCCTGTCCGTACCATTTTGGTAGAGGGAAATTAGAGTGCTTGCCAAAGACATTCATGTTAACTGTACGGCCTGATGCTGAAGACGTTAAAATCAACAAACTAAAGTTTGCTTGCATGTCAGTGACAGCTTCGAACAAAGGGCAAGGTCACCATCCATATAAGAAAAGACAACTGGATCTACTCACAGCGTTTTCCGCTAGGGAATGTTATTGTTCGCATTTGGGATGTTCTGAGCCACAAAATCAGAAGTCAGGCACACTTCCACAGAGTTTTTGAACGATTTTCATCAGAACTGTTCACTTTGAGTGATCTGGTCGTGCAGTCGTGTATGTTTATTGATGAACAAACATCTCCCGAAACAGTGCCGAAAAAAAAACGCTTTAAAGGGGACAGTGATGGCACAACCGGAGCATCCAGATAGTCCAGATATATATCCAGATAGTTAAAACTGACTTCATTTCACCACGCTTATCCTTTTATGTTAAATCAAATTGAAAGTCAAGAAAGTTGTTGGGTGCGTCACGCTCATAGGGACCCTCGATCTATCGATCGGTAATAGTACATTGCAAATGGATATAGCTTGATTATATAATGTCTGTAGTAGCTCTGTGCATAACTAATACAGAATGCAAAGCAAAGTTGATGCGTGTGACTATCTTGTTTGGTATAATAAAGTGTGTGTAAATGTCTCTCGCTTTCATGAGATTGCTTCAGTTCTGCATAGCTGCAAATAGAATGACGTCTTGCACTTTTTTATGAATGAAAAAAGTAATTCAGGTGTGACAGAGGTCACGGTTATCCATCGAAATGACTACACACACGTGACGTACAGATTTAGTATCTTACCACCTGTATCTTCACCATGTTGGTAATAAATATTTTTATCCATTGTGCCAGGTATTTGTCAATCCTGTCTATGGAAAGGATGGCTTTCACACCACAGAAAAGAACACATGCAAGTATCGTGATACATATTGGATCGTGAGCAATGTATCGTGAGACATACTGGATCGCACAGTTGGTTTATCATCCCAGCACTATTACTTTTAGACTTTAACAAAACATTAAAGTGGAAAATACTTAAAAAAATGTAGTCTGTATCTCTACTGTGTGAGTTGCCACTGTAGTGTATTTGTAAGACTGTACATCATGTTCAGGTACTTGTTCGACCTGCGCCTAGACTGGGAGGAACATCAAGCAACAAGACGTGTGAACTGAACGATGATTTATTCTGAACTGACCACAGGTACATAGTCATGACGTCACTCCGATGCCGGGGCACGTGAGGTATGGCGTAGTAGTGCGTGCACATTGGCGCTCACAATATGTCAACAAACCTAACACAACATTTCTCCCCCTTGAAACGAAAATCTAACACCCCTCTGATGTACTAAGAAAAAGAACAATTACAACATTACAACTTTTGACACTGACCCACTAAGTTACACAAAACGAATCCCTTGTTTAACACAGTAAATAACTTAACCACACTTTTAGTTTATGATCTATGGCATTACAGATTAAGTCTGTCAGGAGCTGTTACTGTCTTAGTTGATCGCCTGACAGCTTGTTTTATAACCATGGTAACTGCTGGGGCGACACACACACCTGCCTCCCAACATTCAATGTTCTACCCGAATCATCACCACATGCATTAGTGTCTGTCTTGCCAGATGGTACAATTATTGCATCTGACATCTTAGTCTCATGAGTCTGACACCATCCCACTCTTGGTCGAAAGTTTGTCACCTTCTACACTGTCTGTAGCAATTCTACCTCGAAGTTGATCAAGATGGCGTCGACAACTCCTGTCACCAACACCAACTTCATAATGTCTCTCTACATATTTTGTCAAAACTTGCCCGGGTATCCATTTGTCATGTGCATGATAATCATGCACCCACACCTCCTGGTTTACTTGCAGTTGTCTAGTCTCAACTGGATCACTCATTTGACCTGCCAACTTAGATGACATAGCAGACTGAATGTCTGGTTTCAGCAAGTCTAACTTTGTCCTTAATTCTCGACCCAGAAACAACTTTGCTGGAGTTTCACGGGTAGTGCAATGAGGAGTCGACCTGTAAGCCAGCAGAAACTGATCAACCTTTGTCAACACAGATCCTACGTCTTCCTTAGCTGCCTTCATGGCCTGTTTGAATGACTGGACTGCCCTCTCAGCTTGTCCATTAGTGAGGTGAGGTGAAATTGGGTTTAACGTCGCGTCCAAGATTATTGCACTTATATAGCGACGTGCATGCACGTGTGTGTGTGTGGCTGCTTGTACTAGTCCGGACTGATGCCGATTTATAGTACTAGCTCACTGAGATACCATGCCGCAGTTTAACATGAATACCCCACTCAGACACAGTATACTGACTCCGAGCCGACCAGTCCTTGTTTTAGCCCCTTAATGTCGAACGCCAGACAGGGTACCAACAAGTACCATCTTTTAACGTCTTTTGGTATGACGCGACCGGGGATCGAACCCCGGACCTTCCGCTCTCCGGGGGGACGCTCTACCACTAGACCACGGAGGCGGCTTTGTCCATTAGTAGCCGGATGATATGGAGCTGACAAAATATGTTTGACACCATTGCATTTCAAAAATGCTTCAAACTCTTTTGACACAAATTGTGGTCCATTATCTGTAACCACTTGATGTGGCACACCAAACTGTGCACACAGCTTTCGTACTTCCTTCACTGCAGCACTAGATGTTGTAGAATTCATTGCTACAATTTCTGTCCATTTTGAAAATGCATCTACAGTTGACAGAAACATGTGACCCATAAATGGCCCTGCAAAGTCAAGATGAATGCGGGTCCATGGACATGACGGCGGAGCCCATGGGTGTACAGGGGCTAACTGTGGATTGTTGTGAGTGTTCTGGTATGTTGAACATGTCTTGGCAATTTCCTCTATTTCACCGTCTATCCCAGGCCACCAAATGTAACTTCTTGCTACAGATTTCATTTTCACAACTCCAAAATGTCCCGTGTGTAATTCTTGCAACACAGTCTGTCTCATTACTACTCTCATTCCCCACATCACACAGCCAATATGTACAGTGAGTTCAAACCTTCGACTGTGATATGCTTTCATCATGAAATCTTCCCCATGCTCTCTTGTCCATCCATTCATCACCGCTGTGTACACTTGAGACAGGAGAGGATCACGTCTTGTTTCGTTTCTAACGTCAGCAGCAGTAACCGGTAGTTGCTCAAACTGTCGGTTGTAAAACATCTCTACCTCATCTGGTGATTCTTTCTGCTCCCTGGTAACATTGACAAGTGGAAGTCTGGATAACACATCAGGATTTGCATGCTTCTCTGATGCCTTATACTTAATCTCATAATCATATGCACTTAGGATGAGCGCCCATCTCTGCATCCGAGCAGCCGCAAGTGTAGGCACGGGTCTTCCAGCTCCAAACAAAACAGTCAGTGGGTGATGATCTGTGATTAATGTCAAATGTCTGCCATAAATGTACACCAAAAATAATCCCCAAAGCTTCTTTGTCTATTTGAGAATATCCACTCTCAGCTTTCTTCAGTGTGCGGGAAGCAAATGCAATGGGCCTTTCCAAACCGTCCTTTGTAACATGTGATAGTACTGCTCCAACATGATATGACGAAGCATCACATGCAAAGCGTATGGGTAGTGAAGAATCGTAATGCAGGTGCACATGCACCAAGGTCGGTCGCAGGCTCACAACAGTGATACATGTATCAGTTACAGTATAAGCGACATCAGTTACCCTATAACCGACATCAGTTACAGTATAAGCGACATCAGTTACAGTATAACCGACATCAGTTACCCTATAAGCGACATCAGTTACCCTATAAGCGACATCAGTTACAGTATAAGCCACATCAGTTACCGTATAAGCGACATCAGTTACCGTATAAGCAACATCAGTTACAGTATAAGCCACATCAGTTACCGTATAAGCGACATCAGTTACAGTATAAGCCACATCAGTTACAGTATAAGCCACATCAGTTACAGTATAAGCGACATCAGTTACAGTATAAGCGACATCAGTTACAGTATAAGCCACATCAGTTACCGTATAAGCGACATCAGTTACAGTATAAGCAACATCAGTTACAGTATAAGCCACATCAGTTACAGTATAAGCGACATCAGTTACAGTATAAGCCACATCAGTTACCGTATAAGCGACATCAGTTACAGTATAAGCCACATCAGTTACCGTATAAGCGACATCAGTTACCGTATAAGCAACATCAGTTACAGTATAAGCCACATCAGTTACAGTATAAGCCACATCAGTTACCGTATAAGCGACATCAGTTACAGTATAAGCGACATCAGTTACAGTATAAGCGACATCAGTTACAGTATAAGCGACATCAGTTACCGTATAAGCGACATCAGTTACAGTATAAGCCACATCAGTTACCGTATAAGCGACATCAGTTACAGTATAAGCAACATCAGTTACAGTATAAGCCACATCAGTTACAGTATAAGCGACATCAGTTACAGTATAAGCCACATCAGTTACCGTATAAGCGACATCAGTTACAGTATAAGCGACATCAGTTACAGTATAAGCGACATCAGTTACAGTATAAGCGACATCAGTTACCGTATAAGCGACATCAGTTACAGTATAAGCGACATCAGTTACCCTATAAGCCACATCAGTTACCGTATAAGCGACATCAGTTACAGTATAAGCCACATCAGTTACAGTATAAGCGACATCAGTTACAGTATAAGCGACATCAGTTACAGTATAAGCCACATCAGTTACCGTATAAGCGACATCAGTTACAGTATATACAGTTATACAGCCACATCAGTTACAGTATAAGCGACATGTAGCCCACTTGTGCATTATTCAATGCAGTACAGTGTATGAATAGGTGATGCCTGCGTTTGATCAGTAAATAACACTGTGTGAAGGTACTTGGGCTGAAAGTTGAAAATGCAGCATTGGGTAACTATTAGGGCTGGGATGGGTAACTCGAGAACCCAGGTCGGGTTGGTACTGAGTAGGACCCGGGTACAGGACTACCCGGACCCATGGTTAGTCACGTGATATATTGTTTAATGACAAAAATTATCTACAACTCTATGGTAACACTACAAGTAACTAATGTTTGCATTCCTTCCGATTTTTCATATGGTTGAATAAAGATATAACTTAATTCAACTTCAGTGTATGAATGACCAGATTGTTTAATACATGTATCTAAAAATGTTTTGCCAGGGCTATGCTAAGGATGTTCCAAATCGGACATTTTGAGACATCTCCTGAAAGCTACAGTGGGTACCTGGGTAGGGTCGGGTAATAGGGAGGTGGATACCTGGGTAGTAAATTTGGACTCGTCCCAGCCCTAGTAACTATGCACAGTGACAGTGTTGTTTGTGTTATTGGGTTTTTGAAATTGTATTTGTATGCAAGCAACTAAGAAATTAATTGAGCCACCATCTAACACCTCACCTCACCATCTAACACCTCACCTCACATTTAAACACTCTGCCCTGAATCATATCATCATCCCCAAGTACAGACCTCACCATCTAACACCTCACCTCACCATCTAACACCTCACCTCACAACTAAACACTCTGCCTTGAATCCTATCATCATCCTCAAGTACAGACCTCACTATCTAACACCTCACCTCAAAACTAAACATTCTGCCTTGAATCTTATCATCATCCCCAAGTACAGACCTCACCATCTAACACCTCACCTCACCATCTAACACCTCACCTCAAAACTAAACACTCTGCCTTGAATCATATCATCATCCCCAAGTACAGACCTCACATCTAACACCTCACCTCACAACTAAACACTCTGCCTTGAATCATATCATCATCCCCAAGTACAGACAGATGAAGAAAATGTCCTTCCTGGTTCCTTGCTCCTTTACTTGGTGTAAGAATGGTTGTGTTTTAACCAATATTTCACCATGTGACAAAAATCAACAATTCAGCTGGTGCCCATAACAAATTTGGGACTTGTGACATTGAGCATTCTGCACCAACTGCTGACCAATACTTGCTACACCTAATCTCTATCACGTCTATGTTAGAAATAGATGTGACGAGATGTGAATCACATTGACGACAGTTTATGTACACATTTGTCTTGAATATGGTAACCAGTTGGAATATTTAAGTATAACAACATAAGTGAAAAGACTGCTGCTTCACATATCTAATCATTAATTTATTGTGGCTTTGTAATACAAGTAAATTGAAAGTTTGCGACGACAGCTGCCTATAACACACCACATGTACTGAACCAGTTGCCATATTTGCATTCATATGAAAACTATATATTATTTTATTTAAATTACCACCTATACAAACTATTGAAACATATTGCTCTATCATCTATGCTGCCAGAATGAAATGTCACAGCAATAATTAAAACTACTGTATTAGCCACGCACAAAGGGAGGTACTTATCAACACAAGTTCAATTGTTGTTGGAAAACGAGTGGTAGAAAATAAACTTAGTTCAAATATTGATGAAACTCAAAAATGTTTGATAATAAAATACCAAGAACTAATATCCCCATCCTACACCGCTGTGTTTTTTTTTGTAAAACAGTCTGTAATACACATGAAAATACGGACTGTCACATCAATTTTCAGACTTAGTATGGAGCACTTATAAATATTACTTACACATTTATCTAGAAGATGATATGGGGGTGACTTATTACAATGAACATCTGTTGAAGAACAATTAATATTGCATATCATTCATGAGAATACTAAACAAAAACCTTTTCATACACATTTTGATTCAACATTTTTCTTACAGGCTGGGTCATCATGAAACTCCAGGAAGTAATATTAAGTTAATGAGGAACAAAATAGTGAACTGACCACAGATATCACAAGTCCTAATAAGGTAAAAGAAATGGACGAGCTCTAAGAAGTAAAAACAACTGCATGAAACAAGATCTATTTCAAACTGTAAAAAACTAATATTTTGTATTTCTCCAGCTGACCCATTATTTTTCTGTCACACAAGGCCCATCCCCAACCTGAAAAATTGTATTTCTTGATATCTGTGACCAGTCCATAACATGAAAGCAGAGCAATCGCCAATAGGGAAATAAAATGGGTAAAACTACCGTCCGTAACAAGCTGGTAACCCCTTCCTCATTTAAAAATAAAGATCTTAGACTACTTGCTATAAGCATTAAAAATCATTTATGTTATATATAAATATAATGTGGAAAAACAAAAGTTACAAATATTTATGGGTTATAGTTATTAAGTTAGGTTTAGGGCCGATTGACCTACATCAGGTAGGGCCATGTCTTGACAGCTGGACCCCACCGCAATGTTCGGTCACCCTACTATAATAACAAGGAACATGTAAACATTCAACATTTCATATGGGATTAGAAGTTTTGAAGGTCAGCAAATACATATCTTTGATGTAGATCAATCCAAACTTACTGATTTCGATGTGTGTAGTCGTACCGCATCCCGATGTCAACGAATACGTTAAACTCACAAGAAAGATGTAAATAATTCCGTGGTGATTTTCTGCCGCCATTTTGTCCCGAACCAAATCACATGACTGATCACGTGAATGTCATAACACCAAGAAGAGAACGTTTTCCTCAGGGTATAGATCTATATTTAGTTAACATTGTATGTTTTGATTGTTTTACTAGATGGCGTTCGTTGTAGATAATATCACGTACATTTATTGCATTATTCACGTCCGTGGAGATAAGCATAATTGTATACACAATTCGATAATTTGATAGGATTAATCCATCACCAATTTACACTTATTGTGTTTTGTTTAATTGCGTTTCTTTGATAACTTGTATATTTCTAAAACTAAATGGCTGTCATTATTTCTTATGCCCTTATAAAACCTATACATAATTTCAACTTAAGTTTAGCACTCATGATAACCGCCCTCCGCTACAATAATCTATTGTGACAAATTAGACTTTTCCAAGATTTGGTTCTGACTGAATATTGAAGTTAGTTATCACCAGTGTACGCTGAATGTATGCATGTCGACATATCCCTAAAAACAGGAGCATAAACTCGCCCATACCATCTAATAGCAGGGATTTATATGCCAGCGATAGGTGATCCAGGTTAGAATAGGTCTTCAGCAACCCATGCTTGTCATAAGAGGCGACTATGCTTGTCGTAAGTGGCGACTAACGGGGCTGGGTGGTCAGATCTGTTGACTAGGTTGATGCATGTCATCGTATCCCATTTACGTGGATCGATGCTCATGATATCAATCACTAGATTGTTTACCGGCAGTCGTAATAGCCTAACTATTGCTGAGTGCGGCGTTAAACAACAAACAAACAAAGTCTGGGACAGACTAGGTCACGTGACACGTGCTGTTTTCTGAATCTTTTGTTTATGAAGTCATCAGCGCGAACTACAACTAACACTTAAGGGAAAAGTAGACATGTGATAGTTCGTTCAACAATACAAAACACCTCAGTGTTAAATGGATATACCACGTGCTATGTGGTGTAACATAATATATCCACGGTTAGGGTAGAGGCGACAAGACCTTTACCGGTATACGGTCTCTGGTTTTGGTCATTGTGTACCTTGCATACAAAATTCATTCAGTCGGACATTTAAAAACATAATTTAATAATAAATATTAAACAAGTCTATACACATTCTGATGTTGGACGAGGTGGTAACACATCCGATATTTTCACGGTAAAAAACCACTTATACTGCAATAGATAGACAGCATCAACACCGCACATGTGCACAAGCTCCAGATATGATAGAACTTTCAAACCCATGTTATAATCAGTGAGACATCTGTCAAATAAACTCAAAGAAACTTCCCCAATACTATGCTTTAACAAGAGTTATTGCGAGTTAACGCTAAATAAACGAAGAAAAAAGTCCTTCGAAAGAACTTGCTATAATTATTATGTGTGTAAATCTGGTATCAAGGAAAAGCGTAATTTCTTGCTTGTTTTCTGCCTCAATACCAAGCTCATGAAAATCAGATCTTAGTTCTCGTTATCGCTAAACAAAGCGAGAACTTAGATCTGATTTTAATGAGATTGCCTCAATACAGAGATCTATGATTACGGTTTTTACCAGATAATTACTCAATAAACAGACTAGGGCTGGGACGGGTAACTCGGGTAACCGGGTCGGGTCGGGTCGGTACAGAGTAGGACCGGGGTACCCACAGGACTACCCGGACTCGTGGTTAGTCACGTGATATATTGTTTAATGACTAAAATTATCTGGAAATCTATGGTGACACTAGACGTCACTAATGTTAGCTTTTCGTTCTGACTCTACACCCATTCCTTCTGATTTTTCATGTGGTTGAAAAAAGATATAACTTAAGTCAACTTCAGTGTATGCATGGCCAGATTGTTTGATACATGTATCTAAATACGTTTTGCCAGGGCTATGCTAAAAATATTCACAATCGAACATTTTGAGACATCTCCTGAGACCTAGAGTGGGTACCCGGGTATAGGTTCGGGTGATAGGGGGCGGGTACCCGGGTAGTAAATTTGGACTCGTCCCAGCCCTAAAACAGACACATGTGAACCTTTTAACATGCAAAGATGAAACAATGGTACACAAAACGTGATCTAGGCTACCAGTTGTTGGACTTTCCTGTTTGTGGAAGCCTCGGCGGCAGAGCGGGTTAGATCGCTGACTTTGTGTACTGGCGATTAGGTCCCTCACTCTGGCAGCGTGGGTTCTAATCCCGGATGGGACTCAACCCCCCAAAATACGAGAATCTGTACTATACTAAGAAGGTACCACTCTCTAAATAGCATAGTGTGTTCATATACAAATGTTGACGTGGAAACATTGTACTAAATTACATTTTGGCCTAAGGCCTTTCGTACGATTAAATATTTGATTTGATAGATCGGGACTTAGTCCTGCACCATGACTGGAATTTATATTTTTTAGGCATTTTTTAGCAAAAGAACAGGCAAGACTAGATCAAACTAACCAAGTCTAGTTTGCTTGATTAATACAGCAGAAGAGGAAAGGTTCTTTCGAAAAAATACAAATTATTATAAAGACATGTTTTCATTGACCAAGTGTTTGTCTAGTCGGGACTCATTGCATCATACTTCCCAACATCTTCGACGACACCCATTCAGTAATTATCTTTCTCGTACGCAACGCTGACATAAATTAAAGATCATTTTGTCAAATCAGCGATGAAATTAAACTTCACCCAAGAGCTGCGAGAAGCTTAAGGCCTTGGTTCTGTTTGACATTGACGCTTCGAGCTACCGGAGTCCAAAACCAATATTGTACGTGCGCATCTTTCAGTAACGCGCGGTTTAATAATAACGTTATCTCATTACATCGTTTGAATGGTGAGGTGAATTGGGGTTTACCGTCACGTTCAAGATTATTTCACTCATACACCGACGTGAAAGTGTGTGTGTGGCTGCTTGTACTAGCCCGGATTCATAGGGGATCGAACTTCCGCTCTCTGGGCAGACGTTCTATCCACCACACCACGAGGCGGTTCCCTGGTCCCATGGATCGAGATTTTGATTGGAGCCGTTCATAATTTACTCATGCACATGTTATCATTCACACTGGGCAGTGATGGCGTTTTGGGGGTATTCAATATATTTTACACTCCTGGGTCCAGTCTATTGGGTTTTGTAAACCGACGAGATGACATTTCTGAAATCTTGGCTTCCATTGTCTATTGCTAATCACCTATCAGCGCCAATTATCTGTTGGCTTCATGGGCGGATACAGCTTTTTTTAAAAGGGTGTGTGCACAATTAAGATCTATTTATTGTCTTTGGTGGTAATTTATACAGAAATAAAAAAAAATTTCGAAATAAAAGGGGGGGGGGGGGGGGGCGCACCCCCCTCTGTATCCGCCCATGGGCTTCCCTCGTTAAGTTTCCACCTTTTGTTATCTTATTACTTTTGTTGTTCTAACATACAAATATAGATGCTCTCAGCCTCATAGCAATCATACACCTGATAAAGGAGTAAGCATATTTACTAAGAAACGTTGTTCCTCATAATAAAGGAGTTGACATCCATAGATTTTCATCCTTATGTGTATCACTTCTAAATGCCTTCCAAAAACTTAGTACTATTCTTATCTTTGTCCTTTTGTTGTTTTTTTTATCGTTAGTCTATACGAAATGTATTAATAATATTATTAAATGAATTAGTAGAATGTCTAAGGGGGGCTTGTCATTTACTTATCACAGGGGAAGGGGGGTGGGTGGCGGTTAGATTGGCCTTATGACTAAATCATTTTTTATAACCCCCATATATAACATTTGTCCATACCCCCTATACAAAATGATATATATGGGGGTGTTATATATATATATATATATATATATATATATATATATGGGGGTTAATATATAATCAATATAACATTTCCATACCCCCAATAAAAAAATAACAGTCCCTAAATAATGTGCAAATTTATAAAAATAATTATTTGAAAAAATACAACTGCGTCATACTGTCACAACGGCGCTGGCATTTACCTCCAATAACTAATTATTGTGATATGAGCATGTGTGTACACGGTATAGTTACAAGCGTACACCTGTTTAAATAACCCGCCTCTCGTTTCTTAGCAGTAGCACGTGCTTTAACTTCATCTCTTACTTTCCAAACAACTAATGTTACTGAGCAAATGGGACTATTGTTGATACCAATGCATGTAAAAAAAATACTATCAAGGAATATAAAGAATACAGAATGCATTGTTTAATATAATACACGGATGTGTAAGTTACGTTACAGTTTCGTGATTTGAATTACGATTGCAGAATATCATGTATACATTGTATACCGTTAGACTTGTAGTGTGTGGTTGAGAGGTTACAGGTCATCATCTGACATCCGGAACTGGGTGTCGTGTACAGTAGGGGTGTAGATGGAAGATATTTGTTGATTTCAGGATCACCGTGATCTAATTTGACTTTTGTGGAGAGCAGTTGTGTCTGTTGTGATCTAGCCAAGACGGACAAAGCGACAATTTTGGTCTGAGAAGTTTGTGGATCCATATAACCGTGAGTAGCGTGAAATCGACCCTTACCTTATTTTGGATCTGTCAATGTCAGGAATCGTACGATGTTCTTGGAATTAATTGCCCAACCAAAGCCTCCAATTCCATGTCACGTTTAAATTACATGCAGATTCCGCCCTTGTTTGTATTTTAGGGAAGCAGCAGACAGGTGTAAACCACTCAATCCCCGTTATTGTTTGTCATGTGTATTTCAAGTCGATGGGTGTATCGTGTGTTAACGCCCCCTTGACCGATTGGCAAAATGGATAATTTGTAGTTCTTATGGGCTGTAGGCGTTTAATTTATTCATACAGCTCGACAAATAGCTTTTGATAAAGTAAACATTTTGTGTTGTTGTATTGTTATGTTTCTGATTGCTTATTTGTAAAATAATATCTTCGACAAAACAAGTTGCCTAGTTTCAACTAGCTGGGTCATATTGACCACTAGACATAAAGCAAGCAGTTTTTGGCGAATTGTTTGTTTGAAAGTACTGCCATTATATCCATATTTTTACAAACGTTTTGTAAACAATTGCAGGGTTTCAGATTGGTTCATTTTCTAGGACACTGACTGATTGTTATCCAACATGTCCTGAAGATATTTTTTAAATTTTGTAATGATGTCAAAGAATGTCCTATCAAAAAGTGATAAAATTGTGCGAATGACCTATTGCCATTTGTCCAAAATCACTGCACTTGTCAACATGTAATTTCTCTGTATTTTGGATTGTTAGGAAATTAGCGTGTTGTTTTCTGTAGTTTGGACTCGGCTTTTCATGAAATGTCTCCGTTGTGATATTACTTTTAAAACTATTATCACAAGATAATATGCAGTCATGGTTTATTTGACAATATATGATAGCGATACAATATGGTTTGAATACTTGTAGACAGGGCACTTTTTCTCTCACAAGTTTTCACAAATAAAGAAGGGGGCAAAATAAATCAAATGCCATTTGATTTGAATTAATTACAAGTTTCTTTGATGATGAAGTTATTACTCTTTAACTGGAGAAAACGGCAATGAATTCTTTTAGTTCGCCTGGACCAGAACCACTTCTTCAGCATCTTTAAACGACAATTAAACTGAACCAATGCACCAATGAAATAGAAGCTTGTCATGCTTCTTCCCACCATGGATAACACCTAAATTAGATCAAGATGTCCGATACATTACTTTTAAGATGGTATTTGTGAATGTCACATTGAAAATAATTACTTGATTTCCATTACTGTTTCATCTTTCAATGAAGTGATGATACCATGATTTGTTCCACCCATTATGATCTAATTTTCAGTTGTTTTGTTAATTGAAGAAAAAAGAAAAAAAATTCTCCTGATTCCCAGACATTGTTTTACATCAATTGTGCTACACTCAGCATGGAGTATTAGAAGCTTGAAATATGGAAAAGTCTAATAAATTAGTTATTAAATAATTGAGATTTGAAATATGTTTCAACAGAACCTTACTTGTATGTAAAATGTGTCAGATTGAAGTTATTAAAAATCTAAATTGAGAAACCTGAAACTGGTAAAATCGATCATCTTTACATCTGACTTTGACTTTTGAGTTGCTAAATTTAATACTTTATGAAACTGATTCTTACAAATGTTGACCTTCATGCTTGCCTTGGCTCAACTCATGACATTATTCAACACCTCAAGTGTCAATCAAATGTAGACTTGTTGGTCTGAAATATACACCTGAGTACACCCCCTGACTTAATTAGGTATGAATTACCCTTGTACATGTGCTTGTAGTATACACTAGCGCAACATTTGTATTTATTGCTAAGTAATTCAATATCCTGGATTCATGTTACTCTTGTGGGAGTATTTGATGCTTCCCAACTCTCCCAGCACCTTGCTGTCATATGGAATATTCATCTGTTCTAAATAATTCACAATGTACCAGTGGATGATTGGGAAAATGCGAACAGTAAGAACTTGTTATATTGGACGGAACTTTGGGATTGGTCTCAGGACTTAACATTTTTTAAATGACACCCTTCCCCCTCCAAAAAGCAATGACCAGTCCCTAAATAATGTTCAAGTTTATTAACACAAAATTGTTTGAAAAGATAATACTGATTCATTTTTCAGTCCCACTCACCAACCCCCCAGTTGTGATGAATCTTGGTGTCCACCCCCCCCCCCTCTTTAACTGTGTAATTTTCTTTTCACCCCCTAATCTTATCACTCCTCTCCAAGCCCCAACCCCCATAATAAATGACCAGTCCCTTACAGAGATATTGCTGCTTTTCCAAGATAATGTAGATAAAAATACTTTACCTGTTATAACTAAGTTTAGTTATTTGAGCAATATGAGAGACTTATCTTAATTCATGACATATCTGAATCCTGTGTGCCACAATAATCTTGTACCCATGTATGGTCATCGTGTCAGTATTGGATGGTTGGTTGAATTCATTGGTCATAATGCAGGCATTGTGTAGCAGAACAACAAGCTTCTTAGTGGCTTGTCTTCTGGGAAATATATTTGTAAGCTTCATCAAGCCAGTTTGTTTATACTTGAACGAGCTCACATTGTGTCCTACAATACAGACCCAGCATATGCCACACTGGACAGTGCATACTTCACACAAGACCCAGCATACTTTTCACTTGACCCAGCATACTTCACACTTGGCCTAGGATACTTCACACTAGACCCAGCATGCTTCACACTAGACCCAGAATACTTCACACTAGACCCAGCATGCTTCACACTAGACCCAGCATGCTTCACACTAGACCCAGCATGCTTCACACTAGACCCAGCATGTTGCTTCACACTAGACCCAGCATGCTTCACACTAGACCCAGCATGCTTCACACTAGACCCAGCATGCTACACACTAGACCCAGCATGCTTCACACTAGACCCAGCATGCTTCACACTAGACCCAGCATACTTCACACTAGACCCAGAATAATTCACACTAAACCCAGCATGCTTTACACTAGACCCAGCATGCTTCACACTAGACCCAGCATGCTTCACACTAGACCCAGCAAACTTTACACTAGACCTAGCATACTTCACACTAGACCCAGCATACTTCACACTTGATCCAGAATACTTCACACTAGACCCAGCATGCTTCACACTAGACCCAGCATGCTACACACTAGACCCAGCATGCTTCACACTAGACCCAGCATGCTTCACACTAGACCCAGCATACTTCACACTAGACCCAGAATAATTCACACTAAACCCAGCATGCTTTACACTAGACCCAGCATGCTTCACACTAGACCCAGCATGCTTCACACTAGACCCAGCAAACTTTACACTAGACCTAGCATACTTCACACTAGACCCAGCATACTTCACACTTGATCCAGAATACTTCACACTAGACCCAGCATGCTTCACACTAGACCCAGCATGCTTCACACTAGACCCAGCATACTTCACACTAGACCCAGCATGCTTCACACTAGACCCAGAATACTTCAAACTAGACCCAGCAAACTTTACACTAGACCTAGCATACTTCACACTAGACCCAGCATACTTCACACTTGATCCAGAATACTTCACACTAGACCCAGCATGCTTCACACTAAACCCAGCATGCTTCACACTAAACCCAGCATACTTCACACTAAACCCAGCATACTTCACACTAGACCCAGCATACTTCACACTAGACCTAGCATACTTCACACTAGACCCAGCATACTTCACACTAGACCCAGCATGCTTCACACTAGACCCAGCATACTTCACACTAGATCCAGCAAACTTTACACTAGACCTAGCATACTTCACACTAGACCCAGCATACTTCACACTAGACCCAGCATGCTTCACACTAGACCCAGCATACTTCACACTAGACCCAACATACTTCAGACTTTGGTATTCCTGACACTAGACCCAGAAAGCAGCACACCATTCTGACCATAGACTCTGCCCTGTGGGGCTTCCCTGTCAGAGTTAAGATATCCAGCACTTAATGCATCTCGTAACAATAGACTGATTGGTTAATTCAGGCTTTGTGACTGGTTGTGTGTCATCGTACCCTGATTGCATTGGATATAGATCAAAGCTTGATCATGCTACCAACCACTTGTTTACCCCGTCTGGACTCGATGATCTGCAGACAGTTGTTATATTGCGTGAATATTGCTGCAGTCAACGAAATCTCAAGGACCCAGCATATCTCAGACTAAGCTAAAGATACTTGACAGCTGAATTGATCTTCATAACAAAACAGACCATTCCTCTTGTCAAAAGCAGCAGTGAAAAAACACACAAGTAGATTGAATTCAGGAAAACATCTTCACCAAGTTTGCTGCTGCTGTATCTACACCTTGAACCATAAGGGCAGCCTTGCCTGAGTTGGGGGAAGTGTATGGCTGATACAGGGAGAGAGAGATTCATCTCTAAGGTCAACATTCATTAACAGCATATGTTTTGTCGAGCAGTGTCAAAATATTTTGTCAACCAGTAGTCAGGCAATTCATCATGAAGGATGCCACATCAAGCCCACTTTCCTCTGCTAAATATGATTGGACTATAGCACATATCGATAAGCCAATCAGAGAACGTTTTATACAATCATCATCTGGGTTCCGAAAACTAGGCCGGTGCCATATAGCTCGTCGCATTTGCGCTGAAGTTCAGTCAACAATTAAGCAAAGAGAAGTATTTTCTAAGTCTTTCCAAGTTTAAAATTAATTCGCCCTAGTACTGTGCTTGTAAGAATTACAATGATGAGAAGTCACCATCTTTGTGAAGCCCTACTGTGAAGTTAAAAACAGCACTCTGATTGGATATCTCGTTTTCATTGCAAGGGGCACAACTGTGATCTCCACAAGGTGGCCCCACGATTGACCCAAGAAAAGTGCACTTGATGTGGCAAGGATGGAAACTAAGCTTATTATAGGCTAGTGGACACGCTTGCCTTTGGAAGATGTGTTGTGACATGATACATCCATTTCTAGTTATATGATACAAGCACTACTGTAGGTTTTGTAAAGAGAGTATAGTCAGTCGAACAGTTTTGTCAGTCGAACAGTCCAAAAACATAAGTTAGAATAAAGCTGTTATATATTAATATTAATCTGTGAATTTTACAAGTAGATTTGTCTCATGCCAATTAAAAACACAGGATGTCTTGACATGTTAATATTGGTGTCAGTATCCTGGTTGGTAGGTGGAAAAAAATAAAATAAAAGACATTTCAGATTAATTTACATTTTTCACAATGACCTGAGTGTGTTGCTTCCTATGCACTATTGTCTTGTGACAAACACAGAAATTTATTGTGCTTCTTGCCACTATTAGTTATTTTAGGGATCTGCAGAATTTGTTAAGTCAATTTTTTAAAAAGTCCCGACTAATTTGTTTGTCTTATTATCTGTATTAATTATTCTGATAGAGTAAAACTGTAAATTTAACTAAATCTGTAATAGAAAAGGGATATTTTCAAAACCTGCAACTTCTACATATAGTAATCATGTTTATTAGCTATTCCGTCAAAATTTTAAACTTAGTTTGACATTATGATAATTGAAAGTATCCTTTGATAGAGAATAATTTGATGTTGATACTGTGAGTATAATACTATTTTGTTGCAAATGATAATCTATTTTAATCCTGGATTGAGGCAAGGTACTGCTAGTGGATGTTGCTGCATCAAGTGTAAGTCAAGCCTGTCATTGCAAGCAAATATGCTGTAGCATGTGCCGTGTTTTATGTTGTTTACTGATGCTCTAGAGGATATGTTGCTGCATAATATATAATTTAGATCAGAAATGGTCAAATAATATTTTGGATTGTTTCGGACATCATATGTTTCCGGATGACCATGTTTATCATGATAACTCACGCTATAACGAAGAGTGTGGCGCCACCACACAGACATTGTAAATACTCGGATGATGGCTTGTTTATAAGATAAAGGTATCTTTTGTAAGTGACTGAGTGAGATGTTTTACAGTTGTTCTTGTGATTTACGAGAAAACGATCATGTTTTTTTAGCATCAGAAAAAAACCCATAACATGAGGATATTTCTAAGTTATTAACACTGTTTTCTTGTGTTTGTGAATTAGTATTTTCTTACCAACCAAAAATTGCAACCTAAAAAAATCTATGCTAAACTGTAACTGATCATGCTGATGTTGATGTAAACATAAATGACTTTCTTGGTTAAAGACATAAGTTTCTGGTTTGGATATGAAATTGGATTATGAAAAATCAATTATTTTGCTGACTGTTGTAAAATGTTACATGTCAGTCCTTGCATATCAGCTGATATTGATGACTGACATGTGTACCACTAGCAGTGTAATATGTCATACTCAGTGATACCTGTCATATCGGTTACACGTCCCATAGATCTTACTGCTTCATGTCACACCAATACCTCGCTCTGTTAGCCTGTAAGCTACTTAACTTGTCATTAACCTAGTGCAATATACAATAGTTTTCAGACGTATATGGTACTCGGGTTACTTTACTTACAGGCCAGGACCTCCACAGTTGACCTGTGAACTTTGGTAATTGTGGTGTCGGGCAGGAGGAGGGACGCCACACTTACTGACTAGTGACAAAGGAAGCTGCATATTGTCTGTGTATTGTTGTCAGCTGATCAGCACTGTTTGGCATCAGAGTCATCAGTCAGGAAGTGTTTTTAGGAAAAATATGTAGTGTCAAAAAATAGGGATGAAGTGATATATTTCACGTCCTAAAACATAAAAGAAATGTGTTAAGGTGACGTCTGTGTCCTGTGGGTAGGGCTGATTCGGTGACTTCAGGTCAGGGATCGAAGTGCAACTGTTTTCAAGTGTGCTTCACTTTTACTGTGGAGAGTAAAACCATATCCTTGATGTGAGTTTATAATCTTCCTGTGATTGTAGTCAATTAAATATTAACTTAGAGTTTGAAAAATAGATGTGATATATTTGGTATATGTTCTTCAAATTGTAGACTGCAGTAAGGACACTTGGAGTTTGTTTTAACCATACCATTGTGATTTTGACTGGCATTTCGAACCCTGCAGGTATATTTTTGAAACCATGTTATTAACTGGGATAATGTCATGTCTCATGTCAAATTATCAACTTTATGTTTGAAACATGTGATCTATGCAGGGATAGAAAGTGCTGAAAAATGCATTCATCAAGATGTTTGGGTGTTCCCTCTGGAATAAAAGTGTGCCAACTAGAAGATTTATTTTGATCCACTTTCAAACTCAGTAAAAGTCCCAAGGCTAAATAATTAGCAGTTACCTGTTCATTGAGATTGATAATACCCTTTCCAGGGCTCGATTTAAGGAACAGGATTTAACTTGCAACAGGTGCATGTTGACATGAAAACCAAGTTGCAGAAGACAATACCAGGTTGCCCCCTGGTCCATAACTGAAACATAGGCCAGTCGGCTGCCAGTGTCACGGAAATTATCATTATAGGTACAGGTACACATAACCTTGTAGTACCCACAGGGTGATGACATCAAGCCCAAGAAAGCATGGCAAATTACTCATAAAAGGGATTAGTGATATTTTCTGGCAAATAGAGCTTAGAGCCATTGTCTTCCTGAACCGATGTTATGTGAACAGCTAAGGGTTAGTAAGACACATATTAACAGCGGTAGAAACTAACATTTTTAGTCTACTAGCCCTTGTAATAGGATGACATATAGCAAAACCTTAAAATACCTTAACTATTGGGCAGTTTGGCAAGGGCTACAGAACGAGTGCCAATTTCAAACACTGGTTAAGTTTTTGACAAACACTTGGTGCATGAAGACATAACATATTAGGTTGCATCTTTCAACAATAGATTGCACTGGTGCATGTTTTATATGATGTTCAATCGAGCCCTGCTTTGTTATTTCTGAATACCCAAATTTATTTGGTGAATCATACTGAACATTATGCGTGTTCACTAGTCATCATTTTCCACATGTTTGTGATGTTTATTTGTGATGTTTATTTGTGGCTTCCTGTAATAAACATTGTTGCATTGTTGTTCAAATATAAAGATTTCTAAGTACACCCTTCTGGCAGTGGGAACTCATTTTAACTGTGCTATCACCGCAAAGGAATTACTTTCCATACTATGCAGGGTGGAAATTAAGTCTGCTAGTCTAAGACTTTTAAAATTCAGGAAAGGGTGCCATTTCCCTGTGAACTAACCATCACTTGTACAGAGATTAAAACTCTAGCAGGATATATTGTGTACTTAGGAAACAAATATGAATTTCTAACCCTCCAAGTATGTAAAATATCTGTCAGAATGAACTTGAAGTCATAGAATGTAAGGGAAATGGATTTTTAGAGACATGATGACGAAACATTTCATTTAATAAAAAAACATACAAAATTTATTAAAAAAACATTCACATTAAGTCATGCTTGTTTGTAAGCCCTACAACTAGTGACTTGACCACACTTTATTCCAGCCTGCCCCAGAGAGCTGGTGTGATACCCCCAGGATGATCTGAAGCCTGGGGTGACGACAGAGAGAAGACCCCACAGGAGACCACCGAGATCCACAGGTCATTGTGATATAGACATTTGTAGTTGATAGTGACCAGGCATTAATTAGGTGTACATTTCATGTGTCCATTCCAGTCGTGTCTGTCACAGACGAGACAAAAGAAGGCAGTGGGAGTGTTCACCTTGGGTTGGCATGCTTGTTTCCCTGTCAGCTGGTGTAAGTAGGACTCTCTTTGAGCTGATTTGTGTAGAGGATTGGAAGGAATGTGAATGAAAGCTTGTCCTTGGGTTTATAATATATCTATGTGTCTGTCTTTTTGAGATATTCCACAATATAGTGCCAATAAGGATTCCACAATTTTAACCACAAAGTTACATCATCAGTGATCCACTAGGTTGAAATATTGAAAATTAGATAGATTGGTGTGGACCTCATATTTCTACTTTTGGGATTCATCTCAAATGCAGTGATAGAAATTGACACTAGTCCTATTGTCCTTGCCAAAATGCCCAATAGTTGAGGTATCATAAGGACGAGTAGAAATTTGCCATTTTTAAGGGTTTTGGTATCTGTTAAGGAATAGTGTTAGACTGTTGGTTTCTATCACTGTATGTACAATTGATCCATGTTTGAGGGGATTGTGCACAATTGTTAAGACACAGCATTGTGCTGCATTGGGTGTTCTGAGCTACAGGGCTTGACTGTGTAATTGTAGCTTGGACTGATATATATCTTACAACATACGGATTCATAGAGATAAGGTCTTCCACATCCACTGGAGCTACTTGACATTCCAGCACAGTTGACGTAGAAGAAATCGACAAGGATTTGGTTGGATTTTAAGATTTGTACCCACAGGGAGGTATTCAGGAATACATCTTCCTGTTAGATATGGACGCTGATGGAACAATGTTAGGAAAGAGAATCTGTCTCATGAATTATATATACATTTTAGTGCAGTCATTATGTAGCCTTTTATTAATGTACATGTCGAAACGTGAAATCAGTGTTTCAGATTCTGAAAAGATGCAAGGGAATTTGATGCATGAGAAAAGCAAATGACATTTGATTTGTCATGTTTTCATTTCTTGTTCTTATGTTTTTGGATCAGCCCAATTTAACAAATATGAAATATAGGGTGTGCAATATAACTGGTATACCGCTATATTGCAATACAGTCATCAGCAATACACATTCAGCCATTGGGTATCAATATGTTCAGATACAGTCACAGAAAAATTAACATATTATTATCTATCTTGAAGCATTTGGCTGGACAGGATTTCTGTGTAAACCGTGTAAACAGCACATGCTTCCTATTGATGACATAATAGGTATTCTCATCTATCTATACGACCCATCTCGCATTATTAAAATATTAAAATCGTTATTTTGAGATCAGTCTTTGCTTCTTCACATTGTGTCTATCTTATTTTTCAATTGAGGGCGAAGTACCTGTAATGCTATGACATTCACTATGGGAAACATATTTTTTAATATGTTATGTTAGTTTGAGGGAAAATATTAAAATATTAAAAAAAATAAACATCGACCTTAATTTGAACATTTTCCATGTTGTTAAAACCACTGAATATGAATAGAGTAACTATGACATTGCTTCATAAAGTTTCTTATAGAAGTTAGGCAGTGAACGTATCCCCAAACATCAATATATATGGACCAGATATCATATGATTGGGAGGATACCATAGTACAGTTGGACAACTGGCAGGATTCAGCTGGGCATTGCTCTGTCAGTGTGTCTGGTAGGTGTTGTCTACATATCATTTGATGGAGAGCTGATACAGGGAAAGCGATGAAGGCGGACATGTTTGAACTTGAATGACTTGGTACTCCTGATACTGTCCTCTGATATCACATTCATTGTTCATATCTTACACTATCGTGAACTTTGATAGGACAGACCGATGTTTGGGGCAGGTATGTGGCATATCAGTGTTGGAGTTGTCAAGATGGATGTATAATCACACATTATAAGTGGTCTAATTGTGTGTGACTAGTGGTGAGTTATGATCCATATCCTTGCATAAAAAATCTCTTCTTATTATCTGATGAAGTAATAAGGTTCAACTTCACTGATGTATTGGCAGACAGTTAACATGTGGAACCATATGTTGCATTTATATTCATGTTAAAAAAACCCATGACATTTGTTTCCAGCTTACTGACTGACCCTTGTTATCCCCCACCCCAACGAAGTTGGTTGGGGATACAGAAATGGGTTCCATCCATCCGTCCGTCTGTGCTTGTGTGTGTGAGTGTGTGTGTGCATCTCAAAAATGTTTCCGGAGCACAACTCAGAAACCGTTAAATATTTCTCTACGAAACTTTGCATGTCTATCAGACTCATACTGAACTGGTGCCTTTTGCTATTTAGGAATTTTAGAAATTTTTATTTTTATGTTTCCATGGCAACAAGTTGGACTTAGGTTCTTTAGGGTAGAGTTCGTTTCGGGAGTGTAACTCAAAATCCGTTAAATACTTTCTTACAAAACTTTGTATGTCTACGAGGCACATACTGAACTGGTTTAAATGTTGGGTCAGTTACCTGGTTTGGGACCATAACGTGTTAAAGTGGGCGGGGATATAGATGACTTCGTCGACTATATGCTTGTTTTTCTTGAGTTTGAACCTTACTTTATCTGTATTCTTTTGCAAATTTGTTGTGCTTCACTTTAGATAAAACAGTCATTATCTTTAATATGGTGACACTTATGTGAAAGTAGGATTGTACTGATAAACTGCAAATAACGAACTACCTAATGACCTACTTACCCAATTACGGGTATACTGCAAATAGTGACCTACCTACCCGATTACGGATTTACTGCAAGTAACAACCTACCTGATGACCTACCTACCAAATTACAGGTATACTGCCAAAAGTGACCTACTTACCCGATTACGGATATACAGCAAATAACAACCTACCTACCCGATTACGGATATACAGCAAATAACAACCTACCTACCCGATTACGGATATACAGCAAATAACAACCTACCTACCCGATTACGGATATACAGCAAATAATGACCTACCTACCCAATTATGGATATACTGCAAATGGTGACCTACATACCCAATTACGATTACTGGAAATAATGACCTACCTACCTAATTATGGATATACTGCAAATAGTGACCTACCTACCTGATTACGGATATACTGCAAATAATGACCTACCTACCGGATTACGGATATACTGCAAATAATGACCTACCTACCTGATTATGGATATACTGCAAATAGTGACCTACCTACCGGATTACAGATATACTGCAAATAATGACCTACCTACCTACCTGATTATGGATATACTGCAAATAGTGACCTACCTACCGGATTACGGATATACTGCAAATAACGACATACCTACCCAATTATGGATAAACTGCAAATAGTGACCTACCTACCCGATTACGGATATGCTGTGAATAGTGACCACCTACCCGATTACGGATATACTGTGAAAATTGACCTACCTACCCGATTACGGATATACTGCAAATAATGACCTACGTACCCGATTACGGATATACTGCAAATAATGACCTACCTACCTGATTATGGATATACTGCAAATAGTGACCTACCTACCCCATTATGAATATACTGCAAATAGTGACCTACCTACCCAATTACGGATATACTGCAAATAACGACCTACCTACCTGATTACGGATATACTGCAAATAACGACCTACCTACCCGATTAAGGATATGCTGTGAATAGTGACCACCTACCCGATTACGGATATACTTTTAATATTGACCTACCTACCCGATTACAGATACACTGAATAAGTAACTACCTACCCGATTACGAATATACTGCAAATAACGACCTACCTACCCGATTACGGATATACTTTTAATATTGACCTACCTACCCGATTACAGATACACTGAATAAGTAACTACCTACCCGATTACGAATATACTGCAAATAACGACCTACCTACCCGATTACGGATATACTTAAAAAAACGATCCACCTTCCCGATAAGGCCACTTGAAGCAACTTGTGTTGATGTTGCAGGAGTTGATGATACAGCAGCTGAGTGTTGACTGAAGGCAACCATGACAGCTAAAACAGGTGGGTGTCTCACGCTTGGGTAAACAGCTAAAACAGGTGGGTGTCTCACACTTGGGTAAACAGCTAAAACAGGTGGGTGTCTCACGCTTGGGTAAACAGCTAAAACAGGTGCGTGTCTCACACTTGGGTTAACAGGTGTGTGTGTGTGTGTGTGTGTGTGTGTGTGTGTGTGTGTGTGTGTGTGTGTATATATATAAAGAAATTCTCTGATTAGTATATGCATTTGTATTTTTGAAATCAGCCAAAGGTGTACATTTTCATGTCAGTCTAGCTGTCCAAGAAGTAAGATGGCTGTCATGTTAGTTACTGTGTGTTCCAGGCAAAATTGATCCCAACAAGTTTGAGGGTGAAGGGTTAAATTTCCGTGCCAAATTGATTGGTGTTGACGATGTTGCTGAGGCACGTGGAGACAAGATGTGCCAGATGTCCATGCAGAAGCTGAAGGCCTCCGTCAAGTCAGCCGGGGAACACAAACAGAGAATTGTTGTCAACGTCTCACTGGAGGGGCTCAAGATCATAGATGGAGTCTCTATGGTAGGTGGCAAGGATGATAATCATGTAGATCTTATGGTGGTGGTGATGATGATGATGATGATGATGATAGATAATGTTCCATGAAGTTTAATTGTGTTATGATGCATCATCATCATAACAGATGAAGCCTATGGTGGGTTGTGTGTATGATTATGGTTGGTTGGGTGTTTGTTGTTTAATGCCGCACTCTGCAATATTCCAGCTATCTGACGGTGATCAGTAGATAATCAAGTCTGGACCAGACAATTCATATGATTGATATCATGAGCATTGATTGACACAATTAGGATGCGAAGACATGCATGAACCAAGTCAGTGAGCCTGACCGTCTGATCCCATTAGTTGCCTCTTACGACAAGCATAGTCACCTCTTGTCCCAAGCAGGGGTTTGCTGAAGACTATTCTACCCCGGATCTGCACGGGTCGTATGATTATGATTAAGATGATGTGACATGAGAGTTATCTTCAGGTGTTGTTTCAGGCTATCCAGTACACACATGCAGTTCACAGGATCTCCTTCATAGCTAGGGATGTGTCCGACTCTCGGGCCTTCGGCTATATATTTGGTGTGGGAGATGGAACACACAAGTTCTTTGCAATCAAGACAGAAAAACAGGTAAATGACTGGACTGGGATAGATCCAAGCTGATTGACTGGGATAGATCCAAGCTGATTGATTGACTTGGATAGATCCAAGCTGATTGACTGGGATAGATCCAAGCTGATTGATTGACTGGGATAGATCCAAGCTGATTGATTGACTGGGATAGGTGATTGATTGACTGGGATAGACCCAAACTGATTGATTGACTGGGATAGCTGCAAGCTTTTTGATTGACTGGGATAGACCCAAGCTGATTGACTGGTACAGACCCAAGCTGATTGATTGACTGGGATAGACCCAAGCTGATTGACTGGTACAGACCCAAGCTGATTGATTGACTGGGATAGACCCAAGCTGATTGACTGGGATAGACCCAAGCTGACTGATTGGCTAGGATAGACCCAATCTGAGAGGTAGTACGAACATATATACTCCATATTTACATTGTAATATTATATATCCTCTATATATTTTGGGAGAGGGCTATTTAAGTTGTGAAAACTTGGGCCCAGTCCTTTTCTTGTGAATAAAATATGTTTCAATCAAACATATGGTAAAAAGTCCATCTTGGGTCACAGGCTTGCTCATACTTAGATGTTCTCCTGAAGTTAGAACAAATGGGTCTATTAGACTCATTTGGGCAATAATTATGTTTGTTTGTTGTTTAACACCACACTCAACAATATTCCAGCTATATGACGGGAGTCTGTAAATAATCAGACAATCTTACCCCAGATCTTAATGGGTCCAGTAGTTATTTCATCATATCAGAAGTCTAAACCTTGCAAGTCTAAGAAAGATGAAAGTTTAGTTATCAGAACATGTCTTATAATTTTTATGCCAATATTTTTATGCCAAGTTTCCTGCAAGTGGGCCAAAAAGAGCCCCTAACCTGCCTCGTCTTTCTGGGGAATTGACTCAGTAAGACTTGTTCCCTGTATAGCCATGAAGATATTGTTTCCAAGAAGAAAATAACATTTTAAATTGCTGTTATGTTTCTGTGCTGTCACAGGCAGAGCAGCTGGTGCTGACGTTACGAGACTTGTTCCAAGCCGTGTATGACATGAAGAAACAGGAAGTGGAGGATGCCAAGAAGAAGCAGGAGGAAGACCATCAGCAGCAGCAGCAGCAGCTGCCGCCAGAAACACCAGTCGCTGAAGGGGAACAGAAACCAGCGGAGGCCGCACCAGATGCACAAGAAGCAGTGTACCAGGTGAGACGTGACACACAGCAGGAGAGGGTTAGAGCTGAGGAGTATCAATCGTGTCCCAGGCCTTGCAGATTTGGCACAGTTTCGGCCTGTGACCACCAACTTCAAGCTCAAACTAAATTTTTCCATACCATGTTAATGTCAATGCTAGAGGGTCCAGTACAGGACAAATAAACTTCTATATGATATATTGCAAGAGACGTTCTTTTTTACTTGAAATGAGAATAATTTCATTCTGTGCAAATATATTTAAATTTTGAACAAAATACATATCTGTAGAAGACACATGGTGCAGCTGTCCCTTGTTTGACTACAGGTTCCAAACAATGATGTGTCACCTGACAGCCCTGAGCATATCTATTCAGTAAGACATTTGTGGCTAGACACTAATGCTACATGCCTAGCAGTTCTCAGTTGCTTCTGCTACACAATAATCAAGTAGCATTTCACTGTAACTTACCTGTTGCCCCTGTGGTGAATTGGCATATATTCTTGGTGAGGGCCCCTGTTTCTGCTGCTTGTGCCCTCAGTATGGATGTTTAGTGGGTTTAGTTTCACATCACCTCATGCTGAGCTCATGTTTTGGTTAAAGAGCATGTGGTGACGGTTTGCTTAGCTCTGTGACGTGAGTGTTGTTATTTTGTTCATCACCTGTGCATGTTTGGAAGTGCTTAACATAATACTGTACAGTCACAAGTTTAGTTCAGTGAAATGAATAAATTATGATTTAATCAAAATGTTTTTTTTTCAAATTTTAGACTAAATTAATCTCACAATGATAAGACCTGCTGCTCCGAGTCAATACCTCTCTTCATGGAGATCCTACAATCCCCCATATCAGGTCAACCCTGAATATACTTTGACTGCCCAATCTAAATGATGCATGGTTCTTCAACCAATCAAATGTGTCTCCAAAAAGGGTTTCTTTACCACTTTGATTCGGAAATACTGATCTTAACAAAAGATTACCACACAAATATTCTCTTCATAGCAACCTTCAGAAACTACAAGGTGTATTATCTCACTTTTCATTAAAATACTAGCTTCTGATTGGCAAGGAGTTAGCACTTACTTTCTATGAAGCTCGCTCATGTAGCCCAGTGTGGAGTCAGTCGGTACACATCATAGGTAACTGGCATATCTTGAATAAGTATCGTTGAAATGAACCGATGTTTATCCGAATGTATTGGGTAAAGGAAGTAACTCAGCTTGTTTGCGTCAACTGCTACGACTTTTGCTAACTCTGTGAAACTTCAGACATATATTCAAGACCTGTATGTATGAATGTGGATGAGATATATTAGTTGTCCACTGATCCCTCGGGGCATATAGTGTGATCTGTGAGGGATCGGGGCATATAGTGTGATCTGTGAGGGATTGTGCATATAGTGTGATCTGTGAGGGATTGTGCATATAGTGTGATCTGTGAGGGATTGTGCATATAGTGTGATCTGTGAGGGATGGGGCATATAGTGTGATCTGTGAGGGATGGGGCATATAGTGTGATCTGTGAGGGATCGGGGCATATAGTGTGATCTGTGAGGGATGGGGCATATAGTGTGATCTGTGAGGGATTGTGCATATAGTGTGATCTGTGAGGGATTGTGCATATAGTGTGATCTGTGAGGGATTGTGCATATAGTGTGATCTGTGAGGGATTGTGCATATAGTGTGATCTGTGAGGGATTGTGCATATAGTGTGATCTGTGAGGGATTGTGCATATAGTGTGATCTGTGAGGGATTGTGCATATAGTGTGATCTGTGAGGGATGGGGCATATAGTGTGATCTGTGAGGGATGGGGCATATAGTGTGATCTGTGAGGGATGGGGCATATAGTGTGATCTGTGAGGGATGGGGCATATAGTGTGATCTGTGAGGGATCGGGGCATATAGTGTGATCTGTGAGGGATCGGGGCATATAGTGTGATCTGTGAGGGATTGTGCATATAGTGTGATCTGTGAGGGATGGGGCATATAGTGTGATCTGTGAGGGATGGGGCATATAGTGTGATCTGTGAGGGATGGGGCATATAGTGTGATCTGTGAGGGATCGGGGCATATAGTGTGATCTGTGAGGGATGGGGCATATAGTGTGATCTGTGAGGGATCGGGGCATATAGTGTGATCTGTGAGGGATGGGGCATATAGTGTGATCTGTGAGGGATTGGGCATATAGTGTGATCTGTGAGGGATGGGGCATATAGTGTGATCTGTGAGGGATGGGGCATATAGTGTGATCTGTGAGGGATTGGGCATATAGTGTGATCTGTGAGTGATCGGGGCATATAGTGTGATCTGTGAGGGATGGGGCATATAGTGTGATCTGTGAGGGATCGGGGCATATAGTGTGATCTGTGAGGGATTGGGCATATAGTGTGATCTGTGAGGGATGGGGCATATAGTGTGATCTGTGAGGGATGGGGCATATAGTGTGATCTGTGAGGGATTGTGCATATAGTGTGATCTGTGAGGGATGGGGCATATAGTGTGATCTGTGAGGGATGGGGCATATAGTGTGATCTGTGAGGGATCGGGGCATATAGTGTGATCTGTGAGGGATCGGGGCATATAGTGTGATCTGTGAGGGATCGGGGCATATAGTGTGATCGTGAGGGATCGGGGCATATAGTGTGATCTGTGAGGGATTGGGCATATAGTGTGATCTGTGAGGGATCGGGGCATATAGTGTGATCTGTGAGGGATCGGGGCATATAGTGTGATCTGTGAGGGATCGGGGCATATAGTGTGATCGTGAGGGATCGGGGCATATAGTGTGATCTGTGAGGGATGGGGCATATAGTGTGATCTGTGAGGGATCGGGGCATATAGTGTGATCGTGAGGGATCGGGGCATATAGTGTGATCTGTGAGGGATGGGGCATATAGTGTGATCTGTGAGGGATGGGGCATATAGTGTGATCTGTGAGGGATCGGGGCATATAGTGTGATCTGTGAGGGATTGGGCATATAGTGTGATCTGTGAGGGATGGGGCATATAGTGTGATCTGTGAGGGATCGGGGCATATAGTGTGATCTGTGTTGGATGGGGCATATAGTGTGATCTGTGAGGGATCGGGGCATATAGTGTGATCTGTGAGTGATCGGGGCATATAGTGTGATCTGTGAGGGATCGGGGCATATAGTGTTCTGTGAGGGATGGGGCATATAGTGTGATCTGTGAGGGATCGGGGCATATAGTGTGATCTGTGAGGGATTGTGCATATAGTGTCATCTGTGAGGGATGGGGCATATAGTGTGATCTGTGAGGGATTGTGCATATAGTGTGATCTGTGAGGGATGGGGCATATAGTGTGATCTGTGAGTGATCGGGGCATATAGTGTGATCTGTGAGGGATGGGGCATATAGTGTGATCTGTGAGGGATCAGGGCATATAGTGTGATCTGTGAGGGATCGGGGCATATAGTGTGATCTGTGAGGGATGGGGCATATAGTGTGATCTGTGAGGGATGGGGCATATAGTGTGATCTGTGAGGGATGGGGCATATAGTGTGATCTGAGGGATTGTGCATATAGTGTGATCTGTGAGGGATGGGGCATATAGTGTGATCTGTGAGGGATGGGGCATATAGTGTGATCTGTGAGGGATCGGGGCATATAGTGTGATCTGTGAGGGATGGGGCATATAGTGTGATCTGTGAGGGATTGGGCATATAGTGTGATCTGTGAGGGATTGGGCATATAGTGTGATCTGTGAGGGATCGGGGCATATAGTGTGATCTGTGAGGGATTGGGCATATAGTGTGATCTGTGAGGGATGGGGCATATAGTGTGATCTGTGAGGGATGGGGCATATAGTGTGATCTGTGAGGGATTGGGCATATAGTGTGATCTGTGAGGGATGGGGCATATAGTGTGATCTGTGAGGGATTGGGCATATAGTGTGATCTGTGAGGGATGGGGCATATAGTGTGATCTGTGAGGGATCGGGGCATATAGTGTGATCTGTGAGGGATTGGGCATATAGTGTCATCTGTGAGGGATGGGGCATATAGTGTGATCTGTGAGGGATGGGGCATATAGTGTGATCTGTGAGGGATTGGGCATATAGTGTGATCTGTGAGGGATGGGGCATATAGTGTGATCTGTGAGGGATCGGGGCATATAGTGTGATCTGTGAGGGATCGGGGCATATAGTGTGATCTGTGAGGGATTGGGCATATAGTGTGATCTGTGAGGGATGGGGCATATAGTGTGATCTGTGAGGGATTGGGCATATAGTGTGATCTGTGAGGGATCGGGGCATATAGTGTGATCTGTGAGGGATTGTGCATATAGTGTGATCTGTGAGGGATGGGGCATATAGTGTGATCTGTGAGGGATCGGGGCATATAGTGTGATCTGTGAGTGATCGGGGCATATAGTGTGATCTGTGAGGGATGGGGCATATAGTGTGATCTGTGAGTGATCGGGGCATATAGTGTGATCTGTGAGGGATGGGGCATATAGTGTGATCTGTGAGGGATCGGGGCATATAGTGTGATCTGTGAGTGATCGGGGCATATAGTGTGATCTGTGAGGGATGGGGCATATAGTGTGATCTGTGAGTGATCGGGGCATATAGTGTGATCTGTGAGGGATGGGGCATATAGTGTGATCTGTGAGTGATCGGGGCATATAGTGTGATCTGTGAGGGATGGGGCATATAGTGTGATCTGTGAGGGATTGGGCATATAGTGTGATCTGTGAGGGATCGGGGCATATAGTGTGATCTGTGAGGGATGGGGCATATAGTGTGATCTGTGAGGGATCGGGGCATATAGTGTGATCTGTGAGGGATGGGGCATATAGTGTGATCTGTGAGGGATCGGGGCATATAGTGTGATCTGTGAGGGATGGGGCATATAGTGTGATCTGTGAGGGATGGGGCATATAGTGTGATCTGTGAGTGATCGGGGCATATAGTGTGATCTGTGAGGGATGGGGCATATAGTGTGATCTGTGAGGGATTGGGCATATAGTGTGATCTGTGAGGGATCGGGGCATATAGTGTGATCTGTGAGGGATGGGGCATATAGTGTGATCTGTGAGGGATCGGGGCATATAGTGTGATCTGTGAGGGATGGGGCATATAGTGTGATCTGTGAGGGATCGGGGCATATAGTGTGATCTGTGAGGGATGGGGCATATAGTGTGATCTGTGAGGGATTGGGCATATAGTGTGATCTGTGAGGGATCGGGGCATATAGTGTGATCTGTGAGGGATGGGGCATATAGTGTGATCTGTGAGGGATCGGGGCATATAGTGTGATCTGTGAGGGATGGGGCATATAGTGTGATCTGTGAGGGATCGGGGCATATAGTGTGATCTGTGAGGGATGGGGCATATAGTGTGATCTGTGAGGGATCGGGGCATATAGTGTGATCTGTGAGGGATGGGGCATATAGTGTGATCTGTGAGGGATGGGGCATATAGTGTGATCTGTGAGTGATCGGGGCATATAGTGTGATCTGTGAGGGATGGGGCATATAGTGTGATCTGTGAGGGATTGGGCATATAGTGTGATCTGTGAGGGATCGGGGCATATAGTGTGATCTGTGAGGGATGGGGCATATAGTGTGATCTGTGAGGGATCGGGGCATATAGTGTGATCTGTGAGGGATGGGGCATATAGTGTGATCTGTGAGGGATCGGGGCATATAGTGTGATCTGTGAGGGATGGGGCATATAGTGTGATCTGTGAGACTGTGACCTCGCGTCTGATGGCTCTGGGTACACAGGCTCACACAGTGGGTACATCACTCCATATACCCCTCGACATTGGTTGACCACTTATATTTATACATTGCATATCCCTCATTATTAAGAGACATTAGAGAAGCAATGATCCCAGAGTCAGTAGGACATGCTTACCTACAGTGATTGTGTTGTTGTTGTTGTTGTTGTTGTGGTTACATATAATAATCTTTGTTTCTTGCTGCATGCTCTTTGATCTTCTGATCGATCTGTATTTCTTGTTTACCAAGGTCTAGTGTAGGTATCTACTGTAATTCTATATACAGTAAACACAAGAAATTACCATAATAAGAATAATTGTTTTGTATCAGATCGCTGTATTTGATTTGAAATTGAAAGACAGGAAGAATTTATATTATAAGAAAAGTAAAACATGATATATCTGCTTGTGTGCAGATGAATTCCATTGATACACAATAATTGATGAGGTCTTTGACATTCAGATTTGAAGATGAGCATGACACTGGACCTTGTAGTTTCCTTGTGTCTATCCGTTGTGAACATGTGTTTCTGTATTCCTCTACACATGCATGTGTTTGTGTCTTGGGGGCATTGTGACATTTAAACATGACAAGATCAACCCTTTGCTTCAAATTCATGCATTTTGGAGAAAAACTGCAGAATGTATCAGAATACAAACAATCCGATCAGTTATGATTTGTGTTTTATGTTTCCATGACAGCCATTATACTGCCTTGGATCCAATACTAAAAGAAATTGAATCCATTTCTGAAAACTAAATTCGTGTCATGTTACTGTTACCTCATTCTGTTGCCATGGTTACCAAACACTATGTCCATGGTTACAGTGCCCTATATATGGTTAACCTGCATCAGGAAGTGGTTTGTTTCTGTAGGTGCCCCAGAACAACGCCCCTGTGGCCGGAGAGGAGAAGAAGAGTGGTTCTAATCTGCTTGACCTGGAGGATCAGCTGGAAAACATAGAACTAGTGGGTGTGCTTAGGGTGCTTGCTTACCTAGGACCTAGTGCTGCTCAGCACTTAATAAGTGCTTTCTAAGCTCATGCTAACAAGAAATTACTTCCAATTGGAAGACATCTCGATTAAATTGGGGACGTATTGGGAGCTAAGTATTTGCTCTGTCTTAAGTTTGGATTTTGGATTAAAGAAACGTTATATTGAATTTCAGAAATGAATTAAGGTAAAGGATTTGAACTGATGTGGCTGCAGTGTGAGAATTACACAGAGTATTGAAGTTTGAAACAAGGCACGAAAATTATGTTCCACTTACGCTTAACAGTTTTTGTTGAATTTACTTCAAGAAAACAAGATAGTTTCTTAATTAAAATTCTAAATTCTAAAACAAACAATATCCTCTGGCTTTGTTTGCATTTTGAACATTTTTTAGAAAATATACTCAAGACAAGGAAACTATGGAGAGCACTTAGCATGCCCAGTGCGGAGTTGTTGATAACGCATCTTGACCTCCAGATGTGATGTTCATGACAGGCTGTCATTCTCCCTAGTGGTGTGGATTGCATGTTGACTGGGGTTGTATAGGCTCCATCACATCATCATCGCATCATCATCACATCATTTCATCACTTGTATAAACAGTTGTTTCAAGAATTTCTGGAATTGAATATTTAACCTTTGGCTTCAATTGTATTACTATGGCTGCTCTCGGTTATATATCATCCTTGTCTGTTCTGACTCATGGTCTTTAACCTTACACCAGAATGCAAAATGGATAAGATCTCTTGCTGTCACCTCCCTCTGAATAATCTGTAAAATCCTGCATTCTTCATATGACAGAGGCTTAGTAAGGACATATTTTCTAACATTGGCTTGTTTCAGAGATGACATCAACTTCTTTCTCATTGTAGGGAATTCAGCAGATGAGTTCTTTTGACATGCTTGACACCAACACCCCAGACGCCTCCAAGTCGACAACTGACCCCTGGGGTACTAGTACCTCCCAGGCAGACATCAAGCGAAATGCTTCTGGGTCTAATCTGGATGATCTTGCAGGGCTGCAGAGTGGGTTTGGCGCTCAAAATGCTTTCCCACCGACAAGCCAAGGGTTTGGGGCCAACACAGCCAATCCCTTTTCCGCTCCTACCAGTCAACCATTTGGTGGTCAGCCTTTTGGTCAAGCAACATCTCAGCCGTTTGGTCAGCCAGCAGCGACACAGCCATTTGGTCAGCCAGCAACGTCACAGCCGTTTGGTCAGCCAGCCACGTCACAGCCATTTGGTCAGCCAGCAACTTCACAGCCATTTGGTCAGCCAGCAACTTCACAGCCATTTGGTCAGCCAGCAACTTCACAGCCATTTGGTCAGCCAGCAACTTCACAGCCATTTGGTCAGCCAGCAACTTCACAGCCATTTGGGCCTGGACCTGGAGCCCTGCCCCCTGGTGCTGCCTTCGGCATGCCAGGAACACCCATGCCTGGAGCACAGGTGAATTTCTTGTCTCACTTTTATGCTTGAAGAATTTCATTACTAACTAGGGGTGGTCCAATTGTTTTGTTTGCTGTGCGTTGTTTGGGTGTGTCAGAATCCCATGATCTTTAGTTTGAATCCCAGATCTGCCTTGATTATTTTTATCCCCCCGGCACATATTGCAGGGGGATAGTCATCATCTGGTCTGTCTGTCTGTCTGTCCCTTCGTATTTCGTTTCTGGAGCATAGCTTGTACATGTATTAACCCAGGCTGAAGTGGTGCCTTCTGCTGTAGACCGGCCAAGAAGCATCGAGTCCCCAGGCACTGTAGGCCGATTAAGCAGCCAAGCCATAGTCACGTCAAAATGGTATATAATTTTATAAACCTACCTCTCATATCACTCATTTATTAAATCTATCACATTTCACAATGTCTGAAATGTGTATTCCATTTATCATTTTATTTAGATTAAAATATTATTCACTTTTTCCCTCTATGTCATTGAAAATAAAATTCTCGGACACACACTTCAACAACGGGTCCACATCGAACATGTCAAACAGCAAAATAAAGACGTTTCAAACAAATCTTTAAATATAGTATACAAAGTAATAAATAAAATCAACAAAAATATGTCAAACTTACATCTTAGTTATTATTTCCATCTTTTCTTGCAATTGCGTGTAATGTAAATCAAATGACATCTTGGCTTTCGTCACCTCGAATTCTCGGCTTGGACATGATGTTTAATGCCCTTAATGCATGAATAATCTTTGTCATAGCTGGTAACCTAGCACGATACATCCACGAAGCTCCATATTTTTAATATAAATCGCGATTTCCTGCTTAAAACGTTCAGAATAGCACGATTTAACAAAAATCTCTCGTCAAAATCTGAAAGTCATTATACACGAGCACGGTACCATAGCTGTAATTTGATTGGCTGCCATAGGTCTCAAAAACAGGGGTATTTCTTCATGTTGCTGAGTGGACAGCTACTTTTATCGGGAAATGGGTGATGACAATTACTATTTATAGTTCTTTTGAAATGCATTTCCAATTACATAAACAATGAAAATAAAAAAGAAATAGGTAAGTGGATTTAATGAAATCATATATATGCTGAAAATCGTCCAAGTTCGCTTCCTTGGTCCTTTATCTGGACCTTGTCAATGTGCTTAACAAATTATTAACAACAAACTTAATTAAGTTGTAAATGCATTATTTAAAAAATGTGATAAACATAACTTTCATATTCATAAACAATAGGATCAGACCTTTCAAATGGGGTATAACATATAGTAGTAAAGACGTTTTACAAGCAGATATTTTCTTTGATAAATGTTGGCTATATGTTTCACACAAGAGTCTTTGGTGTCACAGCAGTAAACGCTTCTGGTTGACTGGTGTTGAAAGAGTGAAGCTGGCACACTGAGATATGACTGGAATACTATCCAAAGCAGGGATCAACCCAATTCACCTCACTCACTATCTAACTTACTGTTTTATTTAGGTTGATGTTGGTACTGATTTAAAGAGATAAAATGGACAGAATTTCTTATGTTACTAAAACATTTTCTCTTGCAAAGTGTGATTGCTGATTATTAGTAGGAAAAGAGTGGCTAAGCTGGTAAAAGTGATGGCTTATCACATCCAAGGCCTGGTATCAGTTCCCTACATGGGAACAATGTATGTGTGAAACACATTCTAGGCGGCCCTCACCACCATAAGGCTGGAGTAATCAGCCTTGTTCCTAACTCTGTACGATCGATAGTAAAATCAGCTTCTCATTTCAGGCGCAGGTGCGTCCAGGGTTCGGCCAGCCAGCTGCAGGAGGCTTCGGACAACCTGCCCCTGCAGGATTTGGTCAGCAGGCTTTTGGTGGAGCCTTACGACAGCCCACAGCAGGAGGCTTTGGTCAACCAGCTGCCTTCCCTGGAGGCTTTGGAGCATTTGGAGCTGCTCAGCCTGCCATGGGTCAGCCTCAACAAAACCTTTTCCCTGACACAGAGCCAGACCCTAATATCTTGACACCAACTGTTTTAAATGAACCTGAAGTTGAAGAAATAACAACTGAACCTAAAAAGAAGGATGCTTTTGCTGATCTTGTCAACATCGGTGGAAGTGATCCCAAGAAGTCCCCCAAAGCCATATTTGAGGCTATGAGTGCTCCTCCCAAGAAGTCTCTGAATGAGCTGAAGGTTGATGTCGTCCCACCCCGGACCCCATCCCCGGGGATTCCTTCCCCTGGAGTCATGTCCCCTGGGGTCATTTCCCCTGGTATCCAGCAGCAGGCAAGTGATCCGTTTGGTCCTTTAGGCAAGGAAGCAGATCGGTTACGTGGGTTAGCCGATTCTTCCGAGGATCCCTTTGACACTTCACATGTGCACATTCCTCAACCCACATCGCAACCCTCCTCCTCCACTCCCCCAGACGTCGACCCCTTCATGCCAGCGATGACCCTTAGCAGCAGACTCTCATGTGATAATATGCCCAAGAAGCAAACACAAGCAGATGTTTCAAAACACGAACACTTGCCTAAAAAGAGTCCAAAGAGGTTAACAAATGGGAACATTCCTGTGTTCTCTGATGACTTTAACCTCCCATCACCTGAAGAACCACCACCACCTCTGCCAGCTGAAGTGAAGCTTTCTTTACCTGGTGGGGCACCGCCTCCACCACCCCCAAGACCTAAAGTTGACACAAACTCTGCTTCTGTTCGTCCAAGGCCAGTGCCGAAGCCTCGTAAAAATACATCCACAAGCTCTTCCCCATCACCTTCATCAGCTACAGACCCCTTTTCACCCAGCTCCAACACAGACCCGTTCAGTGACTCCTTCCCCTCTGCACCAAGTACTCTACCCACCCACAAATCTACAGACCCATTTTTGTCTAGTCAGCCAAGTTTTGACAGCAAGCCATTTGGCAATTGGGACCCGTTTAGTGATTTCAGTAGTGATATTTTTAAGAACAATTGCTTCACAGTATTTGATTCCAGTACTGAAAAGAATGGACCTGCGTCAGTATCAGAACAGGTGAGTAACAGGCATGGCATCCTCCAGGTGTGGACATGTGACTCTCTCACAGGATGTGGTGTGGATTGCTGTCTGTCTCGCCATGTGTAACTGGTTCAGCAGAGATGCTTCATCCACAGAGACACATCAGCATCTTGAAGGAGACAATATTGTACACACAGTAACAATGATCATATTTTACAATCATGTTTCATAAGATGCAGACAGTGGATAGTGCCATTCTCAGTAATACTAACAGGAATATAAACTCCTACCTTATTGTGGTGAACCTCACTAATATCTTCATAGCTTCAAAGTCAACCTCACAATGTATCCTGGTATAACTCAGCAAGATCAGATATGTCATTGAGATCCGACAATGTTTCTTGGTCTTCCTCACAACTAACTTTTGGTCCCGTCCCTAAGATGGGAGATAATTCCTGGTCCATCTCACCATGAAGGGAAATAACTCCTGCTCCACCCTTTTCCAATAGGGCGATGATAGGAAATAGTTTCCCAATTCAAGCAAATATAGTTTCCGGTTCAAGTACCATCAGGTGGAGTGCAGTAGCCTAGTGGTTAAAGAGTTTGCTTGTCATGCCAAAGGTTCTGGTTGGTTTCCAACACGGGTACAATTTGTGAACCTCATTTCTGGTGTCCCCTGCCTTTATATTGCTGGAAAAGTTTTGAAAATGGCATAAAACAATACACACTGACTAAAGTATCATTAAAGTTTCTTTACCAGTCCTAATAATATGTTTAATGTGAACAAATAGAGAGTGTGAAGCTCCCCGTCAAGATGTCATGTTTCTCTGTGGAAGTCTTAATGCCTGCTTCCTGTGCATGGGTCCTACTTCAGATTCTCTCCTCAGTACTTTGATTTCTCTGTCACAACTAACTGGATATTTCTGTTGTAGATAACATTGACATTTGTTGCTTCTGTATGGAAAGAAACACTTTTTCAGGCTTTTGTGTACCTATTAACATTCCTTTCTTTCAAATGTATTCTGTTGAGTGGTATGGTAGTGTTGCTTTGTATTGTTTTATGTGTGTGTGTGTGTGTGTGTGTGCGTGTGCGTGTGCGTGTGTGCGTGCGCGTGTGCGCGTATTAGTGTGAATGCATGCATGTGTGAGTGAGTGTGTGTGTGTGTGCACACGCACACGCATGATGTGTTTGCATGTGTGAGTGAGTGTGCGTGCATGAGTGTTAGTGTGAATGCATGCATGCATGTGTGAGTGAGTGTGTGACTGTGTGAGTGTGAGTGTGAACGAAATGATCAGAATTTATATTTTCATAACTCAACTAATCTGTTGAAAACTTGCGGAGCTGGCATTCAGATTTTGTCTGATATTAAAGTTTTGAAGTGTGGACCTTCGTACACCTTTAATAAGTATATATGGAATATTAGGAATGACTAGTGAATTGTAACTGGTTACTTAGCTGTAATACATTTTGAGAACATGGGAAACAATAGTCTGTAAAACTTATTAAGGGCAGAGTGCTTCCTGTCTTCTGTGTAATGTGTTTGGTGAGTGGTGATTGGTGACAATCACACATTAATCACTACACAATTCCATGGATATAATGAAGTTTAGGAGACTTTTTGTCCAGAGTACGTACCTGTGAAAATGATAAACATTTGATACATGGGGGTGGAAATTGTGAACATTTCATGGTTCAAATAGGAACCAATTTCATGGATGTTAACTTCTTGAAACTAGATAGATAGATAGATAGATAGAAGAAGAAGTTAAGGCAATGATTATCCGTACACCATAGTGACTGTGAGATGTAACTATAGTAACAGTATCATCATTAGGAAGTTCCCTTGAAGTTACGATTCAGTTGAAAGGTGGGAATGTTTTTGTAATTCAGGGTGAATCATCTTCAGGTGACCCTTTTGCTATGAATGGAGAGGTGAGATGTGTTGATGTCTGTGTTTGTTTATTGGTTGTTTGTTGACTGACTTCAAGGTGACATGAGTTATTTGTGTGTCTGTGTTTGTCGGCGGATTCCAATGGTCTAAAAAATGTCCACCTTGCAATATGGCCACTCCTACCGCAAAACAGCCATTTCGAACCATTGAAATCTGCCTACACATACATATGGCCATATGTATGAGAATCATCTTTTCTTGACAAAAGGCTGTCCATATTTTCTTCTGTGTTTCCCATGTCCTGCCCGCCCGCCCCAAATTTTTATTCCAATGTGAAATTATAAAAATAGTTTTCTTATCTCAATTTTCCCCCACACTGTGGAAATTTGTGCCCCAATGTGATGAAAAAAGTATTCTTACCATTGCACACTCATAAAAAAACAGCTTTCTTCAGCTATATTGATTACGAATTTGTTTCTGAAGAAAACCGATTTGTCTACATCATATATTAATTTAGATACTATTACAAAGTGTTCTAAATTTTAAGATTTCATAAAATAAGTGACACAATTAGTGAAAAACAGTTGTTGTTTTTTAAAATTTATATTTATTTTTTTGTCACCTGCCTGCTCTCCTGCTGGCTGAGGTTGGGGATAAGAAACACATAAAAATATGGATGGCCTAACAAACTGTGACACACCAAGGCTGAGGAAGCATATGTTTCTCAGCAATGTTCCCATGGCAACAACATATTGCCTCTTTATGGGTAATTGGTATAATTCTACCATTACTAAAAATATATTGCATAAATATTTTAGATTTCAGTTAGTATAAATATTGAACATCAACTTTCATTTAAAAAATAACCGTCTCATCCTCTAGGGAAGAATACAATACATTTTAAGAACATTCAAAGCCTAAATAAGAACTTTCAACGAAAGATTGATAACCGAGGACTCCCCGATTTTCTTGTGTCCCTTCTTTTTAGGCTAGGAAACCAAAGGCCCTTGGTGCATCACAGTATCAGGACAAAGCTGACATAGGTTGCCACTGTTAGCAACATGTCCTGTCTTAAGCCTTGAAGTTTTTGCGATTTCTTTCAGCACATCATTCTGCAGTGATGCAAAATATGTTTCTGTGTTTATCTTTTCAAATGTGTGTAAACAGTAGTATAGCTACATGTAACGTGTGAAGTCCTCATAGTTCAATGTTGATTTTGGTTATATTGCACCCTGCACTACTCATTGAAATCCTTGCTGCACTAGTCACATACCAAGTTTCATCTCTACCATTTACGAGTGGATGGAGCACATCTTTGATGGGCATTTAGTTACAAGAACATGAAGACGTGAAATAATTTGTGGATAACAAGTTCTATATTGTTTGTGACGATGTTTCATGGCTACTTCTGTCCCCTTCATCATTCACCTGAAGTACCCCTGAAACATTGTAACAAAAAATAAAGACATTGCTATCCATAAAATATTTCATGTCTTTATTTGGTGGATATTTTGTTCAAAAATAAATACTGTCTCAACTTCATGTTAAACATTAGTAGGCATTAGAAAAAGATCTTCCAGGTATATATGGTGAAATCTGAAAATACATGATTGTCTTATTTGGTGGGCCTGTGACAATATGTACTGTTAAGATGTTGCCTCAATAGACCTGAATTTCAGTTTATGGATCCACGGATCTGTATACCATATTCACTTCCAAACTATGGTTGTTTCAGCACATTTCTAGAGGATTTTGGCTCCATATTCACTACAATATGTCTAACAACACACAACCATGTGCATTAACATACATTCAATTTGATGAGCATAGAGTTCTTAGATACAGAGTTTGGAAGGATGTAACAGTTCTTCGACACAAACCTTAACATTTTTCTCTGTATATTACAGCACAAATAAATCTGTGGTATTGTGTGGTAAGTTCTGCATGTGTTTGACATCATGTATTATTTTTACAGTTACATAGCATGCAACGATTTCCTCCGGTAATGGTCTTTACTTTGCTTTTTTCCTGTATCAAATGGTCCCAGATCTGGTCTTTCCACATGACGTACTGTATGACTGTATGTCGTATGGTAGAAAAGTGTGCAAAGACCATGTCTAGTTCCCAAGGTATCTTGGCTCAAAGCATTCGGCACTTTTAAGTAAATGAAATCAAAATGATTGACGTGTGTCGTGTGTGTGAATTGTTTCCGTCTGTGCAAGAACCTAGCTGAATGTGTTGTCAGACACACACTTCACCAGATGTGTCACAAAGAAGAAGGGAAGTAACTCTTTGTGGCTTACAAATTATCTGAAAAAAGACCTGCCCATTTATAACTTTTGAATTAATATGTAATACTATACAAATTATTTTACGATAAACTTTATCATATGTGATTCAATGCTTTGAGCCCGTATATGAAATAGCTGTATGCCTAGCCTGTTGCTAGCTTTATCAATGCCTGACTTGCTTAGTAGCCTAGCTCAGTATTGTTATCAAACTTATCTGTAGTCTCCTGTGTCTGCCTTTCTGTGCATTAAGTTAAAGTTAACACAAACACATTCGGAGTATAGTCAAACAACCTTTTTCATATTGCTGTTTGTAGGTAAAATACATGTACCATCATAATGTTTGGCTCCCTGTACGGGTTCCTGAGTGTGTCAGGCGCCGGGATATGGAATGGATCGTTGCTCATGTTTTCAGTCACTGGTTTGCCTGGTCCGGACTTGGTTATTTACAGGCGACTGTACGCAAGCTGCAATGTGGCTTACTGCAGCATTAAGGGACGTCGGGTAGCCTAGTGGTTGAAGCGTTCGCTCGACACGCCGAAGACCCGGGTTCGGTTCCCGACATGGAATCAATGTGTGAAGCCTATTTCTGGTGTCCCCCGCCGTGATATTGCTGGAATATTGCTAAAAACCATACTGACTCACGCACTCACTACTGCAGCAGTAAGCAACGTTCACTCACCCTTAGTGTTTTGGCCTGTTGACACAGGCCTGTGAGGCTTTGACAAGCAGCCTTCTTGCTCGTAGTATGGTGCGAGTACAATGTGTAGCTATCTAACACACAGCTTGAAGCCCAGCATAGCTTGTAGATGGTACTAATACACATCTTGCTAACACAGCAGGTCACAGCAGGCAGCAGCAATGCTAGCTTCTTTCGTTTACATCATTTTCAGCGTTTTTTTCAGAAATGTTTAAATTGAAGGGCAGATAAATCAATGTAGTACTGTGTGTACTTCAGTAGTGTTTGAGATTATGATATGCAACTTGCATTTGAAGTGAGCGTGTGTCTTAGCATTTGACGTGAGTGTATGTCTTAGCATTTATTGCTAGCGTATGTCTAAGCATTTGACGTGAGTGTATGTCTTAGCATTTATTGTCAGAGTATGTCTTTGCATTTATTGTCAGCGTATGTCTTCGCATTTGAAGTGAGCGTATGTATTAGCATTGTAAGTGAGCGTATGTCTTAGCATTGTAAGTGAGCGTATGTCTTAGCATTTCAAGTGAGCGTATGTCTTAGCATTTCAAGTGAGCGTATGTCTTGGCATTTGAAGTGAGTGTGTCTTAGCATTGTAAGTGAGCGTATGTCTTGGCGTTTGAAGTGAGCGTATGTCTTAGCATTGTAAGTGAGCGTATGTCTTAGCATTTCAAGTGAGTGTATGTTTTAGCATTGTGAGTGAGTGTATGTCTTAGCATTGTAAGTGAGCGTATGTCTTAGCATTTGAAGTGAGCGTATGTCTTGGCATGTGAAGTGAGTGTATGTCTTAGCATTGTAAGTGAGCGTATGTCTTAGCAATGTAAGTGAGCGTATGTCTTAGCATTTGAAGTGAGTGTATGAAAATGTATAAGCATTTGGAGTGAACGGAAACCTTAACATTTGAAGTGAGCGCATATCTCAGCATTTGAGGTGAGTGTATATCTGAGCTCCAGGGGTTTGACTCTAGGGTAGAGTGAAGGAGCTGAGCTCCAGGGGTTTGACTCTAGGGTAGGGTGAAGGAGCTGAGCTCCAGGGGTTTGACTCTAGGGTAGAGTGAAGGAGCTGAGCTCCAGGGGTTTGACTCTAGGGTAGGGGGAAGGAGCTGAGCTCCAGGGATTTGACTCTAGGGTAGAGTGAAGGAGCTGAGCTCCAGGGATTTGATTCTAGGGTAGAGTGAAGGAGCTGAGCTCCTGGGGTTTGACTCTAGGGTAGGGGGAAGGAGCTGAGCTCCAGGGGTTTGATTCTAGGGTAGGGGGAATGAGCTGAGCTCCAGGGGTTTGACTCTAGGGTAGGGGGAAGGAGCTGAGCTCCAGGGGTTTGACTCTAGGGTAGGGGGAATGAGCTGAGCTCCTGGGGTTTGACTCTAGGGTAGGGGGAAGGAGCTGAGCTCAAGGGGTTTGACTCTAGGGTAGGGGGAAGGAGCTGAGCTCCAGGGGTTTGACTCTAGGGTAGGGGGAAGGAGCTGAGCTCCAGGGGTTTGACTCTAGGGTAGGGGGAAGGAGCTGAGCTCCAGGGGTTTGACTCTAGGGTAGGGGGAATGAGCTGAGCTCCAGGGGTTTGACTCTAGGGTAGGGTGAAGGAGCTGAGCTCCAGGGGTTTGACTCTAGGGTAGGGTGAAGGAGCTGAGCTCCAGGGGTTTGACTCTAGGGGAGGGTGAAGGAGCTGAGCTCCAGGGGTTTGACTCTAGGGGAGGGTGAAGGAGCTGAGCTCCAGGGGTTTGACTCTAGGGTAGGGGGAAGGAACTGAGCTCCAGGAGTTTGACTCTAGGGTAGGGGGAAGGAGCTGAATGTATGATCATGGCCTTTGAGTTGAATTTGCAGCCCTAGGTCTGAGTTGGAGTGTTTGGGCTGATGTAACTTGCCTTGAACAGCCTGCCTGCTGCATGACCTTAACACCACAGATCCTGGCTACTATGTGTTGGTTACTCACATGTAAATCATGGAAGTATTGTGTCATATTGATGAGTGTGCCACCTCGAACCATTAATGTGAGAAGCCCATACTTCGAAAGTTAAGAACTCTGTTTCATTAAGCAGGAGACAACACCACCAAGAATTTAGACTTTGAATACCATGATTTACTGAGAGCTAATTAGCTGTTCTGGTGAATACTAGAGTTTTCTTTTCTCTCTTTTCTCTCAAAATGTGATCAAATTTCCATGAAATCAGCAGCAAAAAATGATAAATGAGACTTTGAAATGAGTGTTGATACACAAGTACAGTTTCTAAATATAAATAGGCAGTGTTGTGTTTTCATTAGGCATTACGACATTATCATTACGTAGTTTCACAGTGTTTTAACAGCCTGGCCAAGAGTACACACAGACTGTCATAACTGCTTGATAAACATTTATACATAACGGCCAGATAATAATGTGTCGCTTTATTTATGTGAGGAGGGGGTACTCTTTCATTATTTTCATGGTCACATTAATTTCATGATTTACAACAAAGTATTTATGTTGTTACTAATGTTGCCCATGTTACCTATGTGCGGAGACGATGTACCGAGTTGAGAAGATGTGTCTCCACATCAACCACTCTACAGCTTGTCACCCAACGTTGTTATTGTACATTATTATTGTTTTGGCTGCGAGCATTTTTAGATACCATCTTTCTAGCTTTATCTACTCTACATCTGCACGGGCTGTCAGACAAATCCTATAGACTTAAGTCTATTACCGGTAGTTTTTCTTCATACCATTTTTAACTAATATTTTTATCAATGTTTGACTTTTAGCTTTTTATTTTTTTTACGTTTTTATTATTATCATGATTATGACTTTCATTTTTTGTCAACCTTCATTTAGATGCCTTTAGATTAGTACCAAATCTTAATGAGAGAGGCTTATATGTAGTTATGATATCCATACAGAATAATTATCATCATAAAATTCAGGATTGAATGAATCAAGTACACTCTGAATGGAACAGTGTTTCACGATGTAATTGTCGTTTTAGAAAATGAAAGATATTGGATCCCAGAGCAGATATTTTACATATTTTTGTTTGAAATTTCAGGATCCAATGTACGCTGCAGTCAACAAAAGTCCACCACCAGCTGACGATTCTCTGATTTAAAGAAGACTTCTACCATGGACTTGGAACAGAAAAAGGTTCATACAAAAATGGCAGTTGTTTGAGCAATGGAATCAACAAACTGACAAATACTCACAGGAACAGGCAATAGTATCAGTGCAGTTAAACCAAGGAAGATATAATAATAAAGTATTTATCACAAATATCTCATTGTGTGTAAAAAGACCAGTGTAAAACAAATTTCAAATTTTGATATAAATTTATTTACATCCAAACCACCAGGTTTATACAAAATGTAATATTATAATTACATGATTTACCAACATTTTATGTATGTTTCCGTAGAGAAAAGTGATTATACAGGACAACATGTTGATGATCATACAACCAAGCTGTAAAAAGGGAGATAATTGTAAGGGGAGATAAATATCTCAATGGGGAGGAACACAAGTTGAACTGTGGGTCATATTGCATCTTGTAAATTCATGATTGTGATTGTTACTAGTGTTATCATATGTACTTCACGAAAACAGAATATGTGTTGTACTTAAATGTGTCATACGGATGTAATAATTTTAGACCAGTGCCTATATGAATGTGAGGTCAGTGTATGAACCATTTTTATCATGTATTTCTCAACAGGCTAATGTTTGTCTCCGTTCTCCGCCCCGAGCCACTGTAAATTAGGCATGAAAGTCAAGTCTCATAAACAACCGATTAACAAATATTCATCATTTGTTTTAGCTTGAAGGCTTCAGATTTTGGGTGTTAAACCAAATACTCAATTTAGACCCTAATGGTGTCAGATATTCCTAGTTGTCTCAGTTTGTGATTGGCACCACTGATATGTTAAAACTGGAAAACTGATGGAGTCCCGAGCTCCAATGTACTTGAGGTCAAACCTTCCGAACCCATAAACACAGCATTTGTCTCTTTGAAAACCTCAAAAATGAGATTGAGGCCTGATTTAACTAATGGGTGATTCACGGCAATAACTTTCACCGCAACAGTTTTGATTTGTGTGAGAACCAATTCTAAGTTTTTCAACCCTTGCAAAATAATGTTATTCCTGGTCAAAATCATGCTCCAGGAGAAAACAGAATTGTGTTTATATGTTTGTTGAAGGGACATATGAATTTGTAAGCAAAAAAAAAAGCCTCATTAAGGGGGAATAGTACACGAGGACCACATCATTGGATATGTGTCAGAGAAGAAATAGATTTTACCTTAGACCTGACTTCTTGATCAGCTGGTATATATAGTTGTAGTTTTATATACTTCAGGTAGAAGAAAGATGTTGAAATATGCTGGTTGAAACAGTCTGAATGAGTTTACTTTGTTTAATACAGTGTGAATAACATTTATAATAAAGTTCTGTGATACAAGAGATTCTACTGAGGATTGTGTTTACATCATCTCTTAGGATATCTGTTGGATATTTTAGGATTGGTATCTGTTTCCCTTTTATTGTTCACATTACATGGATTTCACCCAATATACTTACATAATCACCAAATATTGCATGACCTTGCAAACAAAGATATGTCAGATGTCTTGTTGTCATTTCTATCAACAGATTTTCAATAATGTTTGCAAGGAATGATCCCACGACAACTTGCTTTGTTTCTTCAAAATTGAAGAATGCCTTGGTTTGTTTCTTTTCGGGTATAAATTCGGTAAATTTTGAAGAAAGAAAATCTTTGTAGGAATAGGTAATGCCTTCATGAACTATTAAGAGTGATTACTGTTGTCCCCATGGTACACCACATTCACTCTTTAGTAGGCTGTTTACACGTGGCTAGTTGTCTGCGAGGCCTTGTTAAGTTTCTGGCTTGTACTTTTGTATCATTCACATCAGTGTCTGTGACTGACATTAATATCTGTGTCTGTGACTGACATTAACATCAGTGTCTGTGTCTGACATTAACATCGGTGTCTGTGACTGACATTAACATCGGTGTCTGTGACTGACATTAACATCGGTGTCTGTGACTGACATTAACATCGGTGTCCGTGACTGACATTAACATCGGTGTCTGTGACTGACATTAACATCGGTGTCTGTGACTGACAATAACATCGGTGTCTGTGACTGACAATAACATCGGTGTCTGTGACTGACAATAACATTAGTGCCTGTGGAGGTTATTGCTTACATTAACACCACAGTTGGTGACTGTAATAAATGATGTTAACGTTACGTGTGACTGTCCTCACTACTGTTAACATAACATGTGACTGTCATCACTGATGTTAATGTTGCGTGTGACTGTCCTCACTACTGTTAACATTACATGTGACTCGTCACTGATGTTAACATTACATGTGACTGTCATCACTGATGTTAACATTACATGTGACTGTCATCACTGATGTTAACATTACATGTGACTGTCATCACTGATGTTAACATTACATGTGACTCGTCACTGATGTAAACATTACATGTGACTCGTCACTGATGTTAACATTACATGTGACTGTCATCACTGATGTTAACATTACATGTGACTCGTCACTGATGTTAACATTACATGTGACTCGTCACTGATGTTAACATTACATGTGACTGTCATCACTGATGTTAACATTACATGTGACTGTCATCACTGATGTTAACATTACATGTGACTCATCACTTATGTTAACATTACATGTGACTGTCATCACTGATGTTAACATTACATGTGACTGTCATCACTGATGTTAACATTACATGTGACTGTCATCACTGATGTTAACATTACATGTGACTCGTCACTTATGTTAACATTACATGTGACTGTCATCACTGATGTTAACATTACATGTGACTCATCATTTATGTTAACATTACATGTGACTGCCATCACTGATGTTAACATTACATGTGACTCGTCACTTATGTTAACATTACATGTGACTCGTCACTTATGTTAACATTACATGTGACTCGTCACTTATGTTAACATTACCAGTCAACTGTCTGTCATGGCTAACAAGGATGATGTTAATGCTGAAATATTATTAAAGATGTTTGTGTCACCATCACTGTTATCAGCTTCAATATGATCAAATGTGATATTTTTTTACTTAATCGTATATTCTCTTGTATATCTCTATGCAATAATCCATAGCTTAAACAAATCAAGTTGTGTGGTGTGTGTGTCACCAGTGTGTGCACTGTGTTCATGTCCTGGATTATTTATGCATGTGCCTTTAATGGCCCACAACTTCAGTGTCTACAAATAGCCATGATTTCCTGTATTTTATTATACATGCACATGATAGGTATGTATTAGGCTATACAGTTTAATTTGATATGATTGATTTATTGATAAATGCAAGTAGCACAGATTTGGTTCCCAATTAAGCATAATGTGGAGTCCTTGCACACTCCAGGGGCACATCATGCACCACCTTAGATGGTATGCCACGCTTTTTATCCACATGGTTAGTTTGGGAGTAGTTCTCCCTGTAAAATTGTCAATTGTCACATTTTTTTATCCTTCAAAATGCCATAATGATCCATTAGCAGTGCCGTAGCCAGCCGGGGGGATTTTTTTTATAGAAAACAGTTTTATTTGAATCATAAGAATACAAGTTGGGGGGACAAGTGATACTTGTACAAATATTTTCTCCCCCTGTCAAAAAAAGTTAACTACGGCCTTGATTAGTAAACCTATTTCTAAATTAAACCTGTCTAAGCATTACTGAAATATATTCATGTTTATTTCATGCAGAATATTCATGTTCATTATCAGAACGTTTCTGCACTTGCTGCTGTATATTTTTATGATTCTCTATTTGTCCGTTCTGTGAAACATTCCTCTTGCATGTTATGTCTAATTTCTAAAGCCTGACAAATAAGATGGACGATGGATCTTCATGAAAACTAAAACTCTCTTTCCATGTTTTAACCATCTTTCCATGGCATGATATTTTTTAAAAGTTCCTTTTGGTCGTAATATGGAAGATTCTTGTGTTAACTGGGTTTGCCCATCAGTAATATTTTCTGTGTTGCCCATAGGGCTGGGACGAGTCCAGATTTACTACCTGGGTACCCACACCCCTATTACCCGACCCTACCTGGGTACCCACACCTCTATTACCCGAACCTACCTGGGTACCCACACCTCTATTACCCGACCCTACCTGGGTACCCACACCTCTATTACCCGACCCTACCTGGGTACCCGCTGTAGGTCTCAGGAGATACCGATACAAAATGTCCCATTGGGAATAGTTTGACCGTAGCCCTATTTAGGTACACTATCAAATGATCTGGACATACACAGACTGAAGTTGATTGAAGTTGAAGTAAGAAAAAAATGCAAACATTAGTGACTTGTAGTATAACCATGGAGTTATAGTGATTTTTTATTTTTGTGGCAATATTCCAGCAATATAATGGTCATGCTTAAAACTTTAACATCTGAGTACCTGAAAGATTATAAAAAATAAACCTAGAGGTATAATCATTTTCGTTCTACAGATAGCCTTGCAACAAAAAAACCCACAGATTTCTTAATGGTCCGGGTTAGTGGAAATGTGTGATTCATTGCCCCAACAGGAGGATATATTCCAGCAGGTGAATAGATATATGAAAAAACACTTCTCGAATTATTGGGCAGGAAGGTCATTTAGGTCGAATGATGAACACACAAACAACTAGCGACTGTCTTCATCTGAATGGTCCATCGTTAATGAAGAGTTGAACTTGTCAGGTTTCAGTAGATCAGTCATACCTGCCGTTACCCTTCCCTTGAAGGACCTGTAATCTTTCTGTGGTTCACTCTATTGTTGCCATTTGTTGGTGTGTAAATTTCCCTTTGTTAAGTTTAATTATGTGAGAGAGAGAAATTATTCTTGTTGAATTTGACAATTTTATTGTAAAATATACAAATTATCGCTTTACAGCCAATCTGTTATGTGCCAATGAATTGTTGAAATGGAATGTGAACTTTTGATTTGCAATTTTTGCTCACATAGTGACAGACCTAGATTTAGGCTAACTTTGTGATTATGCATATTCCAGACATACCGTAAAATCAGACCACAAGATTCTGTGTCTTGAGAAGTCTGTTCTCACAATAGCATAATCCTACCTTGTCCCTATGTTTTAACACATTGTGAATAACCTTTGCACAATACCATGAATCTGTATGAGCACCTTTCATGTTTTAGTTAATGTGGAAAAAGACGATTTCATTTGAATATTGTTTCATACAAAGCATGTTATACGCTGCATTATTTCTTGAACTGCAATAGTAAAACATTCCTAGGTTACCATGGTAACCTAGGATTGTTTGTTTTAAGGGTACAAGCTGCAAACATTCATCACAGAACTGCCAGTTTACTCAGCCCTATTTTATATTTTCAGCTGATATCAGTCTTTTTACATTTAATTAAAGTTTGTAGAACAGTTGATTATTTACAACTGGTGTTGAGAATGGTTCTTTCAATTATTACCTGCTTTGTCATAATTGTATAATTTGCTCAGTATTAAGTGCAGTATTTTGACAAAACCTGTATAGACTTTTCATGAACTATATTATTTCCTCTTCTAGAATGTCTTCCATGGGTGTATCAAACAGTATTTGATGAATGAAATATGATGATCTATGCAGAAGTGATTTAGATGCATGTCTTCCTCATAACTTTGCAGCCGGAATTCAGAATAAAATATATACATGAAATAAAGTTTGTTGTGATGTTTCCGTGAACATTGTATGAGTGAGTGAATGAATCTTGTGTTTTCCAGGTGTATCTCAGTGGCCTGTAAATATTCTGAGACAGACGAACAAGAGGATGATAGTGTGAGGACCAGTCCATACCACCTGGTATGATGACATACAAGTAGCCAGAATAAAGTCCTCATTTTAGTTGACACTTAGGACAAGAAAGGGGGCATGGAGACTAGGGATGGGACGGGTAACTCGGGTACCCGGGTCAGGTGGATACGAGTATGACCCAGGTACCCACACGACTACCTGGACACATGGTTAGTCACGTGATATATTGTCTAATGACAAAATTTAGCTGGAACTCTATGGTTACACTACAAGTCATCTAATGTTCGCATTTCTTTCTGACTATGCACCCATTCCTTCTGATTTTTCATATGGTTAAATAAAGATATAACTTAATTCAGCTTCAGTGTATGCATGACTAGATTGTTTAATACATGCATTTAAATGTGTTTTGCCAGGGCTGTGCTAAAAAATTTCCCAATCAGACATTTTGAAACATCATTTGAACTCGTCCCAGCCCTAATGGAGACCTAGTCTCACCTCCTCAGAAACTGATATTAGGCCCACATGTCTGAAGGAAATGTCTGTAAAATTTCCCAAATTGGAATAAAAACTTTGCCAAGTCATGTTATTATCATGATGATTATGATCATTATGTGGAGATCGCTTGGATTCCACTGATTACAGATCTATAAACAAGAGGCTTTGATGTTTACATTCATATTAAAATATCCCCGAATTTAAGAAAATACAGACTAAAAAAAATCCCAATTTTGTACACCAGATGGTATGGAATCCTATCTGTTAACAAGCATATTGTCGAGGAAGTCATCTATATCCCCCGCCCATTTTAACATGTTATGGTCCCAAACCAGATAACTGACCCAACATTTCTCTTAGCCCATGTCAAAATAGCTGCAATGGAAATTCTAAAATAAACATTTCTAAAACTCCTTAATATCCAATTGCACCAGTTCAGTATGTGCTTTATATATAGACATGCAATGTTTGGCAAGGAAATGTTTAACAGTTTATTTGTTATACTCCGTAAGTGAACCCACCCTATCTTAAAACTTAAATCCAACTTGTTACCATGGAAATGTAAAAAATAACAATTTCTAAAATTCCTAAATAGCAAAATGGCACCAGTTCAGCATGATCCTGATAGACATGCAAAGTTTCATAGAGAAATATTTAACGGTTTCTGAGTTAACTTCATTGGGGCGGGGGATAAAAAATAAAGGATTCAGGGGCAGAACAAATCCCCAATTCTTGCTTTTGCTAAGATGGTCGTGAAAACACTTTGAACAGTATTTTAATAATATATAAACTGCATTATCTTTATGTGGACAAGGCCCGAAGTATGGCAGGTCATGGATACATTTTACACACTTTATCCAAGTGCACAAGGCGAGGTGTGGTTTAATGTCGCGTTCAAGATTACTGTACTTATAAAGTGGGGTGTGTGCATGTACTATAGTCTGGAATATAACTTAATGTACCGACGTTTACTACAATATCTGAAAAACTATCGGTAAAAACAGTTGGTATGAGATTATTAAACAGTCATACATAACTGGATATTACATTTAAAACCAAGCTGCATGAATAAAAAATCTGTCTGTTCAGTGATCATTATGTTTCATCAACAACCAGACCTGTTCATCACGGGTGGAACGAGCATTCATAGAAACAGCCATCTGCATAATGCTATCCCTACTTCACAGGGCCATATGACACAGTTGAACCAATCAACTCACTCAAGGTGCACGGGAATCACGCACACATGAATACGGTGTTAGCGTTGGGGGTCTCAACGTGCGTGATTCCAGTGCAGCCTTTCGAGTTGAGTTGATTCAACTGTGTCATATGGCCATGTGAAGCAGAGGTAGCATTATGCAGATGGCTGTTTCTATGAATGCTCGTTCCTCCCGTGACGAACAGGTCTGGTTGTTGATGAAATATAGTGATAGCTAAATAGACAGATTTTTTATTCATGCACCGATTGTCTTTAAATGTAATATCCAGTTATGTATGACTGTTTAATAATCTCATACCAACTTTGACTGGAGTAGGTCAAATAGTTTTTCAGATATTGTAGTAAACGTCGGTACCTTAAATTACCTTCCAGACTATAGTTGTAACTAATGTCAAGGAGAAAAAAGCCGCAGTTTAACATGCATAACCCACTCAGACAGTATGTGACTAGGAGTCAATCAGTCCTTGTTTTGTCCTCTTTATGTACCTTTTGGCATGGCATGGCTTCCGCTCTCCGGACAGCATTCCTTCTAAGGAGGCTGTTGCATATGCGCGAGTATGCCGTAGACAGAGCCATTGTCCAATGACATTATCAGCTAAGGGGAAACAACTCGCACCATGTTGCACCTCAACCTCGTGATGTGAGGCAACTAGACACAGGTCTGCTGGGTTGTCACCACGACCTGACTGAATGCTTGTGCAATCAATCATTTGCATTGAGTCTGCGAAGACAGCTGCAATATTGCCGACTGCAGTATAAAAACTGACTTTCTTTTCTATGGTTTCAAATCAACAACACAGACTTGTAAAAAGAAGTATTTATTACCTCACTTTGGCATAAACACCCCTACATTAGTTATGTTTTACAGAGCAATTTACATCAATAGCATGAAATTTACAATAGTTCTTTATACATCACTTGAATTGTACATTAAATATTTAAATACAAAACAAAGAGTGAAATCATCTAATGTGACAGACAACCTAATAATGTTGACAGCAATGCCATTACCAAGAACAGTGAACTGTTCCATGCATATCTTCACACACACACTTTGTATTTAGTCCATGGTGGCATATTAGAGTGAAACGCTGTTTGACTTTTCTTTAAAACATCTCACACACAATGGCCGATGAATACAAAATAAAAAACAAAAACTTAACAAATTTCCTTTAAGAGCTTTGATGAAAGCTGTTGACCCCGGCTAAAAGACTTCCCATATTATACGTCATGTGAATGGCATGAAATGAACGGTGACGAATGACGGATGAAGATGATTGGCTAATCTCTGGAAGATCTCTACAACTCGTCATGATCCTGAAATGGAAAAAAAAACATTCATAAATGTCAATAAAACTAACTAAAAATCCTTTTAGCATACACAAGTACATTACTGTGAAGAAAATAATTTGGAATAATTTCATAACTACTTTGACAAAGACAATCTCACAGCAACTGGGTGTAGTCAACTTACAGGTTCTTCTTTTTTATCTGAGTCATCCTCTTCCTCCTCCTCCTCTGCCTCATCCCCATCTTCCTTCTTGGCATCTGAGAACAGACAACGGCACTTAATAATTTACGAATACTCTCAACAATTCATAGATGGTGAATGTGTCAAATCACAAGTATTGAACATTTTTCATTAGCAACCTGAGACTGCTAAGACAGATGTCTCAATCCTTCTACATAGTCTGCAATCACTGAATCACTTCTCACCTTCCTCTTCTTTCCTCTTCTTCTCTTCCTCCTCCCTCTGTTTCCTCTCCTCCTCATCCTGAGCATCCTTCATCTTCTTTTCAGGGTCCTGAAACATACAACCATTCATGAGAAACCATATCCACCCCATGAGTATCATAAAGATTAGTGAAGGCAGTCGGAATGTATTGTCATTTGGGATTTATTTTCAACTTTTAAACTGCAGATTTAATGCTGAGAAGCAACAGCTGACAAGTCACATTTCCTTACCTTTGTTTTGCCCCATGTATCTTTTCCGAATTCCTCTGCGAATTTTTCATCATCAGTTATGAGGACATTATCAAAGATAGTTCCAGATTTAACCTGAAAGGAAGGAACAGGTCTTGAAAAAAGTGATGGTGAACATTTATCTAAGCATTCTCAGATATCATTAAATACAAGAAAATAACTGAAAATCTTTGGTTTTTCTTTGAATGTTGTTAAACGTTGCAATATTCCAGCTATGACAGTGGGAAAATCTATGGTGCAAAATAATGCTTTTCCCAACCAATCTGCCTGCCACATGGACTTAGAAATCCTAGACTTTACTCAACAAAGTTGCAATAAATTCTAGATAAATATTGGGATTCCTCGCACCTGCCACAAATCAAAACCAATAGCACCAATATCGGTGTATCTGTAGAGATTGTCATCGGGGGAGTAGTCAGGGTTGTCGATCTCAGGATGGACCCATTTGCCCTTGTAGTCTGGGTTGTCGATCTGCTTGGGTTTCCACTCTCCCTTGTAATCTGGGTTATCAACCATTGGGGGCTCCCATTCTCCATCCATCTCATCGTCCCAGTCATCAGGCTTCTTGGCATCTGGGTCGGGGATATGTTCTGGCTTGTCCCAATCCTCAGGCTTGGTGTCATCAGGGTCATCGATCTTCTCACGCTCATCCCAGTCATCGGGTTTCTTGGCCTCGGGGTCCTGAAAACACATGAACTCAACATTAATATACTGTCATATTCAGGGTACTTAATCATTGTTGATCGGCATATTAATTCATTGTGCTGCAATAGCAGATTGAGGTGTACCTTGGTTGCTTATACAGCGGTAAAAACTTCAGTTACACCTTCTGAAGCAAATAGGCAACTTTGATTAAACATTAAGTATTTCTACTAGTCCTTTGGATCTAATAACCACTCTGTTTCTGGTCTCTTGGGCAAATGCAGGGTTCCATGCAAGCATATGACAACACCAATACCTGTACTGTACTATGTAAAATATTTACCTTGACTTTCTTGGCTGGAAGGAAATCCCAATCCGCCTCAAGCTCTCCGCTCTCCACCTTCTCGTTATCAATCTTCACCTCGTATGTGTTGTCAGATTTCACAATGAGGGTATACAAGTGAGTGAAAACATCATCCTACAGGGAAACAAGAACACCATAAGCATTTACTCAACACACATGGAATAAGAACAAGAGCTATCGGATTGTATTTAAGTCTCTGGGAAATGTTAGTTCTCTTCTCCATTCTTCTTTGATACCCATTTCACAAATCTGTTATTATGAACTTTCGAGTGAATAATATTCTACAAACCTTGCATCGGATATCTTTCTTGGTCAAAAGGTTCTTTCCCTTGTAGTTGAAAATCACGTGAACCTTCTTTGTTCCAGGACCACAGATGTCAGGTCCTGAAAGAAACCAATTAATAAAAATATGAAAAATATCATGATTCTAAGACTAACCTCCCTAGTTAGTCACTATTCATGCCATATTACTACGAGGGACACCAGAAATGAGTTTCACACATATTACCCATAAATTTAATTTTCACTACCTGGCCACAAACCCAAATAAAGAACTGAACGTCTGAAGATGAACATTCTTTAATGGCTTACAATGAAACAAGACAGATTTTACCTAGTATGTCTAGACTGATGAAAATCATTCTTACCGAACATAATGAGATATGGGCTGTCTCCGTGCATGCCTGCTTGGTCGAGGTCACTGGCAAAAACCTTGGCATAACCACCGCCGCAGTCAATGTTCTGTTCATGTTTCACTGTGAACTGGACGACTAGAGTTTTACCTTCGTTGCTGAATTTATCAAACTTGCCTGAGACACCATAAAATCTGGCATCCTGGGTTGTTTTTAAACCTGAAAAGAAAGAACAGCACCAACTTTGAAAAACAATTCTACATATATCTGCTCAGATTAAGGAATTTCAAGTAGCAATGCAAATGTTTGTACATGTGATTGTACTGTCTAGAAAACTGAACAATCTTCTAGGTTAAATACTCACCTTTATCTTTTTCTGCATCACCATAAAATTTTCCAGCAGACAGTTCAAATTTTCCCTGCTCTGCAGCCTTTGCGGTTGAATCAACCCAACGATCCCTCCAGCCACCTGGAAATAAAATGAACATGCATACACTGGATTGTTGTGGCCACATTTAATATTTTCCAATTAAAACAAAGAAACCGTTTAAGAAAGAAATACTATATTTACACTTATGTATGTACATATTAAGTGGCACTTCCACTTATTTCAACTTAGGCTTAGAATGATAGAACAACTATACTGTCACATTATGAAAAACGTTTATAAATCAGTGGTCACTGCTACTTTTCAATCCAAACTTTAATTAATGTAATATATTGAACTTCAGCTTGCGAGTCGTCGATTTGTAGTATTTTCCACGGTATAAAATTATTTTTTTTCTTAAATGATCTGCATCGGGAATATACAATTAATATCTGCACAAGTAATATCATCATATGCTTGGTTTATAGAACATTCACTGTGGTCTTGAATATACATCTGTTAACGAGCAATTTTGTAAAGGAATATTGACATATTCACTAGTCAAATGTCAAAGCATGGGAAATCGGAAAAGTCTGTGGATAAACGAGCACCTGCAAAATATTAAATACTACTTATGCACAATCACAACTTGACTTACCATCAAATTTCTCCTCAAAGTATACAGTGGGATCACAGAAAACTGCACCGAAGAGTGCCACAAAAATCGCAACCGCCCTCATCTTTGGTCAGGCTTTGGAAAGGACCTGCCGAAACTTCTACCCCGAGATAGTTAATGCCGGTTCTCCACGTGATCTCGACAGCTGTACGCACGCGATTGGTTTCTTCTGACCAATCAGCGCTCACCACGCGCAGAGCGAGGAATCTCCCTTCATCGTAACACGTCGGAAACTGTCGTTGGATAGCGGTCTTTCCCGATTGTCAAGGAAGGGAAGTAACTCTAAACTTTGTTGTTGTTTGCAACGGAAGTTAGAAGAGAGAGACTTGTTGAAAATGTTTCATTTTATTGTAAGTTTCGGTAGCATTGTAAGGTCATTTGTGCATATATATCCCTAGTTGTGAGAAATAATGATCTTGTCTCTTCGGTGACACCAGTTTCATGTATTAAATTAATTTGCGTGTATACTTCAATATTAGTTATATCTACATGTCTGAACGTGAAATCTGCGTGTTCTATCTTTACATTTGATCAATTTCATAGTAAGGTCATGTCACTATGCATATAATTAGTGGGCACTGCGAGTTCCGGATTAAAGTGCCATATGTTACTTCATTGATATATATCGTCGTGGGAAGTGTGTAACTTCACAAATGTGAACCACGGATTGGCTGAAGCCATACCTACGTGGAGAGCAATGATAGCAATGACTGGCGAAAAATAAATACGAAATACACTCGTCGATACAAGGAACAGATTAATGAACATACCAGAGTTACAATAATTTAACACTATTTTGCAATAATTATAGTTTGGTTGTTAGTGAAGATAATTACTTGCATGATTCTTGCCAGGAATTTGATAACATCCAAATTTGACATGTATTGTTAAAAACACACCAAACGTACACCCACATAATACTATTTAGCAGAAGTAATCCATATGTACAGTTTATACAGAGGTGGACTTTGACATATATTGGCTGATTAATATCCATTTGATATAAGAATAATGTTTGTTGATTTTCACACACATTCTAAATCAGATCTGTTCACAATTATTTGTATGATGGTATGTCTTTATTCTATAACAAATTCAGATTATTGGATACAATGGCAACACTATGTTCCCTTCACAACTCATACAGGGCTCCAGAGTCATTGAGTATTTTCTTGCATGATTGATATAATTCGCATTGGGTATTTGATGGGTTTTCTTTGAGTGTTCAATATATTTCTACTCCCTTGGACATGTTGGATCAAGTCTTTTGTCTATTTATTGACGTTTTTGAAAATAATTCTACTTATGCTGTGGCAGGTAATTTCTAATTTTCTTTGGTTCATGTGGTGCCCAAAGTATGTCATACGCCACATAAACTCACACCAGCAACACATGTCTCAGTTACAATAAGCAAGATGTAGCACTTTTGTGCGTTATTCACTGCAGTAGAGTTTAAGTGTAGGTGCTAAATAGAAAAAAGAAGTGTAAAGATATTTGGGTATGCAAGTTGAAAAGGTTATGTTTTGTAATTAATCACAGTATTGTTTTACTAATTGCTGTTTTTTAGATTTACATGCAAATTTGTGTGCAAGCAACTCAAACTTAATTGGGTCATGGTGATTTATTTGCATGGTTTATGCATATACACAATTTATCTTAAGCTCTGTGATATGGGGAAAAGCCAGAATTATTGTACTTATCAGTCAGTTAGTTTGAATTCAGCAACCCATGCATGCCCATAAGAGTCGACTATGCTTGTCGTAAGAGGCGACTAATGGGATCGGGTGGTCAGTCTCGGGGACTTGGTTGATGCATGTCATCGTATCCCAATTGCGTAGATTGATGCTCATAATGGCAATCACTGGATTGTCTGGTCCAGACTCGATTATTTACAGGCCACCGACATATAGGTGGAATATTGCTGAGTGTGGCATAAACAATAAAAAAACAAAATAAAAAAAGCATCTGTTGTGTGTGCCAAAGCTGAATGTCAAGCTTCTCCCTTATTGCATGGTAATTAGTATTACAATTAAAGGACCCCTGTCTGTCTTAATTAAACTGGATGAAGCAAATAAAGCGACAGACTCCTAGAAATCTGCAAGATGTTCACCACATCATTTAGCGAATGTGTGACATGCCTGTCATGCAAGCTGCAGCAGGAGAATATTGATATGCTTATTACATAATATTTTCATTGGAACTAAATGAGTCCAATCTATACTATTACTGTAGTCCTTACTTGACAATCATTTACAATCTGTTACAATTTTACATGTATCTTTAACTGATTATGATTTTTAGAAATGATCAAATATGCATGTTTATATCATGTATGTCTTTTATGGTCTCATATTATAAACAATTGATATGTGATGATATATGAATAAAATTACCAGTTAGACCAGATTATGTGTGAAAAGAGGTTTGGTACAAAGAAAATGAGTGTGAATTTTATAAATTATGACCTGGTATATTTTTTTTAAATTGCCTGTTCATAACAAGACTACTGGTTTTATTTATTTTAAAAATCTTTTGTAACAAAGGTTTAAAAGCTAGCTTATATAAACAAGGAAAGTTGTTAAATAACACTATCCAGTCTTTTTTACTGAACATGCTGAACACAATGTTTCTTTTTAATTTTATTTTTTTTGCAATGTTTATGGTAAAGTAAATTATGGAAAAAACATTTGAATAGATTTTGATATTTCTCAAATTTGAAACTGAATAGTGGAATGGTTTTTATCATGTGAAATGTGATATTTATTACAGGTTTCAACCCAGTGCAGGGACTTGTCATACTGACAAACACTAGATGTCATCTTCCAATATGGTGTACAAGCAACACTGACACAGGCTGTGAGAAGTTTTGTCAGTGACGAGGATGAGTCGTGCTTCGTCCATCCTGCAGCGGGTCAACTCTCAGCTGAGAGGGGAGAGAGTACCGCTAAAGTCTAAGGAGGAGGATGAGCTCTCGGTCAGTCTGTTTCTACATTAATGTTTGCATCAAATTTTCATGTCATATCTTTCCTTTGTAAATCTTTGTAATTCTCTTCAACAGCCACAATTATACAATGAAAGAAAAGGTAGTTGAAGTGTATTTCTATGTGCTCGCTTCCCTGATGGATCAGACAAATAGAAAGATACTATCAGTAAAATATAACAAATGATAAACTTAACTATGAACTAACTGTTAATGTTTGAATGATGATTGATCAAATGCACTCTGTATGTCTCTGGCTACACTGGGTTAAAATGTATTGCCTCATAAGCAATATTTAAGCCATATAGCAATGAAAATCCTCCCTGACAGTTCAATACAGATACATGGTACTGTGGAAATATTAAGCAGGCAGCACTTTGAATAGAATTAGCATGACCGACTCAAACACCTTTTATGACAAATAAGTTGAGAATATTGAGCTAAACAAAAATTATTTATATTTTTACCCAAGCTCATTGGTAAGCTAAACATCACTTGACCATGACATTAGTAAAACAGCATGTTCTTGCAGTGGTCCATGGAATATTGCATCCAGGGATTCGAAAGGATTCTAAACTATGTGTCCCCTGGCAAGGAAAATGGGGAAAAGCATCACTATTTTGTACAAAATGGGATTTTATATAGTATTTATTTTCTTAAATTTAGATGTATTTCAACATTGTATATTGAGAGTGAAATGCTATAAAATTAACCATTGAAGTTTCCTCCTCTTTAGTGGTCCTGTTGACAGTGAAAATCTTGGGCCAAATATCATCTAGTGAGTAGGTCTAGACAAATCCCTGATATCCTAGGACATGTGTGTTCGGTATTATAAACTGGCACTGGTTTCATAGTTCGAAACAATATTCTCATGGTTCAGTTTTTGCCAGTCAATAGTTATCATGTATGTTTGCCATTAGACTCTTGTTTGGCAGTGTCAGTTGCGTCAGCTGTTGCTGCTGATGCGAGTCCTGGCACATACAGGACGTGCTGAGGATGTAACTCGAGAATACTGTAAATGACATACAATGATACAAGTGATTCAAGTTGTGTGAGACACTGGTATACGGTTGTAGTTGTGCTCAGTTCTACTTCAGTCTTTTGGTTACCTCTAGAGAAGTGGAAATACAGACATATTGAGCACTTGCGTGACATTGTTTCAGTATGTTTCCATAAATGTGTAAACAGAAGCATTTCTTTTATGCGGTTAATCCTTTCTTTTGTTGGGTTTCATTGTGTATTGTGGTTACATATTTGTTCAATAGAAATACCATGTTGACAGAACAGAGAGAACCACTGGGTAAGCCCAAGTGATGCAGTCAATTATTATCACATGATTATTAAATTAATATTGTGATATGATAGTCATGTCCTCATACAGATTATTTTGCCATATTTTCATATTTTGGGACTGAGAAAATATTATATTTCTTCAAGAAAGATGTTGATAAATTCTAAAACGTCCAAGCTTTCCTAGCTTTGAATCCCATGTCTCATGTTTGAACCAATCAAATTGTGGCACACACACACAGCTGGTTGATGGTTGTTATTTCATTCTGACACACATACAGTCAGGTGGACATTGTTAGTTGTATTTAATACAGGGATGAATTAGGTAACTGACTGCAAACATTGTCATTTATGGACAGTTGGGAAACATGCACGTCATCAGGACTGCTGGTATTCATTGCCACATGGTCTGCATTTTAGCCTTAGTGAAATCAACATCGTCAATTTCTTTTCATCTATCCATGGTGCAGGCATCTCAATACAGACAGTCGTTATCTACACAGATAATGCATGCAATTGTTTCATGAAATAAAGTTACTTAATAAACCTCTTTAATCCTAGTTATGTGAAACAAAAGTAGACCTGATATCATTGTGCCCATGTGTCAGTAGTGCAATATACATGCCCTGCAGGTATTGGTTGATAGCAGAAAGACAGCTGGAGGTGATATTGACAACAGCATGTTGCATTATCTTCCCATCTCTTTCAGCAGGGAGCTCTAGGCCAATGTTTGTCTTCACTGCCAGTATGAAGTTTATTGATTTACGGCATCTGTGCTGACCTGTTGAATAGGCCATTAGAAACAAACATATCACTGATTCACTTTTATTCGCCACTTAGATTTACAGCCTCTGCTTTCACAATCAGCCCAATGTGTATTGTTAGCGTTTATTTGACACCAACATATCTGAATAGTCTGGTCCTGTCAGTGTGGAATGTAGGGGAGTGACTGTCAAACCATCCATGCATCACAGTTGTCCTTGGTCCAACTGTTGAAGATCAATAACTGGTAAAAGTAGCAATCAGTGACATCACAGCTTCTCTGAACTATAGATAGTATCGACAGATGGAGACAGTCTACACCGGTTATGTAGAACGTGTAACCAAAATTACTTTGTTGTAAAGTGTTCCATGGATGAAAATATTGTGGCTCATCATTTTTAAATTTGAATTTGTTTCTCTCTCATGTCTTGTATATATTTATGTATATATGTTTATACTTCTGTATACACTAATAAGGTTTCATTATTGCCCTAGGAATTAACATGTATATATGTATATAACTGTAGATGGACTGATGACCTACGCATAAGAAATTAACTTGGTTGGCATTCAAAAAAAAAATAGATGTAATAAAAGAAAAGAAATCTATTTATCATTTACATTTCCTGGTTGTTTGGACCAAAATTTCACCTGCTTGGTCATGTTGATGAAACATGTGGGCATCCTTTCAGGTAATGATCATAATAATACATCAGACAACAGACATAAGTACCTCCATTACTCCCGTTCCAAATATGCAGGTAGATCTCATGTCAGGCCCGTAGTTTCAGTTTTGTAGGGGTCCTTATAGCCTGCAGTAAATTTACCTGTTGATTTATTTGTCACAGTAGGCTGCAGTTGTTAATGAGGGCCTGAGAATTTAGTCAGGGTCTTAAGTCTGTGAGTCCTGATGGCAACCTGGTAATATATTTTTTTTTTTTTCAAAAACTGCCGCAAGCAATCTGCCGATACTGGGCTTTGCCATCATGTTGAGTAATTCAAGTATACCTCCATTGTAGGACGGTGTACATCTTCTCTTAAAGCTATTGCAATGCTATTTCAACACTTTGATGCCCTCTGGCCCAAACTTGAATTATGGCATCATTTTGGTAGATTTTAGGCTTAGTATGTGGACTAGTACAAGCTGATCTAACCGACCAAATGACATTTTACTTGTCTTGGGCTTCAGACTATGGGGTAAAGTTGTGGATTGTTGCAATAGTATATAGCTGTGTTGTTCAATGCCGCACTCAGCAATATTCCAGCTATATGATGACGGCCTGTAATTAATCGAGTCTAGACCTGTCAATCCAGGGAATGATATTGTGAGCAACAATTCATGCCATCAGAGTACATTGACTTCGTCAACTAAGTCACTGAGATTCACCCCCTGATCCATTCAGTCGCCCCTTACATTCAGTCGCCTCTTACATTTAGTCGCCCCTTACATTCAGTCGCCCCTTACATTAAGTCGCCTCTTACATTCAGTTTCCTTACATTCAGTCGCCTCTTACATTCAGTCGCCCCTTACATTCAGTCGCCCCTTACATTTACTCGCCCCTTACATTCAGTCGCCCCTTACATTCAGTCGCCCCTTACATTCAGTCGCCCCTTACATTCAGTCACCTCTTACATTCAGTGGCCCCTTACATTCAGTGGCCCCTTACATTCAGTCGCCCCTTACATTCAGTCGCCTCTTACATTCAGTCGCCCCTTACATTCAGTCGCCTCTTACATTCAGTCGCCCCTTACATTCAGTCGCCCCTTACACATTCAGTCGCCTCTTACATTCAGTCGCCCCTTACATTCAGTCGCCCCTTACATTCAGTCGCCCCTTACACATTCAGTCGCCCCTTACATTCAGTCGCCCCTTACATTCAGTCGCCCCTTACATTCAGTCGCCTCTTACATTCAGTCGCCCCTTACATTCAGTCGCCCCTTACACATTCAGTCGCCCCTTACATTCAGTCGCCCCTTACATTCAGTCCCAACCTGTTCATAAATGTGCATGTGCCTCGCTGCCTGGTTGTAGAATCATATACCGGTAGCAGTCTCTGATGGGCCATATCAAAGCTTTGTTTGTTTATAAACATGCAGTATTTTTTCAAAAGTATGGTGTTTGATACTGCTGCAAGTGACTCACTTTGATTCTGTTTGCAATTGTGAAATTAACACCTGTCAATATCATAACAGGTGCTGCAGATTGCTATGTCAATCATGTAACAAGAAAACCCTGGAAATTGTTTTTTGATTGTTTGAATCTAACATTGCATAGCAAGAGCATACACAAACAGCTGTACATTCTGTGTAACCAGGACAAAGGAACTATGCCCAACATTCTAATACCCTTGTCAGTGTTATCCTGGACATCTGGGTCAAAGTTCCCTTGGTTACCGACTGACAATGCAGATATTGTCCCAAATGTGTTGTTTCACAATGGTGTCAAATTTTATCAAATATATTTACATGAAAATACACTTGTGTGAATTTAGATTTTTTTGTGACAATATTCCGTGAAACATTTAAAGAGAGACTAGGCTTTGAGCTGTATGTCCGAGCATGATTGATTCAAGTCATTCAAACACTAGTTTGTCTGCAACACTCAGATGTTGTCATGAATTTCAATTCAGCAGTTAATAAGACAAGTGACAAGTTTGACAAGTGCCAAATGTATTTTGCATTTGCGGACACATGGCCCATGGTGCTGCATATACAAAAATGCAAACATTGTGCTGTTTCTAAATGTGCATATAAAAAAGGTGCTATCTAGGTAGGTTTCTTTTCAGATGTAAAGATACACTTTTAATAACTGCAGGGTTAGTTGATGACAGAAGCTGAGATAATTTAACAGTGGAAGGATTTAATTGTCACATCATCATCATCATCATCATCATCATCATCATCATCATCAGTGTCACATGAAATGGTTAAGAGGAAGTAAAAATGACAGAACTCCAAAAGAAATTAAAAACAATATTATTACGAAGAGAGATAACTATATATATATAATTTTTACTAACTTCTGAGTAATTACCTAAACCAATTAGAATTACTATACTCCTACTGATACTAGTACTACTCTATTCTACTACTATACTCTATCACTATCTCCCACTACTGCTGCTGCTTCTGCTACTACTACTACCACAACTACTACCACAACTACTACTACTACTATTACAACTACTCCTAACACTACTAACACTACACTACTAAAACTAACACTAAACACTAATACTATTTATTAAGATTATACAGTAAACTACACAGTAAGCTATGCTCTAATCATGCTAATACTACTAATTACACACTACTGATTTACACATACAACTATTGGTTCAACACAGCCATCATTGTGCTCTACCACAGCAGATGAAATGCAATTACATACACACACAAGGCAATCTAAAGGTTCACATATATCATAATACACTGATAGATGCCTACACAGACATGGAAGGGGATTGTCCAACGTCAAGATATAGTTCTGGTCTGTCACGACAAGATATAGTTCTGGTCTGTCATGACAAGATATAGTTCTGGTCTGTCACGACAAGATATAGTTCTGGTCTGTCACGACAAGATATAGTTCTGGTCTGTCATGACAAGATATAGTTCTGGTCTGTCATGACAAGATATAGTTCTGGTCTGTCATGACAAGATATAGTTCTGGTCTGTCACGACAAGATATAGTTCTGGTCTGTCACGACAAGATATAGTTCTGGTCTGTCACGACAAGATATAGTTCTGGTCTGTCATGACAAGATATAGTTCTGGTCTGTCATGACAAGATATAGTTCTGGTCTGTCACGACAAGATATAGTTCTGGTCTGTCACGACAAGATATAGTTCTGGTCTGTCACGACAAGATATAGTTCTGGTCTGTCACGACAAGATATAGTTCTGGTCTGTCATGACAAGATATAGTTCTGGTCTGTCATGACAAGATATAGTTCTGGTCTGTCATGACAAGATATAGTTCTGGTCTGTCATGACAAGATATAGTTCTGGTCTGTCATGACAAGATATAGTTCTGGTCTGTCACGACAAGATATAGTTCTGGTCTGTCACGACAAGATATAGTTCTGGTCTGTCACGACAAGATATAGTTCTGGTCTGTCATGACAAGATAAACCGTAATCGACATAATAAGCGCCCCGCTCTAATAAGCGCCCACGGCAATATTTGCTAATATATTGGCTAGTGAACAATACCAATTAGAACCCCTTCCGATTGATCAATGTACACAACACTTATTTATTCGCGTATAATACGTACGTGTGTTATAAGCACCCTTAATTAAGGGCATTTAAATTCTGGAAAAATGTATCTCTCGTATATAAACAGTTCAGGCTGTCAGCATAAACAACGAAATTTATCTTTCAACTCTGTCTTTTTCACCAAAATAATATTCAAATAAGAGCCCCCTATTTCTAATTTTGAGAGCGCCCTGGGCGCTTATTAGGTCGAATACGGTAGTTCTGGTCTGTCACGACAAGATATAGTTCTGGTCTGTCATGACAAGATATAGTTCTGGTCTGTCATGACAAGATATAGTTCTGGTCTGTCACGACAAGATATAGTTCTGGTCTGTCATGACAAGATATAGTTCTGGTCTGTCATGACAAGATATAGTTCTGATCTGTCATGACAAGATTTAGTTCTGGTCTGTCACGACAAGATATAGTTCTGGTCTGACATGACAAGATATAGTTCTGATCTGTCATGACAAGATATAGTTCTGGTCTGTCATGACAAGATATAGTTCTGGTCTGTCATGACAAGTTATAGTACTGGTCTGTCATGACAAGATATAGTTCTGGTCTGTCATGACAAGATATAGTTCTGGTCTGTCACGACAAGATATAGTTCTGGTCTGTCACGACAAGATATAGTTCTGGTCTGTCACGACAAGATATAGTTCTGGTCTGTCACGACAAGATATAGTTCTGGTCTGTCACGACAAGATATAGTTCTGGTCTGTCATGACAAGATATAGTTCTGGTCTGTCATGACAAGATATAGTTCTGGTCTGTCACGACAAGATATAGTTCCGGTCTGTCATGACAAGATATAGTTCCGGTCTGTCATGACAAGATATAGTTCTGGTCTGTCACGACAAGATATAGTTCTGGTCTGTCACGACAAGATATAGTTCTGGTCTGTCACGACAAGATATAGTTCTGGTCTGTCACGACAAGATATAGTTCTGGTCTGTCATGACAAGATATAGTTCTGGTCTGTCATGACAAGATATAGTTCTCGTCCGTCACGACAAGATATAGTTCTCGTCTGTCATGACAAGATATAGTTCTGGTCTGTCACGACAAGATATAGTTCTGGTCTGTCATGACAAGATATAGTTCTGGTCTGTCATGACAAGATATAGTTCTGGGACTGTCATGACAAGATATAGTTCTGATCTGTCATGACAAGATTTAGTTCTGGTCTGTCATGACAAGATATAGTTCTGGTCTGTCACGACAAGATATAGTTCTGGTCTGTCATGACAAGATATAGTTCTGGTCTGTCACGACAAGATATAGTTCTGGTCTGACATGACAAGATATAGTTCTGATCTGTCATGACAAGATATAGTTCTGGTCTGTCATGACAAGATATAGTTCTGGTCTGTCATGACAAGATATAGTACTGGTCTGTCATGACAAGATATAGTTCTGGTCTGTCATGACAAGATATAGTTCTGGTCTGTCACGACAAGATATAGTTCTGGTCTGTCATGACAAGATATAGTTCTGGTCTGTCATGACAAGATATAGTACTGGTCTGTCATGACAAGATATAGTTCTGGTCTGTCATGACAAGATATAGTTCTGGTCTGTCACGACAAGATATAGTTCTGGTCTGTCACGACAAGATATAGTTCTGGTCTGTCACGACAAGATATAGTTCTGGTCTGTCATGACAAGATATAGTTCTGGTCTGTCACAACACAATACAAATGTTATTGACAACAGATAGTCACTGGTATATTGTCTTCCACGACAAACAACGGGAAAGATGAACTGACCTTAGTCACTATAATGACAGCAGTTAGATATAGCTGCAGTGAATACTGTATTCACCCACTACGCTCTGATACAACAGCTCAGAGACAGCACCTACACTGGACATAGTTATGGGACAAAGTCTTCTCAGAAGAGATGCATATAGAATGCTACTCTACGCATCCTACTGTTATGATCCTGCATATGTACACACAATCATCAGTAATTTCTTCTCAGTAAAGGGCGGTCAGGGACCCTGTTGGTTAAAGTGTTCGCTTGTCACGCTGAAGACCCGGGTTCAATTCCCGACATGGGTACAATGTGGGAGGCCCATTTCTGGTGTCCCCCGCCGTGATATTGCTGGAATATTGCTTAAAGCGGCGTAAAAACACACTCACTCACTCTTCTCACTAAAACCCATCCCAAGCAACAAGATCAAATTTTAAAACTGCGTGACACAAATTGACTATTTGTTTTATTTCTACTGACAGAAGGTAACTGGGATGTGTTCCACAAAGCAATCTTAGCACTACGACTATCGTAAGGATATGCTACAAGATGGGAATTACGATCAACTTAGTGCTAGGATCGCTTTGTGGAACGAGGCCCAGGTTAATAAAATCTGTAAACCAGACATATTTTTGGTCTGATTTTGATGATGAAAGAAGTTTCTGCTTATTAAAATGAAGATTTTCGTATATAACCAATTAAACCCTGGCGTTTTTGGTAAGAGCCGAACAGTGAAGGTCATGGCCATGTGGTACCTGATTGTATGTTCCTCTTGTCCCGCTAATGTGAATCATTGTTTCATTATTCTCAGGCCACTGTGAATAATGCTGGGACACTGATGACTGCAGCATCAACAACGTTCCCAGTCATGTTCCCTCCCTCTCACAAATTACCATAGCCTTTTTCAGTCACGACTCAACATGTCCACTTTCCTTCCAGAACTACCTGAGCAACTTGGCACAGAAAACAGGCCAGGCCAGAAAGTCAGTGAATTTTGAGGACATGGGGGAAAATATTTCAATTTCCAGTGAAAGTAACTTACAAAAGACGCCTAGAGCTCGTATTGAAACCCCGCCACTCAGAGGAGCTGCCAGTCGATTCCTGAAGAAGAAGAAACCAGATCCAGAGGAAATTGACCATTCAAATGTCACGACACCTAACATGTCCCCTCGGGGTCCAAGACGTTCATATCGCCCAGCGACGTCAGTTCCAAATGTATCACCTCAGAAATCTACTCCCACTAAGAAGAAATCTACGCCCCTTGACAAGGCTAAGGCACTGACTAGCAAGATCAACGACAGGGCTGTTGATGGCAATAAACGAGGAACCTATTTTGAAACTGACACTGATGACAGTGTGAGTCTTGCTAACTACATGCAATATGCGTCAGCTGATCAGCTGAAATCGGCGTCAGAAAAGAGCATCGGGAGAGATGGAAATCGATTTTGGAAGAAAACGAAAGCAGAGAAGCCTCTTGAAGAAGGTGAAAATGCATACATGGGAAAAATTGAAGCACCTAGGCCATCGTCCCCAGCTAAGGGACAACGCCGACCGTATGCAGATAGAGGTGTGTATTGATGTTAGTTTTCTTGAGACATGACAAAATAGCATATGTGTACATATGTATGCGCATATACACCTGTAATCAGTAGTATGATTATCATATGACGTGTATACAACAGTTTTGAAGTAACAATTAATATCTGCCTATTATAGACAGGTAACTTGGTCTTTGAAGACTGACAAGCAGCCTTCCATAGGCATTAGACAGACGGGCATGACAACAATAACGTGTGTGGTGAAATAGTTTCTGCAGCAGGTAACATACATATTGTCAGAGATTGTCTCTGATATTGTATATAGTTACAAATTTGTAAACTATTCTGTATGAGAAAATAATAAGAAACAAACAAGTTTACGTACTGGCAGGCAGCAAAGAAAAGCTGGTCAGTCTTGTTATGGGGACTGTTTCATATCCGAAAGACGACCTCGAAAGGTATGAGGAATTGAACAAATAGTTTGTACTTGTTTATTGATATCAATGCATGATCAACAAGGACAATCGATATGGGGTTAAATGTGAATCAAGCCAAACTTTGTGTATCGGGTATTGTATCTTGCCACGTGGCGTGGCGTGGCGTGGCGTGGCGTGGCGGGCAGACGGGCGGACGGGCGGGCGGGCGGGCGGGCGGGCGGGCGATGCAACACAGAGTCTGTTTACATAGAGTTAGGAGTGATGAAATGAACATGTTATGTGACAAGAAAGTGAAACAACCCCTATGTATTTCAGTATATATGTGACCCGTGAAGATTCCGTGGTAGAATAGGTCTTCAGAAACCCATGCTTGCCGTAAAAGGTGACTATGCTTGTCGTAAAAGGCGACTAACGGGATCAGGTGGTCAGGCTCGCTGACTTGGTTGATGCATGTCATCGTATCCCAATTGCGTGGATCGATGCTCATGATATTAATCACTGGATTGTCTGGTCCAGACTCAATTATATACAGACCGCCGTCATATAGCTGGAATATTGCTGAGTGCGGCATTAAACAACAAACTAACCAACCAACCAAATCAGTATATATATATGTGTGAATATATTTGTTTAATATTCTTGATTTTCACGAAACTGATTGTCCCAAGAGGGGGGTTGGTGGATTAATGAGGTTTGTATTAAAGAGGTTCTTCTCTGCAGAGGGTGTTGATACTATTTCACACAATGGCACATTGCTATAGATGATGTTATAGATGGTAGGCATAACAAATTAAGGCAGAAAGGTGATATATACACATATTTATTATGATATTTTGTGATACTTATTTTTGTACACAGGTGTGAAAGTTTATTGATATGAATCATTTACAGATCCCAGGTTGGTTTATTGACTTTATGAATCACTTGTTCTAGATACCTCCAAACCTCCAAATGCAGCAGCTGGTAAGTGGGGATGATTGACACTGAAATGGACGACCTTGCTCATTTCATGACATTAACATACAATTAAAAAACAGTCTTTCCTCAATGGAATGGTCTCACATTCAAAATTAGCTTCTTTGATTCCTGAAAATCCATTCTATGTTTTTCTTGCTGTCCATAACAGTGATCCCTGTTGATATATGTTATCTGTTCGAGATGTCAATCATGTCACAGCTTGTTAATAACAGGGGACAATGTCAAATGTTTAACAGACATTTCCAAACTGCAACAAAATTTCCATGTAACCATCTTATTTGCTAATTCTTCATGTGATTGTCAGATCATCCCTTGATCTTATAAAGAAAACACAGCCTTGCAGAGCCTCATGAGTTGTGCTTCAGTTTCTGGTCAGTGCATGGAAATGACAGCTTGACATTTGATACAGCCCCTCACTGTATAGGCAAAGTGTATTCATATGTCTTGCTTTGAATGTGTCTCTGACTTGAATATCTTGAACCTTTTATGGCTTCATGGCATGCTCCTATATCTGTAGCTGCTTATCTAGTGCTGTATTGTGTAGATATCTCTTCTTGCTGCTTGTAGTGCACTAGTTCCTGTTGTATTTTCTCTGTGCTCTAGGGGCGGTCGGGTAGCCTAGTGGTTAAAGCGTTAGCTCGTCACGCCGAAGACCCGGGTTCGATTCCCGACATGGGTACAATGTGTGAAGCCCATTTCTGGTGTCCCCCGCCGTGATATTGCTGGAATATTGCTAAAAGCGGCGTAAAACCTCACTCACTCACTCACTCTCTGTGCTCTATCACACACCTTTGCATGATAAATATATACACTAGATTACGGATTAAGTACAGTCATTTAAAAAATTGCGTGTTCTTCAACTTGTTTTGGATAGTATATATTTTTTTTTTTGACAAGACATATTACAGGGGTAGGACCAGGATTTGGGGGTTTGACGTCTGCCATTTGTAGCTTCAGCATACCCTATATGTAAAACATTCTTAATTTTACTTTACAATCCGCATACAAAATATGTCATCAGATGTAACAAAGGGGGGCTGGGACGAGTCCAAATTTACTACCCGGGTACCGAACCCCCTATTACCCGACCCAACCCGGGTACCTGCTGTAGGTCTCAAGAGATTGGTACAAAATGTCCGATAGGGAATTGTTTGATCAGAGCCCTGGCAAAAAGATATTCAGGTGCACTGTAAAATGATCTGATCATGCATAACTGAACTTGACTGAAGTTTTGTCTTTATTCAAAAATATGATAGTCAGAAAGAAATGTGAACATTCGTGACCTGTAGTGAATTCACTGAGTTCTTGATTACTTTGTCATTAAACAATATATCATGTGACTAACCACAGGTCCGGGTAGTCCTGTGGGTACCCGGGTCCAGCTCAGGACCCACCCGACCAGAGTGCCCAAGTTACCAGTCCCAGTTGTACTGGCCACCCCCAGAACCCTCCCTCCGGAGCTGCCACTGTATAAGCTACTGTATAGTCATATGAGTCACTATTTTTGAGTAGTATATAACATACTGTGCACAATTAATGGAAGACTATGCTTCATGGTCCTAGGTCTAGATGTTGTAATAAGTGACTTGTGTCAAAATGAGATGTCTTCGTAAAGTAATGATACTCACGACCTGGTAGATTGATCATTATGAATCATATGTCATGTGTAGGTGGTCTGCAAATAAGACAGGATTTTTTCAACCTTGCTTGGACCTTTGACCTTGGATATATTCTTGTGACCCTGTTATCTAGTCTCTAACGCGGCAGACTTTCTCTTTAATTGACCAGCGGCTATTTTCATGGCCGACATGTGCTCTAGTTGACTTGTTCACCATAAATAATAAAAATCGAAAATGTTTTAGCAGGCGGACATTTTCATCAGTTCCCATTTATTGTACCGGAAGTTCCTTACACGTCTCGGAGCAAATGCGCTCTGTAATTTCACTGGTCATAAATTGATGCTATTTTTAGCATGGTCCCCACATCAATGACTATGTAAACCGCAGGGTTTATTAAGCTGAAATTTGGGATTCCAGCAGTGTTGTCAGTGTGTTCAAAGAACTCTCATCCAACTGTAATCATGGCTGACGAACATAGTATTTTGCCCGTTTACTCTGTTATTTCTGAATGAATCATTATGAAGTTTGATATACAGAAAATATGTGGTATGACTAACAATAACGGATGTGTTGCTATAGCGTGATATTTGTCACATCTACTTCTATGTAGCATGTGTACTGTTAGGCCTGCCACCAGTGCCATGGTAGTCATGGTAAACTTGTAACTCTGGCGCTCTGCATACCCATTAATATATCAATGTGGAATTTTTTATGATGCCTGTTTTTTTTAGAGACCTTTGGTTATCCTTCTTTATCTTTGTACGACCTTTAATATAATATACCAGATAGATCTCTGTGATTCATGGTCTTGGGGCGCTATTGTTGTGAGGATATATTATTAACCTTTATGTAGCTTCTAACATGTCTAAGTGATCTTCTAAAATTTACATTTGACTGTGAATTGTTCGCCCCTTGTAGTTGTAGGGGGCGGGGGTGGCCCAGTTGTCGAGGCACCACAATTTGCTCTGCAGTTTTGGTACCCTTGGGCATGCCAGAAACCTGAGATTGTGGGTTCGAATCCAGGTTTACCACAGTTACGTTTCTCGGCTTGTCACTGTATGTGTCAGCATCATACTCGTGCTCGTGGGTTTCACCAAAGTGATAATCGTCTGAGACCTACATCACTTTGGGCATTCCTCCCTCACGAAGCTGATATGCCGTGATATAACTCGAATACTGTTCAAAGTGGTGTTAAACCTAACTCTCTCACTCACTCCTCCGAGTATGTGCTGTTCATATTATTTTTTAAAATTTTGCCAAGTATGGAGAGGTTCTCATATATCAGAGAAAACTATCTGATTGTAATGAGAACCGACAGCTGAGCATGTTGAGTGGAGATGTCTGTTCATGGGAGCTAGATTGTGTCATTGATATCCAACAAGATCTGCAGAGACGGATTGTTTTCAAAGTTTCATGTCTACAGCCACATTACACTTCAGTGTAATCAGATGGGTCGAAACTGTGGGTCATAAGTTGTCTAGCCCACATCCACATGCAGTACCATAATTTGGTCAATTTTAGGCAGGCTCGCCTATGTGGGGATTGTAAACATTATCTTGCTGACTGGCATAAGCCACGATTCCCTCATTCACTATGACATGTTGGACACGTTGACCTCTGATGTGAGACGGGAACCCTTTGCCTTCAACTCATTGCCTGAACAGATTTCATATTGAGAAAGTATATGGGGATCAAATTTCCGTCAGTTCTTCGATACATCTGTGAACATTACTCTGTCTAGTACATGAGGTTCTTGATGGGCTGAATGACTGGCACAAACAACTCCAAAACTCAAAGTATATGATTGGTCTAAATTTAGCGTAAAATTTAATGGAAAATTATGAACAAATACTGCTTACCATAAAATAATACTGCTTATCATAAGAAGAAAAAAACCACAAGCAACCGAAAAAGTGACCTTGTTTAATTGATATAAGACTTGAAGACTGTGGTCAAGTTGTTTCGTCAAACAAATTCCATAAAAAAACAAAAGCAGAATTAAGAATAAACTTTTACCAACTAAATAAGATATTTAACCCCATTTACATGATTGGCGTCATTTTTTTCTGACATTAAATATCTAGGACAGTTGGTCCTCCATCTGTCTGCCTGCTGAACCCCCATCAGGATCCTCTACCATGTACAGTCAAACACTGTAACCCACATCAGGATCCTCTACCATGTACAGTCAAACACTGTAACCCCCATCAGGATCCTCTACCATGTACAGTCAAACACTGTAACCCCCATCAGGATCCTCTACCATGTACAGTCAAACACTGTAACCCCCATCAGGATCCTCCACCATGTACAGTCAAACACTGTAACCCCCATCAGGATCCTCTACCATGTACAGTCAAACACTGTAACCCCCATCAGGATCCTCTACCATGTACAGTCAAACACTGTAACCCCCATCAGGATCCTCTACCATGTACAGTCAAAAACTCTTGTATTGAACTTTGATGTGTCAGACTTATTGTTGTCTTGAAGTTTAAGCTTGGTCTCTGCGTATCCCTTCTTCATTCATCATTTTCGATTGTGTCAAACCTCGGATAACTCGAAATATGTACATAGGTCCCTTCAACTTTGACACAAAAGTGTTTGACTGTATATCTGCTTGTGTGTGTGTGTGTAGGTAGTCAAGCTACATTTTACATTACTTATCAAACTTGTTCTGCATTCTTTTCAAACTTGAATGACTAGCTTCCTCAATCCATGCTTCTTTTGATGATGTAGTTCTTTTGACATTAACATTGCTTACTTTACTAATGTCAAAATACCTCATGGGGATTCCCATCCCCGTGAAGATCCGTGTCAGAATAGGTCTTCAGCAACCCATGCTTGCCGTAACAGGCAACTAGGCTTGCCATGAGAGGTGACTAATGGGATCAGGTGGTCAGGCTGTTGCTGGGAGTGAAGCCTGAATGCGTGGTGGACTGGGATATTGTGGACTGGATCTAGGAAAGGAAGAGGGCATCAAGTGTCACAGTGTTTAAAGTTAGGCCTGAAAACAAATGCGCTCTTGTCATGACACTAAATGTCGCTAATTTAGGTGTCTCTCGATTCCAACACTGTAGCAGCATTAAGCGACATTAAGTATTTATTGAATCGTAATGGGTCTGTGGAATGTTTTGCTTAAGGAGGATAAGTGTAACATGTTTTAAACATTTTGTGTGTGACAGTGTAAGTTTTAACCTTGTGATAAGGATCAGAGGGGTAGAGGCATGTGGGTCTTAGTTTGAAAACTGTTAACTTTGTTGACAAGTTGACGATGGAAAAACTTTCGGGTCAGGTGTGAATTAGGGTTCTTCATCAAACAAAATGACAGATCATTTATTGTGTTATATTTTCACTTTTTCAGTGGAAATTATAAATAGGTAATATATAAGTAACCATGGTAACCTCGTCATCTTGTGTGTTGTGCCTTCAGTTCCGGAGTATGCCAACAAGGGGCAGGTAAAGTACATGGGCAACATCCACCTCACCTCCGAGGAGGAGAGCATGGCAGACTTCATCAACCGGCTGTCCTCCGCTGACGACGCCAAGAAGAAGAAAACAAAGAAACGACAGGTGGGTACTACAGCAGTCTTACATTAGAGTGAGTGAGTGAGTGAGTGAGTTGGGTTTAACGTCTTACATTAGAAGGCATTCTGATAGTAAGAGTTCCTCCTTGACCGACAGTCAAACTCTGTGTGCCATCTTTGTGACCCTTTGATCTTTACATCAACACTAAGTAAAGACAATTTGTTCATTACAGAGGGGTAGATAGAGTCATGTTTTTTACATGCTTGATGAAGATTGACACGTCTGACTTGTAGTGTAGTGTTCATGTCCATGTACAGAAGTCCAGAGGTCGTGACCTCCCATCCCCCGACCTCTCCCTCATGAGAACGCCGTCCCCTCCAACACAGACTCCACGCCGGGGTCCGTCTCCGATCTACGGGCGCCGGCTGTCCAGGTCACCCTCCCAGGACTCAGACAACGTGGACTCCATCCTCAGTGAAGTGGCCGACACCCAGGAGACGGAGAGCTCTGGCAACATATTCAACAGTAAGGACTGGATCTCAGTGTCATCACAGCTTAAAGCAGTGCAAATCAGTCACTGTCTGATATCCGTGAAATATTACATTGAAACAAAAATAAAGGAAGAATGTAGCAATTCTGCTGGTTACAGCAAAATATATTTGAATTATTTAAATGTTATATTTATCCAGAAAATAATAATTTTAGCTTTAATTTATCAATAGACTTGTTCATGTTGTTACATGGGTTGATTTTATAATAAGTGAAAACCACTCAAAAGTAAATGACAAATAGGTTATATGATAAATAATTTATACCATTTCTTTTTGTTTAAGCTGTCAATTTGATGGATTTGGACTCTTTAGAGCCTCTTGCCCTGTCTCCTGAACCTTCAGAAAAGAAGAAGAAGAAGAAATCCTTGAAAAAAAAATCGGAACAAAAAGAATCCAAATCCAAACCAAAACAAAAATCCAAAGAGTCTTTAAGTGTTTTCAAAGCATCAGGGAAAGAAGACATATTCAAGGCAAAAAGTTCTTCAAAAAAAGCAAGAGAGCCCCATAAAACTGACTCTGTGTTTAACAATCTAGGACTTCATACAGTTGATGAACTGTTAGGTGTGTCTGAAGCTAAGGATGAGAGTATAGTGTCTGAAGCTTCAGAAATAGTAACAGAAAAGTCAGATATTTTTGCTGCACAGAAGAGAAAAGATTCTGTGTCTTCAATTGCAACAGAGATCGGTGTGGACACTCCCCAGCATCAGGTGTATTCTGAGGACTTTGACGAGGACAGTATTTCCGAGAGAATTGGACAGGGGAGTCTCCAGGGTGGGAAGCAGGTCCGATGGTCCACAGCGTCTGAGGTGAAGACAGAGTACAGTGATGAGAATACCCAGGCAGACTACGACGATGACTTTGAGACTGACTCCAGAGCGAGGAGCTACTCTGACCGAACATATCAGAGTGACAGTGAGGGCTACACGTCGGACACAGAGACATACACACAGAGGTAGGAGACCTGGGTGACCTGGCATACAGCAATCTGGGACTGTGGTAGAGAGCTGACAGTGTGTGTGGCCTGTATGGTAGAGAGCTGACAGTGTGTGTGGCTGTATGGTAGAGAGCTGACAGTGTGTGTGGCCTGTATGGTAGAGAGCTGACAGTGTGTGTTGCCAGTATCATTGTGAGCTGACAGTGTGTGTGGCCTGTATGGTAGAGAGCTGACAGTGTGTGTGGCCTGTATGGTAGAGAGCTGACAGTGTGTGTGGCAAGTATCATTGTGAGCTGACAGTGTGTGTGGCCAGTATGGTAGAGAGCTGACAGTGTGTGTGGCAAGAATCATTGTGAGCTGACAGTGTGTGTGGCCAGTATGGTAGAGAGCTGACAGTGTGTGTGGCAAGTATCATTGTGAGCTGACAATGTGTGTGGCCTGTATGGTAGAGAGCTGACAGTGTGTGTGGAAAGTATCATTGTGAGCTGACAGTGTGTGTGGCTGTATGGTAGAGAGCTGACTGTGTGTGGCAAGTATCATTGTGAGCTGACAGTGTGTGTGGCCAGTATGGTAGAGAGCTGACAGTGTGTGTGGCCTGTATCATTGTGAGCTGACAGTGTGTGTGGCCTGTATCATTGTGAGCTGACAGTGTGTGTGGCCAGTATCATTGGGAGCTGACAGTGTGTGGCCAGTATCATTGGGAGCTGACAGTGTATGTGGCGTGTATGGTAGAGAGCTGACAGTGTGTGTGGCCAGCATCATTGGGAGCTGACAGTGTGTGTGGCCTGTATCATTGTGAGCTGACAGTGTATGTGGCCAGTATCATTGGGAGCTGACAGTGTTTGTGGCCTGTATGGTAGAGAGCTGACAGTGTGTGTGGCCTGTATCATTGTGAGCTGACAGTGTATGTGGCCAGTATCATTGGGAGCTGACAGTGTATGTGGCCAGTATCATTGGGAGCTGACAGTGTGTGTGGCCTGTATCATTGTGAGCTGACAGTGTATGTGGCCAGTATCATTGGGAGCTGACAGTGTATGTGGCCTGTATGGTAGAGAGCTGACAGTGTGTGTGGCCAGCATCATTGTGAGCTGACAGTGTGTGTGGCCTGTATCATTGTGAGCTGACAGTGTATGTGGCCAGTATCATTGGGAGCTGACAGTGTATGTGGCCTGTATGGTAGAGAGCTGACAGTGTATTTGGCCTGTATGGTAGAGAGCTGACAGTGTATTTGGCCAGTATGGTAGAGAGCTGACAGTGTGTGTGGCCTGTGTCATTGTGAGCTGACAGTGTATGTGGCCAGTATCATTGTGAGCTGACAGTGTGTGTGGCCTGTATCATTGGGAGCTGACAGTGTGTGTGGCCTGTATGGTAGAGAGCTGACATTGTGTGTGGCCAGTATCATTGGGAGCTGACAGTGTATGTGGCCTGTATGGTAGAGAGCTGACAGTGTGTGTGGCCTGTATGGTAGAGAGCTGACAGTGTGTGTGGCCAGTATCATTGGGAGCTGACAGTGTATGTGGCCTGTATGGTAGAGAGCTGACAGTGTGTGTGGCAAGTATCATTGGGAGCTGACAGTGTGTGTGGCCTGTATGGTAGAGAGCTGACAGTGTGTGTGGCCTGTATGGTAGAGAGCTGACAGTGTGTGTAGCCAGTATGGTAGAGAGCTGACAGTGTGTGTGGCCTGTATGGTAGAGAGCTGACAGTGTGTGTGGCCAGTATGGTAGAGAGCTGACAGTGTGTGTGGCCAGTATCATTGGGAGCTGACAGTGTGTGTGGCCTGTATGGTAGAGAGCTGACAGTGTGTGTGGCCTGTATGGTAGAGAGCTGACAGTGTGTGTAGCCAGTATGGTAGAGAGCTGACAGTGTGTGTGGCCTGTATGGTAGAGAGCTGACAGTGTGTGTGGCCAGTATGGTAGAGAGCTGACAGTGTGTGTGGCCAGTATGGTAGAGAGCTGACAGTGTGTGTGGCCTGTATGGTAGAGAGCTGACAGTGTGTGTGGCCAGTATCATTGTGAGCTGACAGTGTGTGGCTGTATGGTAGAGAGCTGACTGTGTGTGGCAAGTATCATTGTGAGCTGACAGTGTGTGTGGCCAGTATGGTAGAGAGCTGACAGTGTGTGTGGCCAGTATCATTGGGAGCTGACAGTGTGTGTGGCCAGTATCATTGGGAGCTGACAGTGTTTGTGGCCTGTATGGTAGAGAGCTGACAGTGTGTGTGGCCTGTATGGTAGAGAGCTGACAGTGTGTGTGGCCAGCATCATTGTGAGCTGACAGTGTGTGTGGCCTGTATCATTGGGAGCTGACAGTGTATGTGGCCTGTATGGTAGAGAGCTGACAGTGTGTGTGGCCAGTATCATTGTGAGCTGACAGTGTATGTGGCTAGTATCATTGGGAGCTGACAGTGTATGTGGCCAGTATCATTGGGAGCTGACAGTGTATGTGGCCAGTATCATTGGGAGTTGACAGTGTATGTGGCCTGTATGGTAGAGAGCTGACAGTGTGTGTGGCCAGCATCATTGTGAGCTGACAGTGTGTGTGGCCTGTATCATTGTGAGCTGACAGTGTGTGTGGCCAGTATCATTGGGAGCTGACAGTGTATGTGGCCTGTATGGTAGAGAGCTGACAGTGTGTGTGGCCAGCATCATTGTGAGCTGACAATGTGTGTGACCTGTATGGTAGAGAGCTGACAGTGTGTGTGGCCAGTATCATTGTGAGCTGACTGTGTGTGGCTGTATGGTAGAGAGCTGACAGTGGGTGTGGCCAGTATGGTAGAGAGCTGACAGTGTGTGTGGCCTGTATGGTAGAGAGCTGACAGTGTATGTGGCCAGTATGGTAGAGAGCTGACAGTGTGTGTGGCCTGTATGGTTGAGAGCTGACAGTGTGTGTGGCCTGTATGGTAGAGAGCTGACAGTGTGTGTAGCCAGTATGGTAGAGAGCTGACAGTGTGTGTGGCCTGTATGGTAGAGAGCTGACAGTGTGTGTGGCCAGTATGGTAGAGAGCTGACAGTGTGTGTGGCCAGTATGGTAGAGAGCTGACAGTGTGTGTGGCCTGTATGGTAGAGAGCTGACAGTGTATGTGGCCAGTATCATTGGGGGCTGATGGTGTGTGTGGCCTGTATGGTAGAGAGCTGACATTGTATGTGGCCTGTACGGTAGAGAGCTGACATTGTATGTGGCCTGTATGGTAGAGAGCTGACAGTGTATTTGGCCTGTATGGTAGAGAGCTGACAGTGTATTTGGCCAGTATGGTAGAGAGCTGACAGTGTGTGTGGCCTGTGTCATTGTGAGCTGACAGTGTATGTGGCCAGTATCATTGTGAGCTGACAGTGTATGTGGCCAGTATCATTGGGAGCTGACAGTGTGTGTGGCCTGTATCATTGTGAGCTGACAGTGTATGTGGCCAGTATCATTGGGAGCTGACAGTGTATGTGGCCTGTATGGTAGAGAGCTGACAGTGTGTGTGGCCAGCATCACTGTGAGCTGACAGTGTGTGTGGCCTGTATCATTGTGAGCTGACAGTGTATGTGGCCAGTATCATTGGGAGCTGACAGTGTATGTGGCCTGTATCATTGGGAGCTGACAGTGTGTGTGGCCTGTATCATTGGGAGCTGACAGTGTGTGTGGCCTGTATCATTGTGAGCTGACAGTGTATGTGGCCAGTATCATTGGGAGCTGACAGTGTATGTGGCCTGTATGGTAGAGAGCTGACAGTGTGTGTGGCCAGTATCATTGGGGGCTGACAGTGTATGTGGCCTGTATGGTAGAGAGCTGACAGTGTGTGTGGCCAGTATCATTGGGAGCTGACAGTGTGTGTGGCCTGTATGGTAGAGAGCTGACAGTGTGTGTGGCCTGTATGGTAGAGAGCTGACAGTGTGTGTAGCCAGTATGGTAGAGAGCTGACAGTGTGTGTGGCCAGTATGGTAGAGAGCTGACAGTGTGTGTGGCCAGTATCATTGGGGGCTGACAGTGTGTGTGGCCTGTATGGTAGAGAGCTGACAGTGTATGTGGCCAGTATGGTGGACACATTGCAGCAGACAGGGACACATTGCAGCAGACAGGGACACATTGCAGCAGACAGGGACACATTGCAGCAGACAGGGACATAGCAGCAGACAGGGACACATTGCAGCAGACAGGGACACATTGCAGCAGACAGGGACACATTGCAGCAGACAGGGACATTGCAGCAGACAGGGACACATTGCAGCAGACAGCGACATTGCAGCAGACAAGGACATTGCAGCAGACAGGGACACATTGCAGCAGACAGGGACACATTGCAGCAGACAGGGACACATTGCAGCAGACAGGGACATTGCAGCAGACAGGGACACATTGCAGCAGACAGGGACACATTGCAGCAGACAGGGACACATTGCAGGAGCCAGGGACACATTGCAGCAGACAGGGACATTGCAGCAGACAGGGACACATTGCAGCAGACAGGGACACATTGCAGCAGACAGGGACACATTGCAGCAGACAGCGACATTGCAGCAGACAAGGACATTGCAGCAGGCAGGGACACATTGCAGCAGGCAGGGACACATTGCAGCAGACAGGGACACATTGCAGCAGACAGGGACACATTGCAGCAGACAGGGACACATTGCAGCAGACAGGGACACATTGCAGCAGACAGGGACATTGCAGCAGGCAGGGACACATTGCAGCAGACAGGGACACATTGCAGCAGACAGGGACACATTGCAGCAGACAGGGACACATTGCAGCTGACAAGGACACATTGCAGCAGACAGGGACACATTGCAGCAGACAGGGATATTGCAGCAGACAGGGACACATGGCAGCAGACAGGGACATTGCAGTAGACAGGGACACATTGCAGCAGACAGGGACACATTGCAGCAGACAGGGACACATTGCAGTAGACAGGGACACATTGCAGTAGACAGGGACATTGCAGCAGCCAGGGACACATTGCAGCAGACAGGGACACATTGCAGCAGACAGGGACATTGCAGCAGACAGGGACACATTGCAGCAGACAGGGACACATTGCAGCAGACAGGGACACATTGCAGTAGACAGGGACATTGCAGGAGCCAGGGACACATTGCAGCAGACAGGGACACATTGCAGTAGACAGGGACATTGCAGCAGCCAGGGACACATTGCAGTAGACAGGGACATTGCAGGAGCCAGGGACACATTGCAGCAGACAGGGACACATTGCAGTAGACAGGGACATTGCAGCAGCCAGGGACACATTGCAGTAGACAGGGACACATTGCAGCAGACAGGGACACATTGCAGCAGACAGGGACACATTGCAGTAGACAGGGACACATTGCAGTAGACAGGGACATTGCAGCAGCCAGGGACACATTGCAGCAGACAGGGACACATTGCAGCAGACAGGGACATTGCAGCAGACAGGGACACATTGCAGCAGACAGGGACACATTGCAGCAGACAGGGACACATTGCAGTAGACAGGGACATTGCAGGAGCCAGGGACACATTGCAGCAGACAGGGACACATTGCAGTAGACAGGGACATTGCAGCAGCCAGGGACACATTGCAGTAGACAGGGACATTGCAGGAGCCAGGGACACATTGCAGCAGACAGGGACACATTGCAGTAGACAGGGACATTGCAGCAGCCAGGGACACATTGCAGTAGACAGGGACACATTGCAGCAGACAGGGACACATTGCAGCAGACAGGGACACATTGCAGTAGACAGGGACACATTGCAGTAGACAGGGACATTGCAGCAGCCAGGGACACATTGCAGCAGACAGGGACACATTGCAGTAGACAGGGACATTGCAGCAGACAGGGACACATTGCAGCAGACAGGGACACATTGCAGTAGACAGGGACATTGCAGGAGCCAGGGACACATTGCAGCAGACAGGGACACATTGCAGTAGACAGGGACATTGCAGCAGCCAGGGACACATTGCAGTAGACAGGGACATTGCAGGAGCCAGGGACACATTGCAGCAGACAGGGACACATTGCAGTAGACAGGGACATTGCAGCAGCCAGGGACACATTGCAGTAGACAGGGACACATTGCAGCAGACAGGGACACATGGCAGCAGACAGGGACATTGTGGCAGACAGTGACACATTGCAAGCTCCTGTGGAATCTACAGTGCAGTCCCCTTCACTAAGTTCACTCACTCATTCACTCAGGCATACATGCATCCATTATTTCAGCTACACAAAATCTAGACAAGACCAGCCTCTCCGAGAATCCAGGAAGGAGACAAAGAATGTGGAGATTCAAACCCCGAGTGATCCTGGTCTGAATTATCGCTGGAACCTGATGTCAAGTGGCCTGGCTATATCAGGCCCCAGCCTGGGACTTGGCTTCGTGGACCCCACACCTATAGCCTCCCATGTTGTCAGTGCAGACTCTCTAGAAGGTGGGTGACACACACAGCAGATAGTCAGTAGGATCACAGAGATTGCATCTTCCCGAGGCAAGAGAGTTAACTGACTTTAAAAGTTCAGTTTCCACCCTTGCCGAACTAGGCTGGAATTCCTGGGCTCTATCGTAGCGCCACCAGTGGCTATTACGAGTTATGTTCCTTCTGAGCCTCTCCTTTAGACCAATCAGATTCCACCTCTCGTATCACTTGCATTTGCTTGAAACAAAACAGTGGCGCCCACTCAAGACGATCTGATCGATAATCAAGGTCTATGTTGTGATAAAACGGGTCCTACATCATGCAATGCGTGAGCACCTTGATTAAAAACATGAAAAGATTTGGAAAATATCTGTTGACAATGAGTTTGCACGACAGTTTACGAACCGGATTCGATTTCGGTGCGTGATTTTGATTGGACTTTGCATAGACTCGTTAGTCCAGCCAAAATGTAACTCCATAATACCAGCCTAGTTCGGCAAGGGTGGAAACTGGACTTTTGTAGTCAGTTAACGCCCTTGCCTTGGGAAGATGAGAGATTGTTACATACAGTCAAACACTGTTGTGTTGAACTTTAATGTGTCGAACTTACGGTTGTCTTGATGTTACCGCTTTGTCCCTGCGTATTCCTTCTGTAGTCATTATTTTCGGTTGTGATGAACCTTGCATAACTCCAATTATTTACGTAGGTCCCTTCAACTTTGACACAACTGTGTCTGACTGTATATTGGTCTGATTCATATACAGAGGCTAAACGTTACCAAGCAATAGTACCAAGTGTTGCTGTGTGTTGTATGTTGGGTCTGAATTAAACATTCAGACATAAGCATCACTAGGACTGCTTCAGTTTTTTTATGCAAACATATCTATATATCTCCTGTAGCCATGACATCCTACAGCCCCTGTATAATGTCTGTATGTGCCCTGTAGCCATGACATCCTACAGCCCCTGTATGTCTGTATGTGCCCTGTAGCCATGACATCCTACAGCCCCTGTATAATGTCTGTATGTCCCCTGTAGACATGACATCCTACAGCCCCTGTATAATGTCTGTATGTGCCCTGTAGCCATGACATCCTACAGTCCCTGTATAATGTCTGTATGTCCCCTGTAGACATGACATCCTACAGCCCCTGTATGTCTGTATGTCCCCTGTAGCCATGACATCCTACAGCCCCTGTATAATGTCTGTATGTCCCCTGTAGCCATGACATCCTACAGCCATGACACCCTACAGCCCCTGTATAATGTCTGTATGTGCCCTGTAGCCATGACATCCTACAGCCCCTGTATAATGTCTGTATGTGTCCTGTAGCCATGACATCCTACAGCCCCTGTATAATGTCTGTATGTCCCCTGTAGGCATGACATCCTACAGCCCCTGTATAATGTCTGTATGTCCCCTGTAGGCATGACATCCTTCAGCCCCTGTATAATGTCTGTATGTCCCCTGTAGGCATGACATCCTACAGCCCCTGTATAATGTCTGTATGTGCCCTGTAGCCATGACATCCTACAGCCCCTGTATGTCTGTATGTGCCCTGTAGCCATGACATCCTACAGCCCCTGTATAATGTCTGTATGTCCCCTGTAGACATGACATCCTACAGCCCCTGTATAATGTCTGTATGTGCCCTGTAGCCATGACATCCTACAGTCCCTGTATAATGTCTGTATGTCCCCTGTAGACATGACATCCTACAGCCCCTGTATGTCTGTATGTCCCCTGTAGCCATGACATCCTACAGCCCCTGTATAATGTCTGTATGTCCCCTGTAGCCATGACATCCTACAGCCATGACACCCTACAGCCCCTGTATAATGTCTGTATGTGCCCTGTAGCCATGACATCCTACAGCCCCTGTATAATGTCTGTATGTGTCCTGTAGCCATGACATCCTACAGCCCCTGTATAATGTCTGTATGTCCCCTGTAGGCATGACATCCTACAGCCCCTGTATAATGTCTGTATGTCCCCTGTAGGCATGACATCCTTCAGCCCCTGTATAATGTCTGTATGTCCCCTGTAGGCATGACATCCTACAGCCCCTGTATAATGTCTGTATGTGCCCTGTAGCCATGACATCCTACAGCCCCTGTATAATGTCTGTATGTCCCCTGTAGGCATGACATCCTTCAGCCCCTGTATAATGTCTGTATGTCCCCTGTAGGCATGACATCCTACAGCCCCTGTTTAATGTCTGTATGTCCCCTGTAGCCATGAATCCTACAGCCCCTGTATAATGTCTGTATGTCCCCTGTAGGCATGACATCCTACAGCCCCTGTATGTTTGTATGTGCCCTGTAGACATGACATCCTACAGCCCCTGTATGTCTGTATGTCCCCTGTAGCCATGACATCCTACAGCCCCTGTATGTCTGTATGTCCCCTGTAGCCATGACATCCTACAGCCCCTGTATAATGTCTGTATGTCCCCTGTAGCCATGACATCCTACAGCCCCTGTATAATATGTCTGTATGTGCCCTGTAGCCATGACATCCTACAGCCCCTGTATGTCTGTATGTCCCCTGTAGCCATGACATCCTACAGCCCCTGTATAAAATGTCTGTATGTGCCCTGTAGCCATGACATCCTACAGCCCCTGTATAATGTCTGTATGTCCCCTGTAGCCATGACATCCTACAGCCCCTGTATAATATGTCTGTATGTGCCCTGTAGCCATGACATCCTACAGCCCCTGTATAATATGTCTGTATGTGCCCTGTAGCCATGACATCCTACAGCCCCTGTATGCTGGCGCTGCATGACCTGATGAAGCAGCAGCTTGCCCTGACACAGAACTTCCTGGAGACCCAGAGACGCATGTACGAGTCCTCCACCTCCATGCTGGAGGACAGCTATAAGTACACCACGCTAGAGGACACCCAGGAGGTGAGTGCGGGGAGTGAATGCTCTTTTACGCAGCAGTCAGCAATATTCACGTCCAAGTCTGGGTAAAGAAACTGTGGCGTCGTGAGCAAACATCCATGTGACCACCTGATCTTTAGTACTGATAGTTTGCTTGTACACACAGTGGCCCTACGGAACATACAGTGTGTAAGCCTCTTCCTTGTTTTAATATTGAAATCTCACCTTCCACTTCACAAGCAATGAAATGTATCTAGTCGTTTCCCCAGAAGCTTGTCTACCTACTAAGGTATGTTACAGTACAAGGTCAAGCCTGGAATACTAACTGGTGTGTCTTTACCTGATTTTCAATAGCAGTCAATGTGGTTGGTATAAGTGTAGTGTTGATTTTTCAGTATATTCGGAAACACCGCAAACCTAGGCTTACCTTCAAGAAAGCGCTGAAAATGGTATCAAGAGAAATGAACATGTGACAGGCCCAGCGACTGTAGATGGATACTTGCCTTCCTAGCAACAGGAGACCCACAGTAGAGCATCTGGATCAGTAGAGAAACCAGTTCAGATGTAGACCTGTACATACAAGCATTACATTCGTGGGACAGCTAAATGATAAGCTAGTCCTGTCAGAGTTGTCTCCCATTGTATGCTTAAACATGCAGAGAAACACAGACCCATAGCTGAGGGACATTAAGATCTTCGGGATGTAGCATTCGAGTTGCCTGGAGCATGGCCATGACTCAGGTTAGAAGCTGAATCAGCTGTACGTCCATCCCAAGGGGATCCTGCTGACAGAGGCTACATCTTGGCATGTGGAGAGCTGCACGATGGAGGAAGAGTCATCACACAAACTCAGCAGTTTGTTTACAAACCATCTAGACATTCTTTATGCAGAAGTACACACAAAGCATAAGTAGGACATTAGTTAAACTGGACAATGCCCCTTTGAACGATGTCCTGATTAATGAGGTTTAACTATTCAATCTGGTTCAGCTTGCATCAATTGGAGACTGCATCAACTCACTGTGACAGATGCCATGTCGCTCAATCCACGATATGTAGGTGTTTATTTTTGTATATTTTATCACATTCACTTGCATACAGTCCACGGAGTGATGAGTCCGTCCATTGACTATATTTTACTATCTTATTTATTGTACAGATATAATGTTAAAATAATCCATATCTGACTCAGTACTGCCTATAATAAACAAATAATAACTACTGAAATTTATTCTTTGTGTCTTGACCGTGACCGCATCCGTGGTCTAGTGGTAGAGCGTCCACCCGGAAAACGGAAGGTCCCGGGGTCGATCCCCGGCCGCGTCATACCAATTGACGTTAAAAGATGGTACTTCTTGTTACCCTGTCTGGCACTCGGCATTAAGGACAAGGACTGGTTGGCTCGGAGTCAGTATACTGTGTCTGAGTGGGGTATTCATGTTAAACTGCGGCATGGTATCTCAGTGCGCTAGCACTATAAATCGACACGTGCATGCATGTCTTGGTCGGGACGTTAAACCCCATTTCACCTGACCTGACCTGACCTGACTTTCTTCATGGTCTAGTGGAGAGAGCATCCACCTGGAGAGCGGGAGGCCAGGGGTAATATCCCCAGCTGCATCATCCCTAAAGACGTTAAAAGATGGTACCTATTGTTACTCTGCCTGGCCCTCATCATTAAGGGTCTAAAATAAGGACTGGTAGGCTCGGAGTCCGTATACTGTGTCTGAGTGAGGCATGATATATCAGTGGGCTAGCAACATAAAAATCGGCATTAGTGCTGACTGGTACAAGCAGCCACACACACATCCTTATATAAGTGCTACAATCTTGAACGCAACATTAAACCCCATTATATATATATATTCAGGGTTTAATAGATAAAAGTGATGCACAGATTGAAAGAACAGGCTGACTGACACAGATGCCTGTCTCTGCAGTACTATGGCATCTTGCTTGAAAGAAAGACATGAAATGCAGCAGTTTTAAAAAACAGTTTTTAATGTGTGCCAGCATAGGTCTCCATAGTAACATGTCATCATCACTTCAATATTCTACAATATGGTGTTTTCACAATGCACTTAAATACACAACTGTACAAGCAAATGATGAGTGGTTCCCACAAGAACAATACACAGTCGTTTATTACTCTCCATCTTCCCGAGGCAAGGGCGTTAACTGACTTAAAAAGTCCAGTTTCCACCCTTGCGGAACAAGGCTGGAAATTCCAGGCTATCACGAGTTGTGTCCTTTTATGTCCCTCCTATTGACCAATCAGATTCCATCTCTCATATCACTTGCATTTTATTCAAACAAAATGGCGGCACCCAGTCAAGACTATCTGATCGATAATCAAGATCTATATTGTTATATAATGGGTCTACCCCGTGAAGTGCATCAAATCACTTGAGCACCTTGATTAGAAACTGGATGTCTAGTTCATTACGCGACTTTGATTGGACTATGCATAGACTCGTTAGTCCAGCAAAAATGTAACTCCGGAATTCCAGCCTAGTTCGGCAAAGGTGGACACTGGACTTTGATAGTCAGTTAACTCCCTTGCCTCGGGAAGATGATTACTCTCCCAATAGGGGCGTATATACAAAATATCAACATGGTACCTCTGACCACACAAAACCTGCAGGCAAAAACGACTTGGGGATGGGTCTAATCAAGTCTTGCATTCAGCTGTGTTTTCCCCAATAGTGTAGGAGGTACGTATTTTATGGAAATCACATTAACTCTGATTGATGATGATGTGCAAGTCACCTAACACATAATCAACAGATATTTATTTGATGATTTTTTCTCTCAAAGTATTGCCTCTTAAAGGGCAAGTACACACGGAAATGAACCTATTTTTCTTGTACTTTTTCCACATTAAAAGTGTTAACCTAGAAGTGTCATAGACAAAAATATAAAAATATCACAATTAATTAACATATTTTTCCCATTAAAACGATTTATATTTTTCACATTTACCAAGTGTTCTATTTCCACAATAAAAACACCATGGCTTATGCCCCTTGCAATATGACGTCATTGGTGCCAATTGATAAACATTATGACGTCACTATGCTTTGTTAGAGCCGCTTCACGTGGTGTAGGTCCAGGTGTGTGATTCTAGCGTCTCAGATGCCAGCCAGCATAGTGTTATGCTGAGTCACCACTGCGCCGGAGTGTGTCGTAGGCCATGTTGTTTTACCGCAAACTGGTACTTGATATCTTTTGCGTTGAGAATAGACAGGGACCCAGTTGAATTGGCACCAATTACGTCATAATCTAAGGGGGATAACTCAGGCCTGTTTAGCTCGAAAAACGAAGGCCTCATAACTTCATGTCATTTTCACACTATTGTGAGCTTCCTACTTTCACTGTGAAAAAATGAGTGTATATTTTCAAACACAGATACTAATTAATTCTAAAATTGCGTTTTGTTTAGAAAAAGAGTGAGTGAGTGAATATTGCTTAACGCCGCATCAGCAATTAGAAAAAGAAAGAAAGTGGTTTTTGCGTGTACACTTCCCCTTTAAGGTTCATAATAAAAGATCCATGTTGGGGTTCTGATTCCTATCCAAATTACAACAACTAACTGTATCCTCCCCAGGAAGTTGAGAATGCAATTGAATCCATATACATTGTTAGAAATTAAAGGGAATCCTTTAGATTTGCTGCTATAGTATTCAAATTTAAGGACCACTAAATTTTCAACTTTCAGTTTGGGTTATGACAAGGGCCCCTCGACTTCCATGCTCAATTTCAAATGCTGTATATGGATACATTTACTGAGGCATAGCATCAAACACTGTCAACAAGTGCCTGTATCATGTTGTGGAGTCATTACGTTACACTTTAAATGTGGCCTATTCATACAAGACAATGTTTTGGTTTATTACATGGCACTAATTACGTGTAAACCTAGATTGGAAAAGGACTTGGATTATGGAGAAAGTCCCGACCCTATACAAGAGCCCTCATGAAAAATTTGACCCTCATGAATATCCTGTAATCTGATGAGACAAGAGTTATTTGTGAGAAGTGTTACCAGTATTGTCTCTGAAATTACAGCTGTTCTGGTCTGAACTCGTACGTTCATTTATACATATTTGTTCACATTTTGTTTTCATATTACTATGAGATACTCATCAAAAAGATTTCTCATCTTGTTTACATTAATAGAAAACTTGTGTGGTCTCACCCAGAGCCCTTAGTTCATGACAAACAACATTCATTCACACTTACAAAATACACCCAGAATTAATGGCAGTCATGTTACTGGATTAATGCCCATGTGACACTTGACTTGACTTTGCTGAATGATCAGCATGCCACTCTACATCATGTTCTAGTCCCGATACCCTCCACAGCTGATACTGCAGAAATAGTAATCCACTCATTTCACGTACAAATGTTACACAAAACGGGAAACTATTCTTTCAAAATTGTATTATATTGATTGTGTATGAAATTTGAAAAACATTTATGAAGTACATGTATATATATACTTACAGAAATATGTTTCCTAATAAACATGTAACTGAGATATTGAAAACACTATGACACATTTTGACATTTACACCGTTGACCCAAAAAAACCTTCCCCTAAAAATATCCTCACATCCACCATATTCTATAGAGTCACACAAACAATCGCAACTTCACCAAAAAACAAAGTCATCCAAAAAACTCAGCGTTAGGTACTTTACTTCAAGTGTTGTAAAAATGATCCTCTTGACTGAGGTTTGGACTAAATGACTGTCAACATCAAATCAAAGTTGAATACAGAGAAAAATAATATTCTGAGACCCAGTGGATCTGACATATTGAACCCTGGTTTCATTTAGTTCAAAATAACTCGGTTGGGTGGGATGGAAATGGTGATGGCAAAGAATGATTAGCAGAAAATTGAAATAAGTACCAACATCTCCCTCTGAGAAACAATCATTAATTCCACAATCAAAATGGCTTCTGAAAATATATCAACAAGGACACATTGCATTCGTTGCCTGTCCTTCCAACAGCCAAAACACTTTCAAACAACAATACCCATGAACTGCTATGAACAATATTGCTATGTCTAGGACCACTACGAAATACTGTGTACTTCTTTACCTTGTGTTTTGAAGAATATCTTTATAACCTTTGACCAGGCGAGAAAATATAACTACCTATAGTTGAAATGAACTGAGCAACAAAACAATGTCCCATACAGTCAGCTCTGTTACAGCTGTGTTAATTTCTACTAGGACTGGGACAGGTAACTCAGCTACTCGGGTCAGGTGGGTCCTAAGAACCCGTGTACCCACAGGACTACCCGGACCCGTGGTTAGTCATGTAATATAATGTTTGATAAGAAAAAATATCTAGAACTCTATGGTTACACTACAAGTCACTAATGTTCACATTTCTTTCTGACTTTTATAGGTTTGAATAAAGATAAAACTTCAGTCAACTTCAGTGTATGCATGACCAGATTACTATATACATGTATCTTAACACTTTTTGTCAGGGCTACAGTCAAACTATATTCCAATCAGACATTTTGTACCTATCTCTTGAGGCCTACAGTGGGTACTTGGGTGGGATAGGGTAAAAGGGGGGTCGATACCCGGGTAGTAAATTTAGACTTGTCCCAGCCCTAAGTTCTTAGCCCACAAGCACACAACATACTCAGTGCTAAGACTATTGTAGGTCTACAGAATGATAGGCATTTCAAGAGTCCTCACAATACATGGGAGCCTTCCAGGTCAAAGGGAGATAACTTAACCAGAGACTATGTACGAACACAAACCTCTCTACACTTCTACAGCATAACAGGACTGTAAGTTTCAAGCTACGTATATCATTACCTCATGAACACAGAAAATACTCAACATACAAACGACAACAAAATGTGCAGTTCTTTTCTGTCCAGATTCTTTTTAATAAATAAATGCAAATATGTTCCTCACTCACTCACTCATGCATACCCTCAGCTTTATTGTCAAACCCTTATTGGTGTTCCTGTGTTTGAATAATACCATGCTTTCTCAACATGCTCAACAAACAAATGGCAACTTTCAAATCTAATTAGTGGTCTGTCCATGGCCATTAAATGTAGGGTTACAAATGTATTTTCTTTGCCACAAGGCACTCCTAACAGTGTTTATATGTGCGCTCTGGAAAAGAAGCGTCACAACAAGAACACTACTTTGGATCCAAGTTTGACCTCGGTGAATCATTGGATGCCCTCATCCTTTCACTGCAACTGAAACCTTTTCGGTTTCTGAATCCCATCAATTATTATATGAATCTGCCAAATAAATATGTTCAATCGATTATTTTCCTTGTGATTATCCAGTTGACGTTCATGAAAGTACATTATCACTGGCTTCATATAATAAACATGTTTCTATGATTTAAAATTATTTTTTTTAAGTGTACCCTTTAGGCACCAAGGACTTATTTTACCATGCCATTAGAATTTTAAACTTCAATTGGCACAGTAATAAAGGAATATCAAAGCCTGAAACATGTTTTGGTTTATTGTTTCCTTCAAATGGGATAAAGTATCCACTGGGAATATGTTCAAGACATGGTATTGTTTGGGAAGCAGTTTTTAAGGCAAATAATTTCACTAAAATCAAATGTTTCACTGTGATATGATACCTTTCTGCGTGAAGATTTGAGGACACCACCAATAAAGGTTGCTGCAGAACCCTTTGAGGACATTGACTGATCCAGTCACAACAAAGGATGCATGGGTCCTGGAGCCAATCAGATGTCAGCTTATCAAATATTTCAGCTTCATTTCTTTAGCATCTCGATTTCGAAACCAACACAAAACACAAATATCCCCTCAACATTACACCCTTTTGGGCGTAGATTCTCTCCGATGCACTCATGGCACTCCGTAACAACAGGGTGTACAACATATCCACAACAATATAATAACATGACTAATTTGTAATCAGAGTTCCACGATTATATTCATTTTTCGTGATACAGAAAAAACGATATGCTTGTATGAATCTTTGCTCACTCATACCGAGAAGTTAGAAGCCTCGACACCAATGGGCAGATTAATAGAATGTTCACCTGATACAGCCATTTAGAGAGGTTTCCTCAGATCTTCACACAGAGAGGTATCGTAGCGGAGGAAAATATCTGGGCCTCGTTTCCCAAAACGATCATAGTGATGCGACTGTCGTAATTGTATGTTAAAGCAGAAGAGTTATGATAGTCATAGCCTTATTTTTTGTGAAACAGGATCCAGATTTGAATGAGGTTGGCCAAAACAAAAAATTCATACAGTCTTCAGAATCACACATTTGACAGTCATGCACCAGCCTCTCACCATGGCATAGGGTCAATAATGACACGATTGTCTTCAGTGTACTGGGATTAGATAAATATATGTTAAGGAAATCTGGGTGTTATGGTGTAGGAAAAGTGTCGTTTCCGTATTGTACAGATTCTCCCCTTCGCCTACCAAAAGTTAAGTCACTTCCTCTCTTACTGACACATGTCTGAGATTGTCATCTAGGTATAGGCAGCAGCTCAGGTTCCATCTGTTTAAAACAGAACCTCTGTTATCTGGAACTCTTCACTTTGGGACACAGCTGGGATGGAACCTCTACACAGTCATTCTTCAGGTAACCAACATACCTGCTAATGTGGACAATCTTGATCCAAAACGACCTGTCTGGATTTATCAGGTTCCACTGGACACGATGTAACCCTTAACACAAAGGTTATCAATTGTGAAGTGCAGGGATCCTAGTACATCAAATATGGTACCTCTTGTTTAGCATAGTATACACTATAGCCCTCCTGGAGCCCCACTTAACATGATACATGCCCCAAATTAAATATAGATATTTCAACAAGAACAGATAATTCATCAAACCACTTAGTATAAAATATACAACAGCAATGGGATGATGGGCCAACAAAGCTACATCCTCCTGGTTAAAGTAGCAGCACATCAGGAGATAACATGTTGGAAGTTTTACAGCTGAAGTTTTCACTGATGAACTCCGGTGACAGCAACACACAGGCCTGCAGCTATGTTCGGAGACATTTCTAGGACTGATTACTGGAATCAGAGAACCAATACAATTTTCAGTAAAGACAATGTTCAGTATGATAGCAATCAATACATCTCTGTGTGAAGATTTGACAAATCCTCCATTATCACATCATGTGAACACTCAGCAAGCCTTGACCTCCCAATGAAGGATGTGCAAGATATGTGATCCAAATCAGATGTCAGTTCTCTAACTATTCTTTTTCGTCATCACCTTCCTTTGTCAAATGCATTTGCCAAGGACTCTGAAATTTTGGCCTGTAGGAAATGAAACAACCAAATAAAATAAATAAATAAAAAAAATTAAAAAATGTTCAGTTGATAGAGCATCTTAAATGCATGGGGCTCTTTTATACCATATTCTCTACTCAGAATTGCCAACAATCATTTTTGAGATATAAAAATCAAACAAAACAAAATTTGAATGCTTCACCTTGTGTTCTGTAGAGGGCTGGTCAGATCTGCATACAGAGAGGTACTGAGACTCAATGCCAATGACATACTAACAAGAATGCTTCCATGTCTATTGGGATTTCAGCCCATACTAAACCTGATCCTTGGTGGATGTATTCTGCACTCATCACTGAGAGATTAAGGCAAAAGGAAGTTTCCCTTACTCTGCTTATCCTTCCTAAAGCCATGCAAAGACTTCATGGATATTTCATATTTCACTATGCCAACAAAAATAATTTCAGTCATTTCATGTAATCAAGATTTTGCAGTTTGTGAACGTCAGTGTCAAGCTTGAAATACATCCATATGTAACTGACAGGCATCAATCAATCTGTGTGTAGACAAGCATACCAAGTTGACCAGACTTGCAACAACATGGAACATTTACAATGGCAGCCAGCTAATGAATTCTTCAAAGTTCAGGACACAACAACAAATGTCCTAGGACATTCATGTCCTATTTTCAGCACAATAATTTTTGTTATACAATCTTACTATCAATTCAATACCAAACAGTTGAATTTGGCGCTCAATTTTCTTTGTTTGTAAATTCAAATTTCACATCCGTCTTATTTCATCACCAACATGAAATGTTGCCATCCAAGAACAGAACAAAACATCAAGTTTTTCATTATAATTTTTGCTTCAGAAAAAACTGTCTTCCATGTGTGAGAGTCTGGGACATAGTAACATCAGCAACATCAGCAACATCAGAGCTCTCACTCAGTCCAATGAAAACATCCTTGCACTTCCCCGGCAACCCATCAATGACAGAGCGTTACGACTTCTCCTCCAGAATAAGAGTTTCTTGTGGAAACAGTTTGGCTTCTTGTAATGACATGTTAAGATCTAGCTGGGTAATCTGTCAATAACAAAATAATTATTCTCTCTTACAAAAAGAAATTTGGCAATTGATGAATAAAGTATGTGTGAATGAATATTGTCTTATGTACAGGGGACATATTCTGACTCTCACAGAGGTAAGGTCTTAGGACAAACATGGGGAATAGAGGACCTTTTTGAGCAACACAGAGGTAAGGTATAAGGACAAGCATGGGGTACAGAGGACCTATTAGAGCCACACAGAGGTAAGGACTAAGGACAAGCATGGGGTACAGAGGACCTATTTGAGCAGCACAGAGGTAAGGTCTTAGGACAATCATGGGGTACAGAGGACCTATTTGAGCAGCACAGAGGTAAGGTCTTAGGACAAGCATGGGGTACAGAGAACCTATTTGAGCAGCACAGAGGTAAGGTCTTAGGACAATCATGGGGTACAGAGAACCTATTTGAGCCCCATAGAGGTAAGGTCTTAGGACAATCATGGGGTACAGAGGACCTATTTGAGCAACACAGAGGTAAGGTCTAAGGACAATCATGGGGTACAGAGGACCTATTTGAGCCACACAGAGGTAAGATCTTAGGACAATCATGGGGTACAGAGGACCTATTTGAGCCCCATAGAGGTAAGGTCTTAGGACAATCATGGGGTACAGAGGACCCATTTGAGCCACACAGAGGTAAGGTCTTAGGACAATCATGGGGTACAGAGGACCTATTTGAGCCACACAGAGGTAAGGTCTTAGGACAATCATGGGGTACAGAGGACCTATTTGAGCAATCATTGGGTACAGAGGACCTATTTGAGCCCCATAGAGGTAAGGTCTTAGGACAATCATTGGGAACAGAGGACCTATTTGGGCCACATAGAGATAAGGTCTTATGACAATCATGGGGTACAGATGATCTATTTTGAGCCCAGGAGTGGTAAGGTCTTACTCTAAGGGCAAGCATGGGGTACAGAGAACCTATTCTGTCTGGAATCCCTATTGGGGCTCCTACAAGGGGCCTGAAGGAAACGACTACCCTTTGGGTGACAAGGACTGGGGAGGATTTATATCAATGCAATAACTTCCATCATAAATACATACATAACATCTTTATATCAAAATGGAACATCTAGCTTGTCATTTCAAACAGTGAAGCTCTCACCTCTTGGACCAATGCAACAAATATCAAACTGATTACAGTGTAGAAGTGCTATTTATAAAATATACGATGAGTTGTTTATCGTACAATAAAGAATAAACCATGAGGGGTGCAGCCCTGAGTGGTTTATTCTTCCTCCAGTGTTTTGTTGAACGATTAATAACGATCATGAGTCATGTAGCATACAAGCTTCAAAGATATTTACCCATATTTAAATAATGATGACTCTCTGAATAGAATCAAACCATGGCAATGCCGGACAAGTACATTTTATGAAATTTTGGTCTCTCCTGCATATTCTCACAATTTGCACGTCGATTATCTGTACCTTTTCTCCCAATACCGATTGTCATATCTCTCAAACATTCGTTCAGCATTTGCAATTATCTACATTGGCCAGCTACATCTACAGGGAACAACTCATTAAACACTTCCCTCTAAAAAAATAACTTTGTCCAATTTATGATGTCATCAAGTTGTGAGCACGTGTTCAAAATTCCAGAAATGACGTCATGATAGAACAATGTTTTATAGTGAAATAAACAACACTTCGTTCTTCATTGTTCTTTGTGATTTATCGTGTAGTTACCGTATTCGACGTAATAAGCGCCTCGCTCTAATAAGTGCCCACGGCGATATTTACTAATATATTGGCCAGTGAATAATCCCAATTAGCACCCTTTTCGATTGATCAATGTACACAAGACTTATTTATTCGTGTTTAATATGCACTCATGTATTATGTGCACACTTAATTATGGGCAATTAAATTCTGGAAAAATATATCTGTCGTGCATAAACATTTCAGGCTGTCAGCATAAACCACGATATTTATCTTTCAACTCTTTTTTTCACTAAAATATTATTCCAATAAGAGCCCTATTTCTAATTTGGAGAGCGTCCTGGGCGCTTATTACGTCGAATACGGTATGTTATATACCCTATACAGCATGTATACTCACATCTCTCCTAGGGAAAGTAGATAGCACCTTGTACTCCTCTGTGTGGAACCCTTTGGTTGTCAGATAATGTAGAAGTGTCTGCACTGTCTCGGTTGCCAGAAAGCGTCGAGTCGTCACCTCGCCAGTCGGGAGACGGAAACGTATCCGACTGACAGGATTCTTACAGCTTGTGGGAGGTTCATCTGGTAATGACTTTAATAAGGAAGCCTGGATTGCCTACAATATTGTAAAAGAACTGTGATAGGTAGATGTACAAAGTGATTGTATCCACCCCCTAATATTGTGATGTGTTTAATTCAATGTCCTTCCACTAACTAGTACACCTATTATGGACCAGAGCAAGTGAATGGTGTATGTTGTCCTGCATCTCAGTCAGCAATATTACACCTATATATATTACTGAACAAGTCCCTGCTTACACTCATCAGGTAAGTTTGAAAAATACAAGTTGTAAGAAACACGGTATCTAACAGGGACAAATGTATTTATTTAAATATTACTCAAAAACTTTGCACTTTACTAAAATACAATGTTTGAAAAAATGAAATTTTTAATACAAGGATGGAGCATGAATATAACATTTGTAGCTGATTCATTATAAGATACGATAATATGCCAATTAAAAAAATCACATTGATAATAGCATTTATATACAAAAACATCATCAAGTCAGAAACATCTGCATTCAACTGAAAATCTAGCTTCAACCTCGTTTTAGTTTAAGTGAGGGGAGCCCACAAGATGATTGACTCATTGTTGTTGGTTGGCTGGTTTTTGGTTGTTTAACGCCGCACTTAGCAATATTCCAGCTATATGACGGCGGTCTGTAAATAATTGAGTCTGGACCAGACAATCCAGTGATTAATATCATGAGCATCGATCCACACAATTGGGATCGATGACATGCATCAACCAAGTCAGCGAGCCTGACCAACCGATCCCGTTAGTCGCCTCTTACGACAAGCATAGTCGCCTTTTACGGCAAGCATGGGTTGCTGAAGACCTATTCTACCCCGGATCTTCACGGGTCGATTGACTCATTGAGTCCGGTCATATTGACTATGTAATTTCATACAAGTCAGCAGCTGGTTTATGTGTTATGATATTGGTTGCAACCTATAGCCAAGCTACACCTGTTCAGTTTAGGGGCATGAAAGATTCAAGACACAAGATTGCAACAGTTGAAATGATGAAGACCTGTCCACTTGGTCCAAGTTGGCATTACTCTCATTTAGAACCTGAAGTTCAAGGTCAATGTTTTGTTGTAAGTGATGCTCTGAATTTTAATAATACCACAATGCTTGCACAACTAAAAAATAAAAGTGGCAGTCTGTATACACTCTCTATTTCAAATGTATTTGTTCGCAAGTCCTTCAACTACAAACACTAAAAGACTTGATATATTCAAGTTAAATATATCAATAAGACAGTTTTAAGAAGCCTGTTGAGTGTGCCTACATGCACCTTATGTGTTTTGTGACACAGTGGTGTCTATCAGGAGCAGATTATCCGTCGTGGAGTAGAGTAGATGTTGCAGAGTACAGTTGCACAGTGCTAATGACACTCTCATTCGAATGACCAAATGTTGCAAATTATAATCCTGCTGCATGTGATGTTATTAAACACTATTTAAACAAGGGTCATAAGGAGATGCCACATAGTCTGGAGCTTGGAGTTTGGCTACTCATACCCCACTTTTGATTCATTGCCATTGGATACCTTCAGTTCAGTAAGAAAACATAATGTTGTTCAGTATTTTTCAATAACCCAAATCATCAAAAGGCACCAGTTCACCACTAGACTGATCTGCATAGCAAGTTCTTCCAGAAATATTCAATGGTTTTGGAGTTTTGCTCTGGAAACTGCCCTCATTTTCAGTAAAGTTCAATTTTTAAACATGAAAATAAAAAAACGAAAAAAAACCAATCCCATATCATTAAAAGGCAAGAGTTTACGACAACACTTATCTATAGAGGAAGTTTCAACAAGACGTATACAATAGTTTAGGAGTTCTGCACTGGCAACGAAATAAATGGCGGAGGACGGACAAGCTGATCACAAGGGTTAACTATTGTATGACATTGAGATATGAACCAGTGAGATATGACTCATATCTACACAATGAATTGAAGAGTCTTCTCCTGATTCTCCTGATTCTTCCGATCCAGCCTAAAGCCTTTGAATGGAGCCTGAGCCAGATACAATAATGGCTGATAGCAAATCAAAAGTCCACTCTTTTTAGACATGATGGGGTTCATGGTCAGCCTAGAAACATGTTGTATCCATTTTAGTTGGCTCTGAAGACAAGTATGAAGTCCTGGAGATTTATTCTTTGGTAGACACAAGAAACCACAGTACACTGGGGACTTTCATGAGGAACTGGAACCCTGGCAGTTAAATAGGTGTCCTTACACCAACCAACCTGTCAGTGTCAGTAATATAATCAAGAGAAGAATGTGTTTGGCTGGAAACTGTATGAGTGTGGTCCACATGGACTATGTGTACCTCTTTCACAGCTAGCTCCTCCTGCTTCTTCTGCTCCTCCACCATCTGTGCCTGCATCTCCTTCTCCTGCTCCGCCATCAGACGCTCCTTCTCCACCTTCTGGGCCTCCGCCTGTAACAGCAGCTGGGCAGTCAGGTAACATGGACACAGGTGACACAACAGTCAGTCAGTCAGGTAACATGGACACAGGTAACACAGCAGCCAGTCAGTCAGGTAACATGGATAACACAGCAGTCCGTCAGTCAGGTAACATGGACACATGTAACACAGCAGCCAGTCAGTCAGGTAACATGGACACAGGTAACACAACAGTCAGTTAGGTAACATGGACACAGGTAACACAGCAGTCAGTTAACATGGACACAGGTAACACAACAGTCAGTTAGGTAACATGGACACAGGTAACACAGCAGCCAGTCAGTCAGGTAACATGGACACAGGTAACACAACAGTCAGTTAGGTAACATGGACACCTGTAACACAGCAGCCAGTCAGTCAGGTAACATGGACACAGGTAACACAGCAGTCAGTCAGGTAACATGGACACAGGTAACACAGCAGCCAGTCAGTCTGGTAACATGGACACAGGAACATTACAGTCAGTCAGTCAGGTAACATGGACACAGGTAACACAGCAGCCAGTCAGTCAGGTAACATGGACACAGGTAACACAGCAGTCAGTGAGGTAACATGGACACATATAACATGGCCATCAGTCAGGCAGGTAAATGGACACAGGTAACATGGCAGTCAGTCAGGTAACATGGACACCTGTAACACAAGTCAGACAGTTAATCAGGTAACATGGACACAGGTATTACAGTAATTGGTCAGTCATGTAACGAGCACAGGTAACACAGCAGTCAGTCAGGTAGGTAACATGGACACTGGTAACACAGCAGTCCGTCAGTCAGGTAACATGGACACTGGTAACACAGCAGTCAGTCAGGTAACCTGAACACTGGTAACACAGCAGTTAGTCAGTCAGGTAACATGGACACTGGTAACACAGCAGTCAGTCAGTCAGGTAACCTGAACACTGGTAACACAGCAGTTAGTCAGTCAGGTAACATGGACACTGGTAACACAGCAGTCAGTCAGTCAGGTAACCTGAACACTGGTAACACAGCAGTTAGTCAGTCAGGTAACATGGACACTGGTAACACAACAGTCAGTCAGTCAGGTAGGTAACATGGACACTGGTAACACAGCAGTCAGTCAGGTAGGTAACATGGACACTGGTAATACAGCAGTCATTCAGTCAGTCAGGCAGGTAACATGGACACAGGTAACACAGCAGTTAGTCAGGTAACATGGACACTGGTAACACAGCAGTTAGTCAGTAAGGCAGGTAACATGGACACAGGTAACACAGCAGTTTGTCAGTCAGGTAACATGGACACTGGTAACACAGCAGTCAGTCAGTCAGGCAGGTAACATGGACACAGGTAACACAGCAGTCCGTCAGTCAGGCAGGTAATATGGACACTGGTAAGACAACAGTCAACCAGTCAGTCAGTCAGTCAGTCAGGTAACATGGACACAGGTAACACAGCAGTCCGTCAGTCAGGCAGGTAACATGGACACAGGTAACACAGCAGTCCGTCAGTCAGGCAGGTAACATGGACACAGGTAACACAGCAGTCAACCAGTCAGTCAGTCAGGTAACATGGACACAGATAACACAGCAGTCAGTCAGTCAGGTAACATGGACACAGGTAAAACAGCAGTCAGTCAGTCAGGTAACATGGACACATGTAACACAGCAGTCTGTCAGGTAACATGGACACATGTAACACAGCAGCCAGTCAGTCAGGTAACATGGACACAGGTAACACAACAGTCAACCAGTCAGTCAGTCAGGTAACAGGAACACAGGTAACACAGCAGTCAGTCAGTCAATCAGTCAGTCAGTCAGGTAGGTAACATGGATAACACAGCAGTCAGTTAGGTAACATAGACACAGGTAACACAGCAGTCAGTCAATCAGTCAGTCAGTCAGGTAGGTAACATGGACACAGGTAACACAGCAGTTAGTCAGTCAGGTAACATGGATAACACAGCAGTCAGTTAGGTAACATAGACACAGGTAACACAGCAGTCAGTCAATCAGTCAGTCAGTCAGTCAGGTAGGTAACATGGACACAGGTAACACAGCAGTCCGTCAGTCAGGTAACATGGATAACACAGCAGTCAGTTAGGTAACATGGACACAGGTAACACAGCAGTCAGTCAGGTAACATGGACACAGGTAACACAGCAGTCCATCAGTCAGGTAACAATGATAACACAGCAGTCCATCAGTCAGGTAACATGGATAACACAGCAGTCAGTTAGGTAACATGGACACAGGTAACACAGCAGTCAGTCAGGCAGGTAACATGGACACTGGTAACACAGCAGTCAGTCAGTCAGGCAGGTAACATGGACACAGGTAACACAGCAGTCCGTCAGTCAGGCAGGTAAAATGGACACTGGTAAGACAACAGTCAACCAGTCAGTCAGTCAGTCAGGTAACATGGACACAGGTAACACAGCAGTCCGTCAGTCAGGCAGGTAACATGGACACAGGTAACACAGCAGTCAGTCAGGTAGGAAACATGGACACTGGTAACACAGCAGTCAGTCAGGTAGGTAACATGGACACTGGTAACACAGCAGTCAGTCAGGCAGGTAACATGGACACAGGTAACACAACAGTCAACCAGTCAGTCAGTCAGGTAACATGGACACAGATAACACAGCAGTCAGTCAGTCAGGTAACATGGACACAGGTAACACAGCAGTCAGTCAGTCAGGTAACATGGACACAGGTAACACAACAGTCAACCAGTCAGTCAGTCAGGTAACAGGAACACAGGTAACACAGCAGTCAGTCAGTCAATCAGTCAGTCAGTCAGGTAGGTAACATGGATAACACAGCAGTCAGTTAGGTAACATAGACACAGGTAACACAGCAGTCAGTCAATCAGTCAGTCAGTCAGGTAGGTAACATGGACACAGGTAACACAGCAGTTAGTCAGTCAGGTAACATGGACACTGGTAACACAGCAGTCAGTCAGTCAGGCAGGTAACATGGACACAGGTAACACAGCAGTCAGTCAGTCAGGCAGGTAACATGGACACAGGTAACACAGCAGTCAGTCAGGCAGGTAACATGGACACAGGTAACACAGCAGTCAGTGAGTCAGGTAACATGGACACAGGTAAGACAACAGTCAACCAGTCAGTCAGTCAGTCAGGTAACATGGACACAGGTAACACAGCAGTCAGTCAGTCAGGCAGGTAACATGGACACAGGTAACACAGCAGTCCGTCAGTCAGGCAGGTAACATGGACACGGGTAACACAGCAGTTAGTCAGTCAGTTAGGTAGCATGGACACAGGTAACACAGCAGTCAGTCAGGTAGCATGGACACAGGTAACACAGCAGTCAGTCAGGTAGCATGGACACAGGTAACACAGCAGTCAGTCAGGTAACATGGACACAGGTAACACAGCAGTCAGTCAGTCAGTCAGGTAGCATGGACACAGGTAACACAGCAGTCAGTGAGGTAACATGGACACATATAACATGGCCATCAGTCAGGCAGGTAAATGGACACAGGTAACATGGCAGTCAGTCAGGTAACATGGACACCTGTAACACAAGTCAGACAGTTAATCAGGTAACATGGACACAGGTATTACAGTAATTGGTCAGTCATGTAACGAGCACAGGTAACACAGCAGTCAGTCAGGTAGGTAACATGGACACTGGTAACACAGCAGTCCGTCAGTCAGGTAACATGGACACTGGTAACACAGCAGTCAGTCAGGTAACCTGAACACTGGTAACACAGCAGTTAGTCAGTCAGGTAACATGGACACTGGTAACACAGCAGTCAGTCAGTCAGGTAACCTGAACACTGGTAACACAGCAGTTAGTCAGTCAGGTAACCTGAACACTGGTAACACAGCAGTCAGTCAGTCAGGTAACCTGAACACTGGTAACACAGCAGTTAGTCAGTCAGGTAACCTGAACACTGGTAACACAGCAGTCAGTCAGTCAGGTAACCTGAACACTGGTAACACAGCAGTTAGTCAGTCAGGTAACATGGACACTGGTAACACAACAGTCAGTCAGTCAGGTAGGTAACATGGACACTGGTAACACAGCAGTCAGTCAGGTAGGTAACACAGCAGTCCGTAATACAGCAGTCAGTCAGTCAGTCAGGCAGGTAACATGGACACAGGTAACACAGCAGTTAGTCAGTCAGGTAACATGGACACTGGTAACACAGCAGTTAGTCAGTAAGGCAGGTAACATGGACACAGGTAACACAGCAGTTTGTCAGTCAGGTAACATGGACACTGGTAACACAGCAGTCAGTCAGTCAGGCAGGTAACATGGACACAGGTAACACAGCAGTCCGTCAGTCAGGCAGGTAACATGGACACTGGTAAGACAACAGTCAACCAGTCAGTCAGTCAGTCAGGTAACATGGACACAGGTAACACAGCAGTCCGTCAGTCAGGCAGGTAACATGGACACAGGCAACACAGCAGTCCGTCAGTCAGGCAGGTAACATGGACACAGGTAACACAGCAGTCAGTCAGGTAGGAAACATGGACACTGGTAACACAGCAGTCAGTCAGGTAGGTAACATGGACACTGGTAACACAGCAGTCAGTCAGGCAGGTAACATGGACACAGGTAACACAACAGTCAACCAGTCAGTCAGTCAGGTAACATGGACACAGGTAACACAGCAGTCAGTCAGTCAGGTAACATGGACACAGGTAAAACAGCAGTCAGTCAGTCAGGTAACATGGACACATGTAACACAGCAGTCAGTCAGGTAACATGGACACATGTAACACAGCAGCCAGTCAGTCAGGTAACATGGACACAGGTAACACAACAGTCAACCAGTCAGTCAGTCAGGTAACAGGAACACAGGTAACACAGCAGTCAGTCAGTCAATCAGTCAGTCAGTCAGGTAGGTAACATGGATAACACAGCAGTCAGTTAGGTAACATAGACACAGGTAACACAGCAGTCAGTCAATCAGTCAGTCAGTCAGGTAGGTAACATGGACACAGGTAACACAGCAGTCCGTCAGTCAGGTAACATGGATAACACAGCAGTCAGTTAGGTAACATGGACACAGGTAACACAGCAGTCAGTCAATCAGTCAGTCAGTCAGGTAGGTAACATGGACACAGGTAACACAGCAGTCCGTCAGTCAGGTAACATGGATAACACAGCAGTCAGTTAGGTAACATGGACACAGGTAACACAGCAGTCAGTCAGGTAACATGGACACAGGTAACACAGCAGTCCATCAGTCAGGTAACAATGATAACACAGCAGTCCATCAGTCAGGTAACATGGATAACACAGCAGTCAGTTAGGTAACATGGACACAGGTAACACAGCAGTCAGTCAGGCAGGTAACATGGACACTTGTAACACAGCAGTCAGTCAGTCAGTCAGTCAGTCAGCTAAATGGACAATGTGTATCTAACACTCTTCTAATTGAGAACATCTCGGCAGTTGACAAAATGTTTTTGTGCATGTACACAAAATACGTGGATATCAATAGTACAATATTTGCCTGTCTGTGCACTTTGGCCTAGAGCACCTGCTCAATGTGAATGAACTTGGCAACACAGGGGAAGCAACTCTTTCAGGCGTATTAGGAAATGTATACAAATGCTGGGCAATACATAGGGATGCTCTTCTCAAACAACTGGTGGCCCATTCGACTGTCATTATCAAATAAAGTCGACTGGTCGCTTTTTTTCTGTTAAAAAGATAAAACATGATAAATACACTTTGAACCATGTAAGTTAGTGCACATCACATATCGGACAATTGTAATGCTTTGAACAATGGGGGTGGTGGTTATTCAGCTGAAGTACTTGTAGCTGCACAGGCTTTCCAAGTACTGATGGATGGGACAAGACTTCTTGCACGTTCAAAATAAGCCAAATGGTGACAAATAAAGCACAAGTGTAGATATTTGGGATGTTTTCAATGTGTTCAAGCCTAATCATACTGGTATTAGTGTTGTGGAGACCCGTACTGCTTCTCACCTTGGCCCTGTCAGCAGCTAATGATTCTTGATACGCCTCATCCTGCTCTAGTTTGATTTGTTCTCTCGCCTCTCTCTCACGCTGAAACAACCAGCATTGTTATACCTCTATTAAAATCTTGCAATTCCATTGGTTAATCTGTACCAAGTGACGAAACAATACATTCTCAGTAGACCCTGAAATCAAGGGATTGACACTGCCCTCGAATATAGACTCGTCACATGATAAGTATTGACCTGTCATGTGAGCAAGGAAACAAGATTGCGTCTGGTACGAACATTTCATGGTTTGCAGCTAAGTTACTGTAATGAAACAGAGGACAACTTAAACATTTCATAAACTTTAAAGTGAATTACAGTATAAAAAAATGAATGATTACTCTTGAGAAGGTAAATATGCGAATACTAGAACCCTTGGACCCAACCCCAAGGTTGTCTGACCGAACAGAGTCCGCAGGCTGATGTCTGGTCAGACTGCCGAAAGGGTCAAGGTCTTGGGGTCTTGATGAGGTCAATATGCGAAAAAATGGACCCTTGAGCCCAACCTCAAGGGAGTCGGGTCCTAGGGTCCTTGTTTATGCATATTGACCTCTTCAAGAGTAATTACTTGTATTTTGTATTCTTTATAACCAAATCTAATTGTTGGTTCTTCTCTTGTTATCTAGCAAGACAGACTTTACATTGAAATCTCATCCAACAGATTATCATTAAATGACTTAGGGACTGACCATTTGATATTCTGGGGGAGGCCTGGAATTTTGAAGCTGCAGCAACAAAACCAGATATTTTTTCGCTTTACACTATGAGCTTGAATATTTTGTAAAGAAAAAAACCCATTGCAACAATGTAACTTTTGTGGCAAGCAATTTATTTGTTTTACAACACTCTGAAGCAGAAATATTATTTTCCAGGCTTTTGGGGGACAATTTCTTTTTTTCAATAAAATCCAAGACCCCCCACCTCCCCCAATATCAAATGGTCAATCCCTTATGACATAAAAACAATATGTGTAAGGTCTCCGTATAATCCTTGTCTACTCTATGGTCAACTATCTCCATCAGCACTCTGCTTGTATAGGTAACAAGGGTGAATTAACCATATCTACTCTATGGTCCACTATCTCCATCAGCACTCTGCTTGTATAGGTAACAAGGGTGAACTAACCATATCTACTCTATGGTCCACTATCTCCATCAGCACTCTGCTTGTATATGTAACAAGGGTGAACTAACCATATCTACTCTATGGTCCACTATCTCCATCAGCACTCTGCTTGTATAGGTAACAAGGGTGAACTAACCATATCTACTCTATGGTCCACTATCTCCATCAGCACTCTGCTTGTATAGGTAACAAGGGTGAACTAACCATATCTACTCTATGGTCCAATATCTCCATCAGCACTCTGCTTGTATAGGTAACAAGGGTGAACTAACCATATCTACTCTATGGTCCACTATCTCCATCAGCACTCTGCTTGTATAGGTAACAAGGGTGAACTAACCATATCTACTCTATGGTCCACTATCTCCATCAGCACTCTGCTTGTATAGGTAACAAGGGTGAACTAACCATATCTACTCTATGGTCCACTATCTCCATCAGCACTCTGCTTGTATAGGTAACAAGGGTGAACTAACCATATCTACTCTATGGTCCACTATCTCCATCAGCACTCTGCTTGTATAGGTAACGAGGGTGAACTAACCATATCTACTCTATGGTCCACTATCTCCATCAGCACTCTGCTTGTATAGGTAACGAGGGTGAACTAACCATATCTACTCTATGGTCCACTATCTCCATCAGCACTCTGCTTGTATAGGTAACGAGGGTGAACTAACCATATCTACTCTATGGTCCACTATCTCCATCAGCACTCTGCTTGTATAGGTAACGAGGGTGAACTAACCATATCTACTCTATGGTCCACTATCTCCATCAGCACTCTGCTTGTATAGGTAACGAGGGTGAACTAACCATATCTACTCTATGGTCCACTATCTCCATCAGCACTCTGCTTGTATAGGTAACAAGGGTGAACTAACCATATCTACTCTATGGTCCACTATCTCCATCAGCACTCTGCTTGTATAGGTAACAAGGGTGAACTAACCATATCTACTCTATGGTCCACTATCTCCATCAGCACTCTGCTTGTATAGGTAACAAGGGTGAACTAACCATATCTACTCTATGGTCCACTATCTCCATCAGCACTCTGCTTGTATAGGTAACAAGGGTGAACTAACCATATCTACTCTATGGTCCACTATCTCCATCAGCACTCTGCTTGTACAGGCTTGTACGAGGGTGAACTCATCACGTAGCTGATGGTTACTAGGATTTAGAGAAGTTTTATTGTAATGGATATAAAACACTTACCTCTTCTAACATGTCAGCTTGTTGCTGTTCTGTGAACACTTCTACTGAATGTATTAACCTTGTCATAAGTTCATCTAGTGTTACATGGCCTGGGAAGGAAAACAACAAGATACCATTTACTGTCAGTGGACAGGATGTCATGGCACAAAGATATTTCATATATTAACCTGTGCCAAAATCTCTCTACTGTAGATCATAATGTCATGTCTGGACTAATACCAGCTTAGCTTACTAGACCAAACAATTTTACTAGACTTGGGCTTCAGACTAGTGGCTAAATATTCATACTGACATACTGTATGGAATTGAATTTCATCTTAATTTCATAGGAGCAGAATTCATTTTACCAACAACAATAAAATATACACAGATATTAGAGGGTGAATGTTGTTTTAATATATGATGATACACAAACATCCCAGCCACATGTTGTAACCATCCAAACCTCATGAAACAGCTCTTACACAATGCAGGACTTACTGGGGTCCCATTCTGTCCCAGAATCCTGATGGGAAGACAAACATGGAATACTGGGAACTACCCCCACCATCCCTCCCACCATTCCTAAGGGGAGACAAACATGGAATACTGGGAACTACCCCCACCATCCCTCCCACCATTCCTAAGGGGAGACAAACATGGGATACTGGGAACTACCCCCACCATCCCTCCCACCATTCCAAAGGGGAGACAAACATGGGATAGTGGGAACTACCCCTACCATCCCTCCCACTATTCCTCAGGGGAGACAAACATGGGATAGTGGGAACTACCCCTACCATCCCTCCCACTATTCCTCAGGGGAGACAAACATGGGATACTGGGAACTACCCCCACCATTCCTCAGGGGAGACAAACATGGGAAACTGGGAACTACCCCCACCTTCCATCCCACCATTCTTCAGGGGAGACAAACATGGGATACTGGGAACTACCCAAAACCATCCCTCCCACCATTCCTCATGGGTAAACAAGCATGGGATACTGAGAACCTATTCTCCCACCCCTCCCACCATTCCCCATGGGTAAACAAGTAAACAAGCATGGGATACTGAGAACCTATTCACCCATCCCTCCCACCATTCACCTGGGGTAAACAAGAATGGGATACTGAGAACCTATTCTCCTACCCCTCCCACCATTCCCCATGGGTAAACAAGTAAACAAGCATGGGATACTGAGAACCTATTCTCCCACCATTCCCCATGGGTAAACAAGTAAACAAGCATGGGATACTGAGAACCTATTCACCCATCCCTCCCACCATTCCCCGGGGGGTAAACAAACATGGGATGCTGAGAACCTATTCACCTATCCCCCCCACTATTCCCCATGGGTAAACAAGTAAACAAGCATGGGATACTGAGAACCTATTCTCCAACCCCTCCCACCATTCCCCTGGGGTAAACAAGCATGGGATACTGAGAACCTGTTCACCTATCCCTCCCACCATTCCCCCATGGGTAAACAAGTAAACAAGCATGGGATACTGAGAACCTATTCACCCATCCCTCCCACCATTCCCCATGGGTAAACAAGTAAATAAGCATGGGTTACTGAGAACCTATTCATCCATCCCTCCCACCATTCCCCTGGGGTAAACAAGCATGGGATACTGAGAACCTATTCTCCTACCCCTCCCACCATTCCCCATGGGTAAACAAGTAAACAAGCATGGGATACTGAGAACCTATTCACCCATCCCTCCCACCATTCCCCATGGGTAAACAAGTAAACAAGCATGGGATACTGAGAACCTATTCACCCATCCCTCCCACCATTCCCCGGGGGGTAAACAAACATGGGATGCTGAGAACCTATTCACCTATCCCTTCCACTATTCCCCATGGGTAAACAAGTAAACAAGCATGGGATACTGAGAACCTATTCATCCATCCCTCCCACCATTCCCCTGGGGTAAACAAGCATGGGATACTGAGAACCTATTCACCCATCCTTCCCACCATTCCCCCATGGGTAAACAAGTAAACAAGCATGGGATACTGAGAACCTATTCACCTACCGCTTCCACCATTCCCCATGGGTAAACAAGTAAACAAGCATGGGATACTGAGAACCTATTCTCCCATCCCTCCCACCGTTCCCCGGGGGGTAAACAAGCATGGGATACTGAGAACCTATTCTCCCATCCCTCCCACCATTCCCCATGGGTAAACAAGTAAACAAGCATGGGATACTGAGAACCTATTCTCCCATCCCTCCAAACATTCACCATGGGTAAACAAGTAAACAAGCATGGGATACTGAGAACCTATTCACCCATCCCTCCCACCATTCCCCTGGGGTAAACAAGTAAACAAGCATGGGATACTGAGAACCTATTCTCCCATCCCTCCAAACATTCACCAGGGGTAAACAAGTAAACAAGCATGGGATACTGAGAACCTATTCTCCCATCCCTCCCACCATTCCCCAGGGGTAAACAAGTATGGGATACAAGGTGCCTATTCTGTCCTGGAATCTCCACAGGGGAACAAGCATTAGGAGCCAGGGATCTGTTCTGTCCTGACTCTCCATGAGGGACTGAATCATTCAATACCTTTACAGATGATGGATAGAAACAATGAATTTCTACATGAAGTCGTCTATCAATAAGAGATGTTATGTATCAAACGTGCATGAACCAAGCACAGACTGACGTAAGAGATCTGCTAGCTCACCTTGAATAACATCAACCACTTCGTTGGTAGCCCGAGATCTTGTGATTAATAACAATGCTGGAAGCTGGTCTGTTTTATAGTTCCTAATCTGACTGGCTGCTACACTCCCGAAGTGACGGGTTGCTACTGTGATTAACCTGGAACAAAAAACACCTGACAGATGGAAGAAGCAAACACTGACATCACTGATGTGGAGTCAAGAATCTATAAAGATTATGTTTTGTGGCTTTATCACACCATGTCAACTCGGCGCAAACTAGCTTTACAGAGTTGCATCCGGAAACCTATAATTGTGGGTTTAAATTCTGGTTTGCCCTGATTATGTTTCTAGGTTTGTGAGCACCATACCCGTGCGTGTGGGTTTCACCAAAGAGGTAAACGTCTGAGACCTGCATCACTTCTGGCTTTCCTCACACATTTAAGTTGACACGGTGTGATATAACTTGAATTTTGTTAAAAGAGGCATTAAACCCAACTCACTATGAGGGAGGAAAGCCAGAGTGATGCAGGGCTTTGGTATTTAGCACTTTGGGGAAATCCTCAGAACAGATATGGTGCTGATAGATAAAGGACCATTATCAGGAAAACATTCTGATTCCAATCAACAGATCTTACCACAGCTTAGGGACGCAATTTTTCATGGCACCTAAGAACATTTTGAATTCCATTGAAATCTTGCCTGATTGAGTGAATGGGACATGGCAGGTGGCGTGATTGTAGTTCATGAGAGAGTATTCTGAAGACAACCTACTTTGCCCGATTGGCTTCGAAGGTCATATCCCATGCCCAGGTTAAACAGTTGCTACTGAGGTAATTGACAATGCCTTCTGAACACAGCAGCTGGGAGCAGAAGACGTTGGAGAAGATGCTTCCCTCATGGTGGAGGTAGATGGCAAATAACTTTCTCTGCAGCACAAAACAAGATTGACATATAGAAACGAAATTTCTTGTAAGTTCTACAATAAATCATATATCTATACTACTTATCCTATTTCACACTTTGCATTTCTCTCGTCTCAATCGATCCTAGAGTGGAATTGAACCTTGAACCTGTTTCCATCTTCTAACACCTAGCCTGTCAGTCCCTTGTTTTTCCAGAAATCTGTGTTAGTTAAACCTCCAGTCTGAATGGAGGATTTCACTCATGGTATTTATTTCTTTATAATTACATCATCTAGTTTCAATATACTGTTTTTTATCATCTGAACATTATAGGGTCTACAAACTGGTAATGATTGCCATTTTGATGTGATCATATTGAATACATTGTTACCAGACCATGTATTGCCTAAAGTAACATGAACATTTATCATATTGTATTTGTGACTTCAGTGTATATCCCTCTTTATATCATGGGATCATCTTAATGCTTGTTTTGTTTGTATTGACACAAGACTTTCTGACATAGTCTCCAAAATTGTTACTTGGTGAATCAATGCGGTGAGAATCAATGCTTGTACAACACAAAACACATCACCCTGACTGACTCACATCTTTAGCTTTGACTTGTAAGGCATCACGGATAGCATCGTCTAATGAACCTATGTAGAACACAGGATGGCAGTCTCCATACCTGGAATGTAGGAGCTGTTTAGTTGGGGGTATAAAGATATATGACTATGTGGAACACATCTGATGATTTCACACTCAATCACTTCAGTAATAAAGAAGCCTTATAAAGGGAGAAGTAGTGAGGGAGAGAAGGGAGGGAGAGAAGGGAAGGAGGGGAGGGAGGGGGGTGAGAGGGAGAGGGAGGGAGAGAGCGAAAGGAGTGAGGGAGGGATAGGCAAGAGGGAGGGAGAGGAGGAGAGAGAGGAATGAGGGAGGGAGAGGCAAGAGGGAGGGAGAGAGAGAGGAGTGAGGAAGGGAGAGGCAAGAGGAAGGGAGAGGAGGGAGAGAGAGGAGTGAGGGAGGGAGAGGCAAGAGGGAGGGAGAGGAGGGAGAGAGAGGAGGGAGAGTAGGGAAAGGAGGGAGAGAGAGAGAGGAGTGAGGGGAGAGTCGAGAGGGATAGTAGGGAAAGGAGGGAGAGTAGGGAGGGGAGGGAGAGAGAGAGAGGAGTGAGGGGAGAGGTGAGAGGGAGAGGAGGGAAAGGAGGGAGAGATGATATAATAATAGTGAGGGAGAGAAGGGGGGAGAGAAGGGAAGGAGAGAAGGGAGGGGAGGGAGGGGAGGGAGGGGGTGAGAGGGAGAGGGAGGGAAAAGCGAAAGGAGTAAGGGAAAGGAGAGGCAAGAGAGGTAGAGGAGGGAGAGAGAGGAGTGAGGGAGGGATAGGCAAGAGGGAGGGAGAGGAGGGAGAGAGAGAGGAGGGAGGGAGGGAGAGGCAAGAGGGAGGGAGAGGAGAGAGAGAGGAGTGAGGGAGGGATAGGCAAGAGGGAGGGAGAGGAGGGAGAGAGAGAGGAGTGAGGGAGGGAGAGGCAAGAGGGAGGGAGAGAGAGAGGAGTGAGGGAGGGAGAGGAGAGAGAGAGGAGTGAGGGAGGGAGATGCAAGAGGGAGGGAGAGGAGGGAGAGAGGAGTGAGGGAGGGAGAGGCAAGAGGGAGGGAGAGGAGGGAGAGAGAGGAGTGAGGGAGGGAGAGGCAAGAGGGAGGGAGAGGAGAGAGAGAGAGGAGTGAGGGAGGGAGAGGCAAGAGGGAGAGAGAGAGAGAGGAGTGAGGGAGGGAGAGGCAAGAGGGAGGGAGAGAGAGAGAGGAGTGAGGGAGGGAGAGGCAAGAGGGAGGGAGAGGAGAGAGAGGAGTGAGGGAGGGAGAGGCAAGAGGGAGGGAGAGGAGAGAGAGAAGAGTGAGGGAGGGAGAGGCAAGAGGGAGGGAGAGGAGAGAGAGAGGAGTGAGGGAGGGAGAGGCAAGAGGGAGGGAAAGGAGGGAGAGAGAGGAGAGAGGGAGGGAGAGGCAAGAGGGAGGGAGAGGAGAGAGAGAGGAGTGAGGGAGGGAGAGTCAAGAGGGAGGGAGAGGAGGGAGAGAGAGGAGTGAGGGAGGGAGAGGCAAGAGGGAGGGAGAGGAGTGAGAGAGAGGAGTGAAGGAGGGAGAGGCAAGAGGGAGGAGTGAGGGAGGGAGAGGCAAGAGGGAGGGAGAGGAGGGAGAGAGAGGAGTGAGGGAGGGAGAGGCAAGAGGGAGAGAGGAGGAGGGAGGGAGAGGAGGGAGAGGAGGGAGAGGCAAGAGGGAGGGAGAGGAGGGAGAGGAGGGAGAAAGAGGAGTGAGGGAGGGAGAGGCAAGAGGGAGAGAGGGGGAGGGAGGGAGAGGAGGGAGAGGCAAGAGGGAAGGAGAGGAGGGAAAGGAAGGAGAGAGAGGAGTGAGGGGAGAGGCGAGAGGGAGAGTAGGGAAAGGAGGGAGAGAGAGAGAGAGGAGTGAGGGGAGAGGCGAGAGGGAGAGTAGGGAAAGGAGGGAGAGAGAGAGGAGTGAGGGGAGAGTTGAGAGGGATAGTAGGGACAGGAGGGAGAGTAGGGAGGGGAGGGAGAGAGAGAGAGAGAGGAGTGAGGGGAGAGGCGAGAGGGAGAGTAGGGAAAGTAGGGAGAGAGAGAGAGGAGTGAGGGGAGAGTCGAGAGGGATAGTAGGGAAAGGAGGGAGAGTTGGGAAAGGAGGGAGAGAGAGAGAGGGGAGAGGCGAGAGGGAGAGTAGGGAAAGGAGGGAGAGAGAGAGAGAGGGGAGAGGCGAGAGGGAGAGTAGGGAAAGGAGGGAGAGAGAGAGAGGAGTGAGGGGAGAGGGAAAACCTGCAATGAAAGTAACATGATATGATAATTCCAATATCATGTTACTTTCATTGCAGGTTTTACAAAATATATTTAAAATTATAAGAACCATAACCGTAGCACATTGGTACATGTGCTTGCTATTGCAGGATATTTTTACGTATGGAACAATTTTACTAGTCACCGTAATGTAAACAGTAGTGAATGAAATTTTGAATAAAACTAATAAAATATATTACAAACGTAAGTCCAGATATACAATGAACACATTGTTATAACCAGATAGTATAATAATTAAATTGCGTACTTCACATCGAATCTGTTGACTGGTATTTCCAGTGTTACATGCTCTTGGTGATCAGCTGTTAATGTCTGCGTTGGGAAAAACATTGTGCTAGTGTAAAACTTGAGAAATGTAAGCAAAATTTGGGAGCCATGCTTTATCGCGTGCTATAACCGACTTAGCGCTATATTGATGGGCGCAATAGCGAGGGAACACTGTACTTAGGATTTGCGTTCTGTATATGCTGTATCGATAAACAGACCCAGGTGTATCAAGTTCGTATCGTGGGTTAAATATCGCGATGCATGGGAATATCGGTGTATCATTTTGCCCTTAGAGATAAGGAAGGGACGGAGAGGAGGGAGAGAGGAGTGAGGAGTGAGGGAGCGAAGGGAGGGGGAGAAGATTAAGGGAGTTTCTGAGTTTTTTGAGAGGGATGGTAAGGGAGTGAGGGAGGGAGGGAAGGGGTGTTTCAGCAGTTTTTTTGGAGTATGGCTGCTTGCACAATCCAGACTAGTGCTGATTTAAAAGTGCTAGCCCACTGAGATACCATGCCGCAGTATAACAGGGATACCCCACGCAGACACAGCATACTGACTCTTAGCCAACCAGTCCTTTGTTTTTATCCTCTAAATGCCATCTTTTAATGTCTTTCAGTATGACATGGCCATAGCTCGAGTTACCATCCTTCCACTCTCCGAGGGGACACTATCCACTAGTCCACCTATTCGGCCATGGAGAGATGAAGGGTGGAGGGAGGTGGTTTGAGAGTTAAGAGAGAGGACATGAAGTTGTTGATAAAGGGAGAGAACTGTTCAGTAACCGCTAACCCATGTATTCATAGTGACCTCATAGATGAGCTGCTTGACGATGCACTTGATCTCGTGACATCTCAACTACCTCGACATAACTACACTTAACACAGCTCGTACCTTTCCTTGAATTCTTTGGTAAAATGTTCCAAGGCCTCTGTTTCATCATTTACTGATTCAGGCACTGTCAAAACAAAATATTAGTGAAAACATTTTTCTAAAACTTCATAGAGTCTATCTACATCTCATGAGCTATAATCAATAAAAACCTGATACAAAATAATCTAACAAAGTCTACATTAAGTATGAATATAAGCAATGGTGGCATTAGCTTGTTTATAATCCATGATACTACTACCCCACAAAGTGAGTCCAGGGAGCGAAAACTATCCTGAAATAGCCTCAAATGCATAATCAATTACAAATCCTCAACTTCCAACATCCGACCAGGGCATATGTTCCAGTGGTCACTGACAAATGACCACAATCTCCTATTTGAAACTGCAGGATAAGGACAGGTGCTGTACTCAATACCTGCACACTACTGATGGACTGAATCCTGATGTACATTTTGTCTGCTCTTTGTTCAACATAAAATAATTATACTGTACAATCTCATTAAAATCAGATCTTAGTTCTCGCTATTGCTAAACAAAGATCTGGGGACATCCCATTAGGGGTCACGTCAGAATGACTGTACACATAGTTTACCTAAACTTGTTATCTTGGAAGGTTAAATAAAAGCACAAACAGCAAATTATCTACACTCAATCTGTCTCTTAAGTCCATCAGGGTGTCAGACTGGTTCATTGTCTAGTATACTGACTGATTAGTCATCCAAAATGTCCTATTGATTATTTTTTTCAAATTTGGTAACGATAGAGAGGAAGGTTGATAATATCATGGAAATGGCCAAAAGCCAGAGACACACACTCAAAATTTGTTGTTATTTTCTAAAATAGTTGCCATGGTCATGATTGTGTCTGCATAATTATCTCTGTTCATTTGATTATTTGGTCTACATGTATGTTATTCCCTTGTATCTTTCAAGGGCAGGCCAGATTAACCCTTCACCTTCCATGTAAAAGGCGACTACAATGGTAAGTGGTCACATTATTGAGATGAAGCTGTGTGTGATAGAACAGATGAGCATCCTATTACTCACATAGATGAGAGTTGATTATTTTCTGCCCCAGATACCAACGATACAAGTCTTACACATAGCATATCATACCCATTGTATTTCACAGGGTTAAAGCAAATTTCATAATTTCTATAAATAAACACAGATGTGTTTCCTGTTTTTCTAGACTTGGTAGCATGTTAGTTTCCTGTTAGTGTATGTTTAACCTACTTAGTGGTTCGTGTTTCCTGCTTTGGGGAAGTTCCGACTCGGGGGCGAAGATGTCATCTTCCAGTGTGTAGGGCTCCATGGCCGTGTCTTCATCACTGCTATCTATCTCCATCACGGCTTCCTGCAACAATGTTAGTTGGATACCAGTCAGACATGACACTTATCTATTACTCCCACTGGAAACATTCTAGTCAGGATCTCAATGACTCAAGTAGCTTTTTTCATATTTGTCGGCCACCTTCATATAGCTGGAATATTGCTGAATGCGGTGACTAATAAATAAACTAATAAACAATCACATTTGTCAAATGTTTAAAAAGTTTTAAAAGGAAAATAATTCACAGCAAAAGATCTTCCATTTTTTTTATAATGAAATATCCTATTAAATAAGTCTCATTCTGTTGCATTAAGTTTACTTTCTGTCATATCTTTCTCTGAAAGCACATAATTGATATGGCTACTATCATTAGTAGAAGAAGTATTAGTTGTAGCATGTTGTAGTATTACTGATAATTTTTTAGTACTAGTACAAACATAAAAGTTAGCAAATTACTTGCTGATCCGGTGTCCAGCTTCAGTTGAAACAAAAAAATTACCTCAGTTGTCATTTTTGATTTGTTCTGAGAAGAAGATGAGGCCTTGTGCATCTCGAATTCATGTTTCGGATAAGATACACCTGTCCTGCCCAAGAGATCCTGAAGTAAAAACATTTATCAAACTTGGCATAAGGAGATTGAATGACATAAAACAATACATCCTGGAAGAAGCTCAGGAGGGTGGGGGTGGGGGGTGGAGGATAGATGGGAGGAGGGTTGGGGTGGGGGATGGAGGAGAGATGGGAGGAGGCAAATTATACCCTGAGAATTTTTTATTATTCAACTTGATCCTGCTCCCCAAAAATTCATTTGCTTGTAATTTCATCATGTTCATCACGTATGGGCATTGTTACATGCTTTAATAATCCCTCTTAAACCTATTAGTCTTGAGGTGAGGTGAAATGGGGCTTAACGTCGTGTTCAAGATGATGGCACTTAAATAGAGACACTATCAGTCTGTAAGAGAGGCTAGGGTCCATTCAGTTTGTTCATTGTGTGTTGCTTTCTGAATTTGCATCTGCAAGTTTACAGTAATCAGCTGAATGAATGGTTGATGCGCTATGCTTCAGCCAGCAATATTACTGCTATATCACACCGGCCTGTAAGTTGAACCCTGGCAAACCAGTGGTCGACATCATGAGCAATGATATTTGTTTTAGGGGCACGATGACACAGTAATCCAGGTCACACATCTGTTACCACTCGATCAGCATCCTCGTCCGGAATCACCAGGGAGAATATTTTGTGGCTAGATAAGTGAGTGCCTACTGAACCCACCTCATCCTTGATGCCATCTGGCCAGCCGGACCACACCTGGAACCTGGAGGCTACGTCAGTCAGCACAAACACCGCCTGCTTGATCTACACACAGAACATGTTACCAGCTAACACTCAGTGTCACAAATAAAAGAGGTATTGCATTATTTCCCAAACACAAATATTAACCTGTTTCAAAGACTAGACTCAGTAACAGTAGAGAGCTCACTCTATAACTGATATACTATGCTCAGTGATATCTTGCAAAATGGAATGCCTGGGAACTATCAAATGTATGTCTAGTTATCCCTTGGGGCTGGTAGGGTAGTTTAGTGGTTAAAGTGTTTGCTTATCATACCAAAGGCTGGGTTCAATTCCACATATGGGTACAATGTGTAAAGCTCATTTCTGGTGTCCCCGGACGTATTATTGCTGAAAGTGGCGTAAAACCATACCCAATCACTTACACAGTTGTCATCTGTGGGTATCTAACCTTATTTACTTTAAACTCTGTGGGTCCATTGAAAACATCTGCTGTCATCAAGACAAAGAACAGTTTAGACTACCGTATTTGCCGTACTAAGCACCCCAGACCAACTTCTATCAACTACAATCTGCAAGTACTCTTCATAAACACCACCGTACTAAGCTAAAATATTTACATGACAGCCCATACTTACTTTTGTATATTACAGTGTATAATGGCAGTGTACAAGCATATAACTGCCAAATAACTATTATAGAAAAGTTTTGTGTTTCACTGATAGTTTAACCAATCTCAGCAGACAGTTTTAACTTGTGTATGGTTTAAATAAGCACCCCTTTGTCAATTTTCTAGGCACACAGGGTACTTATTACAGTGAATGTGATAAATTTGTATTTAGAAAAACTTTAAAGTATTTGCTTTAACTAACCTCTCGGACAGATTTACTCCCTTGAAACTTGAGTGGGTAGTACTGGTACTTGCTGCCGTCGATGAACTTGATGTTCAGGGTGTACTCCCGGTCGAACATTTCACATGGACTGAAACACAGAATGATGAGAATCACTCAACATCAACACAAGAACATAACACTGAATGAACAGTGACTGAGCTATGCTTAATGTCATCTTGAACAGAAGTGCTGTTACATCACGATATTACCCATAAGGGCACAGACATAGGTAAAATTCTTGTCAGTAATTGTCACTTAGCATAATAAGACTGTCCCATTGTTGTTATTGTTTGTGGTGAAGCCCACAGCAACGTGATATCATATGAACGTATTGTCACACATAACTGAAGACGATGACATCCACTGTTCATGATGGCTTTATGTGACGTTCCACTGATAGAGCCACTGAGCTGAGGTCTCCATTTGAGATCAGGAAACTCACATTTTTCACTTTTTCTCATCACAAGACTACAAGTAATATAAAGAAGAACCTACAAGCAATGTGGAATTACAGATTATCTGTCCTTCTTGAATTCATGTTGAAAGTTCTGTGCCGAGGCCCGGAGCTTTCAAATTAATTAACTTCGGACAAATAATCCCTACCGGTAATTCCTTATTGCTCTTAGGATATTATCTCAGTGTGTCAACCTTTACACAGCAGTCAACAATATTCCAGCTGTATAGCCTGTACAGAATCCTCTCTGGACCAGACTAACAGGTACTTGACATGAGCAGCATCCCCAATCTCATAAAAAATCAGATCTTAGTTCTCCCTAATGCTAAACAAAGATGTGAGGACATCCCATTACAGGTCACGTCAGACCCACATTTTGCGAACTTTGACTGACTAATGAAATGACTGATAAGAAGTCTACATTAGCCAATCAGAAGGCAGCTTTCTCATGCTTTATGGCACTAGTTTCAAACTGGTGACTACACTTCGAAAGATATTTTGACTATCTCGATAAAAAAATTGAAAACTAAACAAAAAAAGATTCTGGAATGGCTAATAGATAGCCTAGATTGTATGGATTCAGCAATAAAGCCCATAACTGTCGTTCCAAATACCTAATGTTAAATTTGTTTTGCAGTTGCATGATTAGAAAACACATTCCGACTGTCACTTTCATGATCTGGTAAGCGACTCTCTGATTGGACGAACGAAAGGTCATTCTGATGTGACCCGTAATGTTTAGTGGTAGCGAGAACTAAGATTAATAATCCCACACCTTCAGGGTATGATGACATACCAAGGGTCATACCAGAAATCAGGTGAACTAGCGGATCCTGACATGGCTAAGAGATGCAACTAATGCTAAAAATTACATCCTTGCTTAACAGAAAGTGATCTTACTCCTCCCTGACTGGAGCATTGGGTTTTGTGAGCGTTGGGTTGTTGATCTGTGGTGTCAGCAGATAGAGCTTGTTCTGCTTGGGCAGGTGCAGGTCTCGTAACACAGTCTGCAAAAAACAGTGTATGTCTGGACAACACTTCCTCATACAGTCTTACATGTCTGCTCATACAACACATCCAAAATAGACATACTCTGACATTTTCTGCAAAGATTTTGCTTTCATAAATCATTTAAATGTAATTTTTACAGAAAATTGTATATTTATAAACTTAGCCCATCTCAAATTATGCATTTCTTCCTTCTTCCTTCTATCGATCTTTCTTTCAAGGAAACATGCTTGAACAAAGTTTCCAAAAAATTCACCCGACACATCCCAGAATTACTATGGTGACCAACCAAACAAATGGGTCATGCACTGTAATCCTGTGCATAGCGACATACAGGACATGATCACATGACTACCCTTGCCACATCATTCTAGATGTGGGGATGTGGGTATGTATGGGATGGTCCGGATGGTCGGGAGGGCATATAGCATGTGAGATAAGTAAGTATATTTAAGAAATAAACGACGAGTGGGACTTGTTAATTGTACGACAAATAACGACCATGAGACGTTCATTTCTTATATGAGATGAATGATCTGGCTGTCCCAGAAGCTGATTCTTCACGATGAAGTCCCAGCAAAGGCCCAGAAAGACCTTCCCATTCTGTAATTGCTCAAACTGGACCCTGTTGAATCCAAAGCATGGAACTCGCTCACTCCAGCGTCTTTAAGGCGATCAACTCAAAGTCCTTGTACACCACCTCTACTGAAGTCCAATGGTGGAGAAAGACTGTAAGATCCCAAGTGGACGTCCGGAAGTAAGACAACTGATCAGCCAACTTGTAGGACCGAATGAGGGACTGCAGCTCAGCAACAGTAAAGATCTTCCATCCAGTTGTAGTAGCAAAGATGGAGTTGATCGCAGCAAGATAGGAAAGTGGACCAGTGGACAGTTTCTGAGAAGATCATAAATGTTGGAGCTATTCGGCGACCTGATGAGGAGAAGCAGTGGTCGGCTTGGTGATGTCATGAGATAGACAGTAGGCTTTGAAAGCTTTCCATTTGTGGTCATATAGGGTCTTAGTAGAGGTGTGCTGAGCCTCAGTGATGGTCTTGGCTACTCTCTTCGAATAGCCATTGGCGACAAGCGACTTCTGGATCGGTCAAAGTTGAAGTTGACCTTTCTGAGTAAGGGCTTGCGCCGAAGTCAGAATATCGAGCAGCTGTTGCCATTGGAGTAGAAGTAGGGGCTGTCTGAGTACCAATGTCATGAGACGTATCCTCAACCACCTGTCCTGAGGGACAAACATAATGCCCAGTCTGGAGTTGAATAGAGCCCTGGTGAACTAGAGCCATTGAGTCGGAGTCATCTCAGACTTGCCAACGTTGATGAGCCACCCTACCTGATGAAGATGCTGTTGTGTAAACTCGACATGGCACATGAGGATGTCTGGATCTGTATGGGCCTGAAACCAATCGTCGATGTATGACTCGAAGGCGAACCCTCAAATTTGCATGAACTTTGTGATGGGCTTGGTAATGCGGGTAAAAAAGCATGGGGCCATGGATGGGTATGTGTAGATATGTGTCCTGGAGGTCAATACTGACCATTTGGTCACTGAATCAGATGACCGGTCGAAGTGGATTGATGTCAGGCGAAAATGCGGCAGATCTTCCAGATATAACACTTTGAATGTCTTCATATTGAATATTATCCTGAGATTCATAATGTCTTTCTTCAGGACCAGAAAGATCAGGTAGTAAAACCCTGGGGTACTAGGGTCTGGACCTAGATATTCTATAGCATGTTTTAAAAGCAATGTACCGATGGTTTCTTTTAGCACAGGAAGGGGTGTGGGCGTTGTTGACCGAGTTATGATCAGCGGCAGCCTATAATCGTTCTGCAGGAGGAGTGTGACAAAAAGACTGGTCATGGGGAGTCTCTACAATGCGTATGACTGGGGGTGGAAGTTCACTTGGAGGATGAGTTGCTTGGCAGACTCGCCGACATCCCTGAAGCGGTGAATGACACAGAGCCCAGAGAAATTGGAGCTGGGACTGCTGTCCTTGATGGCCATAATGGGAGGGAGGCCACGAAATGAAATAGTCTTCACTCCTAGAACTTCATGGAGGTCTTGCTGTGAAGGAACAAATTGAGGTTGACATCGTTCCCTCTTCTGATGCTCCTCCAGATGCTGCTTTTGAAATTGGAGGAGGTCCACTGAAATCTGGAGATGGGTGCCTAACATCCAGGAACATCATGTGAAGGAGCAGGGGGGATGACAATCGACTGGTAGCTGATGATCATGGATCGCTAGAAGGGTCAACCTGTGGTGCTGTCAATCTGGCTTGGACAAGTCGTCTGCAGAGAGAACCATCCGGACGTCTGAGCCAGTCCGAGGCGTGGACATGGACACACCGGGGACAGACACACTGTTGAACCGGTACAGCAGCAACATCGTCTGTGAGAAAGCTGTCGAAGACGTCATCCAAACCACGGACAGTGTAGGTAAAGTAGACGCTGGAGAAGGTTTGACGACAGATACAGAGGAGTGGACAGCCAGTTTGGTGACCCTCTTAGGCTTCTTAGCAGAGGACGACACATGTTCTATGTCTTTTGGACTTTGACCGCCAGACAACGTCCCACTTGTGTAATTTGCATAGGTAGATGGTAAAGGATTTATCCGTGAGATAGGAACACTGGAAACATCTTTTGTCTACAATGGCCCTGACAATTACAAGAGAGATCGCGAGGATCCGAAGTGGAGAAAGCTTGTCTGCACTCGAGACATGCGGGGGTATTTTCATGTTCAGTACCCACGATCCCTCAGGTTACTAACATTAAGTTAATACGAAATCCACAAATAAAAAAGAAAATGCATTCTCTAAGAACTCAAAATGTATTCTCTAAGAGCTCAGTACACGTCTCAACAGTGTGGCAATGAGAAAGAGAATGGTGTGGCAGGGGTAGTCATGTGATCATCGCATGACCCATTTGTTTGGGTGGTGACCATGGGACTTGTTAAGGTGAATTGTTTCTAGAAGCTGGAAACTTTGTTCAAGCATGTTTCCACAGGAGGATCGAAAGATGAAGGAAGAAATGCATAGTGTGAGATGGGATAAGTTTAAAATTTCAGGTTTACATTTATGTTATTAAACAGTTAAAGAATACAATTTTTTAAAGCTGTTCTTTCCAATTTAAAGAAAAACTGTAAAGCATTTCATGTTCTCATTTCAAATTTTCTTCAAGCATCTGTGCATCCTGCCGCAATATTACCAATCGATGACAGATGAATGTTCTGTAGGACGACATATATGGCATATTTCATTAATGATTGAGGAAAGTAAAAGAAACAATCGTACACAGTGATTTCCTTTGTCTGAAGGTACTTTGGTACGACAATGCTTGGCAGGTATTTGAGAATGAGGCTGACAGAAATTCTAATAATTATTTATTATGGCTTTAAACAGAACTGACTGATTAACATGTAGCCATAGAGCAAGGAGTAGTGAAAAGAACTAAATGGAGAGCACTGATGTCACAGAGGTGACATGCTTTGTCTCAAGAGCGTGTCTACAAATATAAAGAGTACCTACCCTATCTTCAACTTTTCTTTTGACTAATCCTTTCAACTCTTGCTGGTCAACTGGTATGCCAAGTTCAACACTCAGGGTTTCTTTGATCTTGCCTGAAAGGAATACACTACTTGATCATATGTGAAGAGACAGGTAACACAATGGCATATTTCAGAACGAGAGCAGAAAGTCGGTGGTTTGATCCCCAACCGCATAACACCAAAACATTTTAAAGGATGCTACTTGTGTTACCCTCCCTGGTGCTTTGCATTATGGGATATTATGGGATATGAGAGTCAGTATACTGAATAGGGTATCCATGTTAAACTGAAACATCATATCTCAAAGGGCAAGTACTATAAATCTAGCTTAAGTCTGGACTAGTACAAGCAGATGGTACTTCTTGCTACCCTGCCTGGTGCCATACACACGCTATGATAAAAGTGCAATAATCTTGAACCCCATTTCACCTCTTTGAAATACTTTACCAAACAAGCCACCTACCAATGGTTTCTGTGTCTGGCAAGATAACTGGTATAATCTTGTCCCGATATTCCACCTGGAAGTGCAACATTCGTGTCATACTGCGTCCTGCAAAACTTGTGGAGGGACCAGCAGCTGAAGCACCCTCTACGACCAGTGCCGGGTCATCGGACACAAAGCCCTTATTGTGGTCGTCTGGATCCATGATACAGTCTGCCATCTCTGTCGTCTCCCCGGCTGTGGCATTGCTAGGGGGAACAGGATTGATGGTTGCAGAAGCTCCATCCTGGAGGATGCTGTTCACTGCAGTCTGACAACAAAAAGCATGAGTTAATTTGTTTCACTGTTGAAATTCAGCCCACACCTGTCTACCAGGCCTCGACTGGTAACTGTTTAAGCCCTGATACAAGTAATTGCAATCCATTCAATACGACACATATCATAAAACAATACTTAGTTTGTACACCAAATATGCATCTACATTATTGAAAACAATATTTTATATTAATGTACCATTTTGTCAAATGAAATATAATGTAATGAATCATGGACTGAATTGTTTCAATCTGAATAGCCTTTTCTGATCATGTGCTATTTTTCTACTTGCAGTCAACTTTTTCAGACAGCATTTTCTGGTGAGGTTTCAACATTGAAATTGAACACTTGCCAACCATGCCAACTGTAAGGCGTACCATGGTGTAGTATAATGTTATTGACCTGTTGGATTGAGTGAGTGAACAATAGTCAAGCAATATGAGGGGGTCTGTAAAAAATCAAGTCTGGTTTAGGCAAACCAGTGACTCAAAGTTTGAGCAATATTATACACAATCATGCTTTGATGGCACACAATCAGCCAAATCACCAAGTCAGGGCCACCCGATTCAGCTTGTAGACTCATTCAACATGCTACTGGGGACAAATTTTAACCCCGATTCCCCAAGGGGATGACTTGTAAGAGACTTGGCAACTGTCCCATTATCAGAGAGTCAGGACTTGATTTAACTATATAAAACATGCACCAGTGCAACCGATTATTGAAAAATGCAACCTAATATTCATGTCTACATGCACCATGTACATGTCAAAATCTTTTTAAATTTGTGTCTAACCCTTACATGTTGACACAACATAAATCTTTGAACACATTCAATACCTCTAAGCTTATTAATATACCATACTACTCAAAGTTTGCTACAGATCAAGTTCTGAAGATATAAAAAAATCATCCTCCAAATAAAGACTGAAATATCTCGGTACACAATTATTGGGTAACTCAATTTCAGATGTTTGGGTCAGCTACCCAGCAACATGCAGGTCATGATGATCGTGCCACAGGGTGGTTTTGTTCATTAAACATGTTTTCACCCAATATTGTCTTTGGCTATTACAATATATGCACACAATTTGACAAATCACTTTTTTAAGTGGTGATCTTTAGTAAATTTGGAGTAGTATACATCATTAATCGCTTTGTTATCTGTTATTTGCTTTGCTTTTGGGGGCATGACATCAAAATGTGGGTACTTCAAGATAATGTGCATGTTTTAACTTAATTCATGAGACCATGTGCAACCTGGTTTAATCTGGTGCAACTAGGTTTTAAAGTCAAGATGCACATGGTGCAATTAAAATCAAATTCCATAAATCAATCCTTGAGAGTATACTGGCTATTGAGTGCAGATAATCGTCTGCTAGGAGGTGACGGGTACATCTGTATGTCATCACCTGATCAAGGAAGTAAATGATGTGCTGGGATTAACAGAAACACTGCCTTGAATGATATTTCAGTGACATTACAGCATCGTCGGATTCATGGGTAGGAATGCTCAAAGTGATGCTGGTAGCTGACAAGTACCATGTACCACTGCCCAGAGAACTGTGGTGTCTTAGAGTCTTAGACCACTTGCCTCCCTAGTCTGAAATGCTGACTGAACAAACATGCATAATAAGAAAAAGTATTTCTAACCATGTTATGCTCTAAACATACCAGTGTTTAAATGAAGCAATAAAGTCGAGGGGTCCTTGTCACAACTCTTATGTAAACTGTTAAAGATTCAGCATATATGTATTGGGGGTGCCTAGATTTAAATACCATAGAAGACTTCAAGGTGACTGGATTGCCTTTTGTTTATTTGTTGTTTTATGCCACATGTTCTTGATATTGCAGTAACATTTTAGTAATGGATTCAGCTTGATTGCATCATGAATGTTGATGATGGCACCTGGTCTGTGCACAGCGCACAGTTTACGAAGTTAAGCAACATCTGTTGCGGAGATGGTGACTGTGTTCGGCAGCTTGGCTCCTGAGAGTTTCTAGGGCTTCAGTCCTGCCCCACACTGAAGCACATGTAACACAAGTAACGTCTCCTTGGGCAAGTGAGTTTGTTCGAAATGTGCCTCTGTTCACCCAGCAGTGGATGGGTACCCGGTAGGATGAGATGGCAATGTGATTGTTAACCTTCTAGCACCTAACAGGAAGCTTGGGTTGTATACTCCCCAGGGAGCTGAGAATGATTCTTGAGTGCACACTAATCCAGTGACTGGGGAAATAATAGTGCTTTTTGTTGTGTGGGATGAGATGGCAATGTGATTGTTAACCTTCTAGCACCTAACAGGAAGCTTGGGTTGTATACTCCCCAGGGAGCTGAGAATGATTCTTGAGTGCACACTAATCCAGTGACTGGGGAAATAATAGTGCTTTTTATTGTGTGGAAATATATGCAATATATTATGATGATGATGGGCTGTATAGGTAGTTATCGTAAAGCCATTTCATGGATGTAGGGCTTATGTACAAACACACAGCTTTCTATACATATTTACCTAATGAATTGTTTGTTCTTCGAGAAATGTTTTTATGAAAATGTTTTACAGAAACTGTTTTCACAAATGGAATACTATTGTGGCGTATTAGTACACTTCGATGACTATCTTGGGTTGCTAGTTTCCTGTCAACTGTCTTACAAAAGTGAGTGAGTGAGTGAGTATAACCATGGTAACAAATATATTTGTTTGTGTTCTTGGTTGATTTTTGTTTGTTGTTTAACACCACACTCAGAAAAATTCTAGCAATATGATGATGGCCTGTAAATAATCAAATCTGGACCAGACAATCCAGTGATTAACATAATGAGCATTGATCTATGCAAGTCAGCAAGCCTGACCACCCGATCCCGTTAGTTGCTTCTTATGACAAACATGGGTTACTGAAGCCCAGTTCTATCCCAGATCTTCACGCAGGTGTTCGTGTGTGTAATTTTGCAATAAATACCATGATTACAGGGCGAAGTAATATAATCCCACGAAATGACAGATCCATTGTGACTAACTGTTAGTCATTGTTATCATGGTAAGGACTTGATAAAGGTTACAATCCTTTTCTCTTTGTGACAATTCATGAAAGTCATTGTCAGATTAAAAAGAAAAACTGTCAGACAATTGGTCCGCAATCTCATTAAAATCAGATCTAAGTTCACGCTGCCGCTAAATAAAGATCTGAGGACATCCCATTACGGGTCACGTCAGAACGACCTTTCGCGAACTTTGACCGACCACTGAAACAACTAACAAAAAGTTGACATCAGCCAATTAGAAAGCAGCTTTCTCAAGCTTATCGACACTCGTTTCAACCTGGCAACTTCCATTTCAGACTACGCTTGAAAAATATGTTGATGCAGTTCTCGATAAAAAATTTGAAAACGGAACAAACAAACATTCTGGAATGTCTAATATGTGGTTGCGATTGTATGGCAGTGCTTCTTACGTACTGTGCAACGCCTCCTCCATTCAAATGTTTATCTCACAGAAGCGAGAGATAAACGATAATTTTGACGGAATCAGTTTTTCATGTTTATGGCCCGTACCCGTTGTTTGAAATACCTCGTGTTAAATTTTCGAGGTTGCATGATCAGAAAACCCATTCCGACTGTCACTTTCATGATCTGGTAAGCGACGCTTTGATTGGTCGGATGAAAGGTCTTTCTGACGTGACCCGTAATGGGATGTCCTCAGATCCTTTGTTTAGCGATAGCGAGAACTAAGATCTGATTTTAATGAGATTGATTGGTCCGGCACATATAAATCGACCATTGACTTCACGATCTACTGCTAGCATTGCTCATGGTCACTGGGATCCAAGTTTTGGATTGTTGTGTAGCGGAACATGAAAACATTCATGAGTGAGCATATACTGAGAGAGTGCGGATGACCCCACTGCATAAAAAACATGGAGTGGGTATTTTTTATCTGACCCGGACACAACTTTCCTCAGAATGTATGTGTCAGATGTCACACTAGCGATAAACAGTTCAAAACCACAGAGATCAGTTATCTCATAACCCATACCATTATGAATGTAGATCTTTCTCAATTTTCATTTTGGGCTGTCACTAATTGAATCGCCAGTTTCTGCCTCTCCAAATTTTCCACTCAACTTTCACCAGTCTCCACATACCAGATCACAGATGTGATAGACATTTGATCTTAAACATACACCGGGGCCTTAACCTTGGTCTACATGGGGTCTGTTTACAACTCACCTCTAGACTCCAATCATGCTGTTCAAGTATTGCCACACATGTCTCGATGTCATCAATTCCAGTGAACGCCTAAAACATAGAAAGCAAATTAACATACATAACACAACCGAATTCTCCAAGTTCAGTTAATACATCTGTCCCACTATTATTATATATAGAGAATCTCACCTCAGTGTCTTTTGATGTCAAATATATCAACACTCGTTGATAAAAGTGGAAAATCTCCGAGGCTTGCCAAGGAATTTTTCCACTTTTATCAACACGTGTTGATACATTTGATATCAAAAGACACAAGGTTGGGGTTAATCATCCAACATCATTCTTCCAACTTTTACAGTTTGTAGACTTTAATAAGCAGTGTCCTAAGCGTAAAAAAGTACTGCTAACAGCTTCAGCAGCAGAGCCATGAGTGATGTCATTTGATTGTGTCGTCATGGTAACCAATGATGTCACAATGGTCCGCAAAGCATTGTGATGCAATTTCATTGCAGCGATATCTGCAATGTAGATATCGCTTGATCTCACCCAAGCCATATCTCCAGTGGGAGCCAGTTTTGGATGATAAAAGACATTTATATACCCCACTTATCCAGATTCTAGTGTCTGCTCAAATGCAGTATATTTGTTCCCCTACCAGGATCAGTATGCATTCCAGTCATCATTTCTAACTCCCTTGGAAGTATCCAATCCAAACTGCCTACGGGTGCTAGAGTGTTTTTACATCCACCTATCTTTTCAGGTACCCATTCCCTGCTGGGTGAACAGAGGCACATTTAAAGTAAGTCACTTGCCCAGGGCAACACGTTTTGACACATCTGTTTTGAGTGTATGAATGTATTCAAGTTTCCATCATCTGGTCATCTACCATTGGACAAGTGGGTTCAGGGTGCACAGGGTGAATGTACTGTACACTAGGGGTAGTGACAACAATGCGAAGACCTGTAAACATTGTTGGTCCATAGGCTGAATAACAGCCTGGTCAATAGCAGGATATGATCTCAGCACCTGGCACCAGCACTTGCTGGTCTGGGGCTTTAGACCGCTTGCCTGCATGCCCCAGTGACATGTGCCAGATATCTGTAGAAGGATCTGTAATCATTGTTATATTAGAAATTAGTGTGGTCCTGTAGCAATTAATAATGTACACTTCAAGGCTGGCATCAGCTTGTTCTCTAGCCATAAACATATGTGTATATTCATTGTCTGAGTCTATGAATAGTTGCCGCTGACATCTGAACTAGGCCTCGGTAACTTGGGTAGGGTGGGTACTGAGTAGGACCCGGGTACTCACAGGACTACCCACACCCGTGGTTAGTCACGTGATTATATTGTTTAATGACAAAAATTATCTGGAACTCTATGGTTACACTATAAGTGACAAATGTTCACATTTCTTTCCGACTATGCACACATTCCTTTTGACTTCGTATGTTTGCTTAAAGATCAATTTTCAGTCAACTTCAGTGTATGCATGACCAGATCATTTTATACCTGTATCTAAATACATTTTGACAGGAATACGGTCAAACGTTTCCCAATCGGACATTTTGTACCTATCTCTTGAGACCTACAGTGGGTACCCAGTAGGGTCAGGTAATAGGGGGCCGGGTACCTGGGTAGTAAATTTGGACTCATCCCAGCCCTAATCTGAACCCATTCACCTGATCTGCATATCTCACACAAAGCTGTGAAGACTCCCTAATTACTGTTTTACAGGAGAGGGAGAGATTGCTTGGTACAGCATATTTGCTTGTGGTTTTTTGGCTGCAACTATATTATGACAAACTGTAAATCACTGGACCACGGATACAGCAGTTGATATGAGTCTCATGTAATCATTGTTATATTAGTAATTAGTGTGGTCCTGGGGCTCTTAAGGATTGCTCTACTCAATATGAGCGTAGGGACACCCAATACCTTCCACTTTTAACATGAGTGTATATATGATACAACACCTTGACTGTCATGCCTGACTTTGTTTGATATATAATAGTAAAAGTTTAATCAGATTTCAATATTTTTTATTTTCTTTACTATATTGACAGAAACGCAGGCAAGATGTATGAATACTAATAGAGCAATCTAATATTTGAAGCAGACATTACCTGTTATAATTCTAACACTTGGATTCAGCTTATGAAAGGAAAGGCTGTGCTTTCATTGATGAAAACACATTATCAATATATTGAGTGAACACAGTGAGAAGTATCATGACATATCAATATATTGATCTATAGTACCAGAAAGACCCTAGGGACAGGATTACAATACCATAACTAACAGTAAACTGAATGGTCCATTGACATATAAGGTTAAAATAGGGTCAACACTAATACTACATATAGGAGTGTTTTTGTAGTTACATTAACATGACTTATTGAATACCACAACACACCCCCAGTGGCTATTTAATGGAGAAAGTACTAATGCTGTGGCGAAATCTTTTACAACTTATCCATTTTCCATAAACATGGCGAGCACGTTTTCGTGCCATTGTAGATATGAGCCATGTCAAATTAAGGATGTCCGCTGGACTGTTCTTAAGACACTAAAAATAGGTTTCTCTAAAGTGTTTGTTATTTAACTTAACAGTCCAAAAAAAGAAAGAAAGTACCATTGAGGCATATTTTGAAAAAAATATAATTAATATTCAATTTCATAAAATATTTTAACAAATTAAAAAAAGTTAATCCATATGAAAACATAATAAATTCTCTGTGTGCACATCAGCCATCATGTACTCTCCTTTTTGTTTGATAGTCAAAGGATTTAATACAAATATATTCAAACCATAACACATACAAATAAATGTTGCTAATATTGAAGCCTAATTCCTATGTCATTCAGCATTATATATAAAGTATAGCTTTAACATGCATCTTCCTTGGCTTTTCCTCCTTCAGTTATTGTACTACAGGTTGATATTTTTTTAAGTCATGTTAACAACGTCAAGTGTTACCATTTGTCTACACTGACCATTCCACATGCTGAATTTCATGTCTACATTGAGTTAATGACAGCTAACATGTCTTCTACAAACCAATACTGAAATAAAAGCTGTTGTGTTGGTGTCAGTTCAAGCAAGTACACCCATCAACCTGAATAGTCAGTTAGCACTAGCTGGTACAAGCCTGCTGGTACAGTATCAATTATTCATGTACACTTAAGGCTGGCATCAGTTTGTTCACTAGTCATAGACAGATGTGTATATTCATTGTCTCAGTCTATGAATAGATGCCGCTAACATCTGAACCCATTCACCTGATCTACATATCTCACACAAAGCTGTGAAGACTCCCTAATTATTGTGTTACAGGTGAAGCAGAGATTGCTTAGTTCAGCATATTCACTTGGTTTTTTTGTTGCAACTATATTATGACAGACTGCAAATCACTGGACCAGGGATACAGTAGTTGATGTGAGTCTCATGCTTTTGGGGTACAACATCTTCCCAAGGCAAGGGAGTTAACTGACTGGATAAGATCAGTTTCCACCCTTGCCGAACTAGGCTGAAATTTCTAGGTTCGATCATAGCGCCAACAGTGGCTATTATGACTTATGTCCCTCCTATTGACCAATAAGATTCTACCTCTCATATCACTTGTATTTGTTTCAAATAAAATGGCATCGCCAAGGGAAGGCAATCTGATCGATAATCAAGATCTATTTTGTAATAAAACTGGTCATATTTCACAAAGTGGATAAAATCATGTGAGCACCTTGATTGAAAACATGAAAAGATTTGGAAAATATCTGTTGAGGCTAAGTTGTCGGTACACATGCTTTGCAAATCCTGCAATCAACAGACATCTGCATGCCAGTTTAATAACCAGATGTCAAATTCGTAATGTGATTTTGTTAGGATTATTCATAGAGTCTTTAGTCCAGCCAAGGGGCGGTCAGGTAGCCTAGTGGTTAAAGCGTTTGCTTGTGACGCCGAAGACCGATGGTTCAATTCCCGACATGGGCACAATGGGTAAAGCTCATTTCTGGTGTTCACCGCTGTGATATTGCTGGAATATTGATAAAAGTGGCTCAAAACCATACTCACTCACTAGTTCAGCCAAAATATAACTCCATAATTCCAGGATAGTTTGGCAAGGGATGAAACTGGACTTTGACAGTCAGTTAACTCCCTTGCATTGGGAAGATGGGGTATGATGACTCACAATTAACCACGAAACTGAGCCTAAACACCAACCATTCTACTCCATCCTCCATTCTAGAGTGAGGAAGCAACTGTGCTTGTCGTAAGAGGCGACTACTTAGATCCCCACCCGCAGGATGCAGTCTGTGCAATAAAACTCCAGTCTCAGCAAACATGACGAAATGAGTAAGCCCAAACCGTTTTAACACATACATTGCCAATAGATGTTTTCAACAATTTACAGTTGTAGCAAACTTGAACTAATTAACACTTTACTGGCCTACCTACATACTCAAATGTTATGATTTAGATCCATTTAGACTAACTGGTTATCCTTACAAGGTGATATTGACAGGAATAATGGTCCTAGTTATACACAAGGCACAACTACGAAGTCTACACCTAGATTGACCCAGTTCATTGAGCCCAGTCAGTCCTTAACAAGTTTTTCTTGTTTTTTCTTCTTCTTCCTTTGTCCTGTTTTTTAAACAGGAAATACTGGTATGTAAGAGCTGACCTACAGAAGTCTGGACGTGTTCAAATTGGTCAAATATACATGAATACAAGTGTGAATATAAATACACACAGCTTCAATTTGGACTTCATGTTTGAAATTCTACCACCTTAAGCTCTTACCATCACTCCCACATCTTTCTTAGGCAAGGGAGTTAAACATGTTAAATGACTGTAAATGTTCAGTTTCCACCCTTGTCAAACTTGGCTGGAATTACGGGGCTCGACGGTAGCGCCACCAGAGGCTATTACGACTTATGTCCCTTCTATGCCTCTCCTATTGACCAATCAGATTCCACTTCTCTTATCACTAGCATTTGACTCAAAATAAATGGCGGCACCCAGTCAAGATCTTTATCATAATAAAACTGGTCTTATCCCGCGAAGTGCATCAAATCACTTCAGCACC